TTCTGAGCGGCTTCTCTGTTCTTCCCCACATGGTTGTCGCCCTCCTTCACTTCCCCCTTCACTTCCTCTCGCTCTCTCTCATTCACCTCTCTTCTCTTCTCAGTCTGCTTGTCTCATACGCTTTCACCCACCCCATCCCCCCACGTTGTCATTGACCTACTCCGCACCCGTCTCACTTTCACTGCGCTGTTGGTCTGTCGTCAGTTTCCACCACATGGACTTTTTACTGCCTTCTCCTCACTCACATCACTCACATCACTCACTCACTCATTCACTTACTCACTCTCACTGACTCTCACTCTCATTCTACCAACATAAAGAGTACGCGTTTGTTCCAGAACTCCCGAGCTCAACAGCAGAACGGAGGAATACGCGATACCATTGTATTGTACTGTATTCGTATTGTGCAATACGAGTATTCTTCCGTCTCCATTCAAATATCCAATGTGGTGTTCACTCTCTCAACTGGCTCGTCGCATTCTGTGTTTTGCTTATTGTTTTGTAAATCGCTTACATCTTCTGCTGGATGGCGGCCTGCGGAGTGTAGTACTCGAATCCGCCAGCCTGGTGCTGGTGATGGTGGCCGTCCATTGTGAAACACGGAGAAGCAGAAAGTAGGACTGGAGCTTTGAAAAGTGAAAGACGCTGATCACAAACAATCAAAAACTCAGAAGCGGATATCAACGAGATGGAGTGAGTGGGGACGAGATGGACCATTCTGTCAATCTGAGCAACTTGGCGAAAACAAGTGGTTTGAACGCCCGAAACCATTTGCCGACAAGCACACGCACAAGCACAAGCCGCACACACACTCACTCACATTCATACGCACCTACGAACACATGCAGATATGCATGCTTGGGCGTTGGGATGGCTCTGGTGAGGGCCTCTGTATGTGAATATTCCCGGATCAAACATCTTGTTCGAAATGTAGATCGCCTTTTCCCTCCGCCGTGTCCCAACAAAAATAACTCAATGTTACACTCGCTCACCCATTGCATCAATTGCGCAAAAACAAAGCGTGACTACGAAACACGTCCTCGGCGCGGGATCCGAAAAGACGGGAATTCCCCAACAAAACGGAGGCCAGTCTTTTCATTTTTATTTTCATTTTATACTCTTTCCTCACTAAATCCTCCACATTTCAGCTACCAAAAAGCCACTTCCAACCAATCAGCCAAACCAAAACCAACCAAACCAAAACCAACCCAACCACACAATCACGGACGGCCTCTGTCGAGTCAGGAAATGGTGCTTCTGGTTGCGTGCGAGTGCCTCAACGTCAAGCTGCGGCTGGTCGACAGCTCGCTGAGCTACACAACGACAACGGACGGAACGACCGCGTCCACGCCGCTGCCGGCAGACCGAGTGGTTGGCGACATGCTCCGCAAGCCCATCGCCGCCGCCGTGGTGGCTGAGCGCCCGGAGCCCATCTTTGCGCCTGCGACGGGCGAGGATGCAGCAAGTGACCTGACCACGTCGCTCTCTGGCTCTGCGCCGTCGTCGCTGGCGTCCAGCACGGTCATCACTGCTAGTACTGCTGCTACTGCTGCTACTGCTGCAGGAGCACCCGCGCTCGTGGTTGGAGGTGGCCAGCAGCCGCACCCAGCCGAGCAAGACCCGTTCCTTGCCTCGTGGTTTGGCACCAGCAGCGCGGCAACGTCTCACTCGACCACCACCGCCACGACCACCACTACGAATGCTGCGACTGTGGACGCACCAGGGGCGAGCGCAGGTGGCCTCTGCGTCGGCACGCTCGGGCTCGGTGGCGCCGTCGTCGAGCTTGCCGGGCTCACCCGATACCGCAAGGTTTTTGAGTGCTACCCGGCAACACCAAGTCACAGTAATAACGCCACTGCTGCGAATGCACAGAGCACGACCACAGCCACAGTTGTCGCTGGCGATCTACACCGCGAGGCTGTTTGGACTGTCACAAGGTAACAAAACAACTTGAGCTTGATGCGCAAAAAGCAACTAAAGGGGGGAAGGGTCCCAAAGGTCCACATACATCGAACAAATGCTGTTCGGTTGCTATGCCAGGCTGCAAACACTTTGGCTTCTCACTTTAATGCTGCTGGTTTTTGTCCACCACACTTTGCGTTTGGTAGGTGCGTCAACTGCGAAATGGATGTGTTTGCCTCATTCCGACCGCTGGGTGTCTCGTGCTCGCGGCCAAACGCTCCAACGCTAGCAGCACTTCTCCCCAAAACAGCAATATTGACCTCGTCCAAGCTCATTGTTGGCCAAGAGGCCGTTGCGCGCCGACAGACACAGGAGAATTACTCGCCCATTTTCCGGGTGATTCTAGACCCGCTCAGTCCCTCCGAGCTTGCTGATGCAGGTACAGACACCCAAATAACCCCCACACCTTCCTCTTACAGATGGTGTTGCGTTGTTTTTGAAACACATGGAGGAGAAGGAGAAGGAGCAACAATACTTTTGCTCATCCTCTTTTTTGTTTCCAAAACCAATCGCAGCTGCGGTGTTGGAAAAATCAAACGATCTTTTGCAAGCTCTGCAAGAGCAAGTGACTTCACAGCTCAAGCGGGAAAAGGACGCGTCGGAAGCACGCATCAAGTAAGCGTTTTGCTATCCTGTTGTTTCTGCGCGGTTTGACCATCAAACCCTGACTCTCTTCACGCTTTTCACCCAGGGCGTACATTGACAAGGAACACGCCGACTACACAAAACTGGAAAAGTCAGCCCACGATGTCAAGTTCACCCTGTTCCACAAACTGGCAGGACTCCGTCAGCAGGCAATTGCCACCGCCATTTCCGATGCCATGGGCGATGCATTAAACGACGTTCTGGGCAACGATTCGCCGGTATTCTCGCCGTTGAGCGCCAGCAAGTCACCAAAGTCTGGCCTCGCGCAGGTTGCGAGCCAACTTCAACATCTGGCCGCAATGGAGGCAGTTCCGGCGGTGGTGGTCACAACCGAGCAAGGACCTCAACGGTTCTCTCCAGCCGGCTACAACGGTCACCGAGGCTCGCCTTCATCCGTGCTGGGCGCTTCAGCGCGCGAGAACAGCGACATCCCGACCCTGAGCACTGTTGGCGTGCGCATCCCTCCTGCTTCATTCACGGCATCGCCGCGCTTCCCTGTCGTTCCGCCGTCGTCTGTTGCCGGCTCTTTCATCCCTCCGTCCTCAGTGTCAAACGCCTCCCGGTTTTCCAGTGCGCTGAGCGAAGGTCTAAAATCCGTTGCGTCCGATTCTGGTCAGATATCCTTGTTGGTTGGTTTTTTGGCTTTTCTTGGTCTTGTGCAACTGCACTCACTGTTTCCCCCTCTCGTCCTTGTTATACTGGACTGCTGATTTTGATCTCGACACAGATGCACCTCCCACAACCTCGACAGACGTACGTGAGCAGCTTTCGTTTGTTGATTTGTTGCGTGTGCTGACATCTCACTCTTTACCTTTTGTACGCAACTGCACCAGTCTCCCAAACTGCTCAATCGGATTGTCTGGAACAAGGGTGCTTCGTCCAACTCTGGCTCACAGCATTCTAATGTACGAATTTTGTAATGTTGAATTTTTTTGTTTGCTTTTGAACTCGCTCGGTCTCTTGTGTCTGACTTGCCCTTTGCGCGATATTGCCAACTTCAGCTGTCCAAGAGCGTGCCTGCATCGCGAGTCAACTTTGGTGGACGCCGCGACAGTGGTAACGTTTCCAGCATGTCCATCGACATTTTTCATGATGTAACTGTGACTTACTGTCTTACCTTGTCTTGCCAGATTCCTCGGATGCCCTATTTGACATGGATGGATTTGAAAGCTCTTCATCCACAGACAGACACCGTCGGAATGACAGTAGGTTTAGTTTGAGCATGTCAGTTTGAATTCGTTTTGTTTGTTTGATGCTAACAGGCGCATCTCGGGCTTTCTTGTGTGTTTCTCCGCCATCAGCCTTTGATGAGGAGGACGAAGAGGACGCCTTGGAAGAGGGCGCCTCCACTGGAAGGCAACTTGCAGCTCCGGCTGCTGACGGAATGGCATTGTACGCCTCGTCCGTTCCGATGGGTATTCCGGCTCGTGCCGCGGCAAGCTTTGTCGCCGATGACGACAGCATGGCATACCGCTCGCGAGGCTTGCAAGTTCCAGGATCTCCTGAAACCGATCGGGTAAGTCACGCTCAACTGCATTTTGCAGTTGTCTTGTTGGTCTGTTTCCATCCCTCGCTCACACCACGTTGTTTTCCACTCTCAGATGCAAGATCTGGCAGCGTCCATTCGCGAGTTGTCTCGGCTTTCCGTCAACGACTCGACAGCGACATTTGGCGATCTTCCTCGGCGCAAAATGTCGACCATTCTTTAGCGAAACAGTTTGCTTTGCGTGTTCGTTTATGTGGCACCCAATGACACTCAATTTATCTCAAACCATCGTCACATCAGAATATTCTGTCTCATGTGTGTGTTTGTGAAGTCCTGGAATGATTCCAGCATCTACAGGCAGAAGTGTTGCTTGCGAATTGAGAGAAAGAAAAAGGTCGAAATCAAAGCATCCTGCTCATGGAAGAAAACGGAATTTAAAGCAACATGCTTATTCGATTGCAGTCATCACAACTCAACACAAGCATAAAAACGCCAGGATTGATTAGAAAGTTGGCCAGTCAAAGCAAAGCAAATCATCACAATCACGTCTTGCAGTGGTCGCAAACACGACGCAATCCACACCTGACAACAGCAACACGCCCAAAAAACAGACAACACGATATCTAAACACACTATCACAATAGTTTCAAAAGCAATGTGACGCTCACTCTCTACTCTGCCACCAACGGACACAAGTTCATCGTGTCCGCCTCATACTCGAGCCCAGTCGCGCTGCTGACAGTCAGAGCGGCGAGCGACTCTTCCGTGAGCGCAATGCCTCCAGTGAGATTCATGCCGATATCCAGACGAGGCGTCTTCTCAACGTCCTCGCACACTTTCTGGCACTCCTTGACCGACAGCAAGTGGAAGTTGCGGCGGGTGCAAATATACTGGACGATTTTGCCCGTCGCGTCAGTGACTGGGTTGATGGTAGCCTCGCACGCGAATGGACGGTCTGGGAACAAGAAGAAAGAAAAAAAAAGTAAAAAAAAAAAAAAAAAAAAACAAAAAAATGAGACTTTTGATCCACAACAAGCACACAGAGCAGACAGAGGCAACGTACTGTCTTTGCGCTTTCCAAGAATGTATCCAGTCCAGACAGAGCCCTTCTCAATATTCTCCCGAATGTCGGCGGCCTTCTTTTGCATCAACGCTGCAAAACAGAATCATTCGCCAAAGTGAGTATGCCATCCAGACACGCAAAATCAACCAAACAGCGCGAATACGTACGGCAGGTAGGGCAGCCGACAACTTCCTTCAAGAAGCGACCAATCACTTCATGCTTGGGATAGCCCAATACAATTTCCCACATGTGATCCACGAAAATGTAGCGCATGTCAGGGTCGGTGATTTCAACAGTCATAATGTTCGAAACCTGCACAGAGTGCTGGACGCGCAGCTTCTCCTGTTGGAGCTGGATGATGGCCGCGCGTGCTTGCTGGTTTTCCTTTATCAAGGCGTTGTTGGCATTCTTGGTCTGGTTTACATACTCGGTTGCCTTGCGGATGATGGTCGCCTTGGACGGGCTTTGAAGCGAAGCGAGAGCAGGGACGGACAGGACGAGCTCGGCAATGGACTGGCGAACCTTCTCGCGAGACCGCGCCTCGGTGGAGCGTCGCGTGGTTGTCGTTTGGCTGGCAGACGTCTTGGTGGGCAAGCCGTTGCCCAAGCTGAACGAGACGCCGCTGTCTTGCTGGCGCGGAGTGGAGTTGTACGATGCGTCTTGCGGCGAGAACGGGATGGTGGTAAACTGAATGGGCGACGTTTGCTGGTTGAACACACTCACGCTAGGGGAGCTGCTGACATCTGAATGCGGTGACAAGACAGAGTCGCCCGCCTGCTGATGCCGTGTCAGGTTTGCAACGGAGAATCGGCCGTCGGGAACTGGATGTTGTCGAAAATGTTCTGGAGCTGAGCGTCTTCGACAGTCCAAGTGGACACTTCATCGTCGCCGTCCATGAGGCTCTGTTGACTGGGTTGTTTCTGCGGTTGTTGTTGCTGCTGCTGTTGTTGCTGCTGCTGTTGAGCGCGGGCTTGCATGTATGGAATGGCTTGCTCGGTGACGGGCTGACTTTCGTGGCCCTGCGAGTGATCAAAGAGACGCTGTGCAAACGCGGTGGCTTCGTTCTGGTACGAGCCGAGGTTGTTGGCGAGACGGTTCAAGACATCCTCCATCGGGTAGCCAAAGTCGGCGTTCTCGGCCGTGTTTTGGGCGTACATGTCGTTCAGGATGGTGTCAATCAGGTTGTCCTCGCCGGGAAGCAGCGCGCCCACGTCAAGAGGCCCTTGCGATGGCACAAACAGCGCCGCAGCATCCTCATCGGCGAACGGGGTCGTGAGCGGGGAGGCCGAGAAGGTCGTCACGGGCAAGTTGTTGGCCACCGGCGTCGCAGACACGACCTGGTGGTGGTGCTGCTGTTGCTGCAGCTGGTGGAGCTGCTCCTGCTGCTGCTGTTGCTGCTGGGCTGCAGCAATGCGCTCGCGGATGGTCATGTGCACAAACGGCTCGCCCGACGAGACGACGACCGACTGCTTGGCGGGAATGAACGCGACATCGTCGAGCGGGACGCCCAGATCTGTAAACAGGCGGGCCTAAACCAGACAAAGAAGAAAACAAAAAACAGATGAGTGAATAGAGACGAAAAAAAGTGAGTGAGTCGACCTCAAAAGCATCAAAAGTTAAAAAAAAAAAAAAAATCAATGGAAAAGCTAATGCGGAACAAAAAAAAAAAGAAAAAAAAAAGAAAAAAAAAAAAAAAGAAAAAAAAAAGAAAAAAAAAAGAAAAAAAAAAAAGCGAAGAGAAAGAGAGAAGCACACATGTTGGGTGGGAATGGCGCGTTCCTCCACACTCTGCCTTGGCGCCCCTTCGCTGTCGCTGTCTTTGGTGGTGCTTGCTCTGTAGCACAAACAGCGGAATCAGCATCGCACTGCGCGAGCACGACCGCAGAAAAGCAAAAAAGTCGAAAGAATCGCTTTTTTTGTCCGCGTTCTTGCTTCGTTTCGCTGGGACGACATTGACTCGCACTTTCAACCCAACCCCACCTCTCAACGAGCTGAAGGACACCGTGCTCCCCTTTGCAGACTGGCCGTCGCACTTGGCGTCGTCAGCCCTTTCGTCGCTCTCCTTCAATGTTGGTTTTTTTTTTCCCGGTTTTTTTTTTTTTTTTTTTTTTGTGTTTACCTTTGAGTTTGGCGTGCCGTAGAGTCGCTCGTGGCAGCGGCTGCGCGCCTCGTCAATGTGCCAGTCGTCAAACACAAAGAACGGGCGCGCTTGGGCGGCCTCCAGCAAGCCGTCGTTGCGGAAGAGCGTCACGTAGACCTTGGCCATCAATGAAGTTTTCGATTTTTTTTTTTTTTGCTTTTAGTGAATATTAGTGAGCGATTTGTTTGATCGAGATGCGTTGGCCGATACGGATTGGGTCAACTAAAAAGCAGAGCCAGAATGCAAAATGGTAGCGTTCTGGAAGCTTCGAAGGAAAAATGGAAATGATGACTGGAAACACGGAGATTTTTATCTGAGGGTTTTTTCCATTGCCGCCCAACAATCCAACACATGCCCAGCACGATTCTCTGTGACATTGGGCGTTGTGCAATGCGATATGCTGTCGACGCAATGAGACAGAGGAAGTGGATCCGAAGTGAAAACCGGGGAAAACCAAAAAAAAAAAAAAAGAAAAAAAAAGAACGAATCGATTGTCATCGTGAGAAACTCGAGCCATGCATTGGCCGCAATGGGCACATTACTGGAACGCAGCGAAAGGAAAGGTGCTCAAAAGTGGCCACGACAGTGTTCGGGGGAGAAAAACAAAAGTTGCAAAAGTTTCCAGAGACAGCTTGAATTGGACGAAATGAATTGCGCCGCATGTGAGGAACAAGCAAAAACAAGCACAGAATCAACGAGCTGGTCACACACTCCATTGGATTTAACATGAACAGCTGAACCATCGGAGCAGACAGGCACAAGCATGTCCGAGAGCTTTCATTGGGGAGGAACATTGCCGATCGACTTGAGAACATGCTCGTACACGGTGACGCCACGCACAAACACGGCCTCGTTCAAGAACTCGTTGTGATCGTGCAAAAGGATGGGGGTGTTGTTGATGGGCGAGAATCCGAGCGCAGGGATTGATTTCTGTCCACCCAAAAACCAACATTCAGCGACGTGTGGCAGTAACAACATCTCGCTCTCCCCGGCACAGTGCTTCAGCTACACACCTGGCGAATGTAGCGAGAATCCGTCGCGGCAGGGAAGATCTCGGTGACAAGAGTCAGGGCCCTGTGGAATCACGGAGGCGATCACTCGTCAGCATTCAAGTCCAGAAAACAATAAAGCCCAACCAAACCGTACTGAGCATCGCAGGCAGTCTTGAACGCCTTCCACCACACGTTGTTATCATCGAGAACCGTCATCTGGTTGTTCTCAAACTTTGAGACAAACTCAAAAGTAACTCCCTCCTCGCTGGAGGTCCAGACACCAAGTTGCTTTTCGAACTCGACCAGATCGACCGTTGGAGGGATGCGAATGTCAAAGCCTGCCGAAACGAATCAAGGCGAATGAGTAGCCGTCCCAATGTGCCACGCGCAAGAGATCAAAACAGCATCCAAGCCAAACCCGTACCGGCAGAAGCCTCCGCTGGCACAATGTTGAACTGCACACCGCCTTCCAACATGGTCAGATTCAGCGTGGTGACATCTCCCAGCGTCTTGGCCTCGCCAGATTCGAGCAAGCTCTTTTGTTGTTGACGGAAAGCCAAGAACTTTTCAATGACGCGCATCTGAAAAAAGAAATAGGAGAGTGAGTTGGGTGCCAAATCACAAAGCCACGCCTGTTTTTGAGCAGTATTGTACCAGCTTCTCGGTGGCAGTGTTCTCGACAAAGCGGCTGCCATGTCCAGGTCGACCCACAGCCTTCACACGAACCCCTGCAACGAACAGTCAACAATTCAGCGGATGCAAAAGGTGAGTGCTGAATGCAATGCAAAGGCGCTCTCAACAACAAATTCAGTTTTGTTGGGAAAAAAATAACATACACCATGGAGCTCGCTCGCCATAGTACACGGTGAAGGCGTCGGTTTCGTTGGCCAGACCTTCGTCCAGTGCAAATCCAATGTTCAATGCCTTGAAACGTTCGTGATCGACGAACAGTTCCATGCCAGAGTGACCGCCAATCTCCTCATCTGTTTGGGATGGCACGGCGTGTTATCGGTCAGTTGCGTCAGATCAATTCCGAAATCAACGAAAACCCAGAACGAACGCGCATCGCTGGAACGTGCAATTGACTTACCAGGAACGAATGTGAGATGGAGAGTACGAGCCAATCGCACGCCTTGAGCAATCAGATTACGAACTGCTTCAATGTACCTGCGAATTGCGAGAGCGGAAGGAAGTGAGAAACGCGAGTCGATGCCAAAACAACGAGACCGGAGCAACCAACATACTGAATGGCAACGCATTTCATGTCTTGCGTGCCGCGGCCAATGATGTCACCATTCTCCAGCTTGGTGGCATCGAACGGTCCATGGGTCCAGAACTCCTCAAACACGGGCACAACTAAATGCGCAAAACAAGCATTTTGGTGAGAACTCGACAACAACTTTGGCGACTCTAAATACGATCCAATCCAACGCCACGTGAATTTCCTTCTCCGAGTCTCGAATTACCGTCAGTGTGAGCATTAAGCATGATGGAAGGAAGCTCGGGCGACGTGCCAATCCAGGACATGATTGCAATCACCTTGCCAGGAGCAACCTGACAACCAAAAATAGTGATGCAGTGAGTTGCCAGTGTCCAAATGATCATCTCGCAGTATCAAGATCATGCTCATGACTTTTGATCATGATGGACGATTCTTGGTGATCCTTGAATGATGCTAATGACCTTGGTGATCATGATCATGATCATGAGCGTTACCTCGATCGTCTCGAACGGCAGGTGCAGCTCGCCCGCCATGCGACGGAGGAAGTGCAGCGCGGTGTCGTAGTCTGGGTTGGGATGCACTGTCTTGATGCGGAGGAACTCGCGGAAGTTCTTGACGGCCTGCGACTCGGAGGCGTCGTCGGAGGCGAGCTTGAGCAGCTTGCGCGCCTGAGCGACATCCGCCGCAGTGGTGGCTGTGGCCGTCGCAGGGCGCGCGTGCTTGTGGTTGTGGTTGTGATGGTCATGGCCATGCGCGGCGCCGTTCGATGCAGGGTGGTCTGAGGCGTCGGCTTCCGAGGCAGTGCGCTTCGCGCCGTGGTGATCAGACATGGATGATGCTAAACTGTGAGATTATGGAAAAATAAAAGAGTGATTAGTTCAAAATCTAAGACAAGAGCTCACGATTGGGGAATATTGGCTCAAGAGAGAAAGAAAATGGATCACCCCGAGATGATTCAGATTTCGTTGACAATAACAAGAAACAGCAACAGGCAACAAAACAACAGCAGATACACCAAAGCGACACGGCACCATGGACAAGCTTGGATGGCAGATCAGAGCAAAGCGCCAATGTCGCGAATGGCAGTGCCATCCTGGAACGCCGCCAGCGATGCGACGAGCTGAGAAAAGCTTGGGCGCAGAGTTGGTGTCATGTTCCAGCAGCTCAGCATCAAATGGTAGAATCCAAGCGAGCAATTTTCGGGCATGGGCAGTCGACCACCGGCTTCGACATGAGCCAAAATATCACGCGCTTCAATCTTGCCGTATGGCTTGTCGCCGTAACTACAGCATTCCCCTACAAAGAAGCAAAACAGTCGCCAGAAATAAGCGACAACACACCACTTACTGCACGCCACCACACATCCATCAACTTACAGGCAGTCACACCGAACGACCAGACATCAGACATTGAAGAAAACTTCCGTTGCGTGAGAGCTTCCGGTGCCATCCACTAGGAGGAGCAACTGCAATCAGCATCACCTCGTCCAAACATTTACTGCCAGCACACCTTCGACTCACCTTTGCAGGAACCTTGCCACGCGTTTGCATGCGATAGTAATCGCTCTCGTCCGCCAGCTCGCGAGAAAGACCAAAGTCGGCAATCTTCACGACCATGTTTTGCCCCACAAGGCAGTTGCGTGCGGCAAGATCACGGTGCACAAAGTGGAGCGTGCCAAGATACTCCATGCCCAGTGCAATCTGACGAATGGCATGAACCTGCTCGTTCTCAGACCACCAAAGCGACTTGTTTTTCGATGTTTCCAGCAATGATCGCAAATCTCCGTATCGCACAAACTCAATCAGGACGAGATGAGGCTCCGACTCGACGAGAGCCGCAAGCAAGTGCACAACGTTCGGATGCACAAACGGCGCCATGAGTCTCGCCTCGCTTTCAAAGTCCTTGCGGGATTTCTCGTCTGCGTTGGACTTGAGAGACTTGACTGCAACTTGCACCCTTTCAGAGGATGTAGATCCAAGCAGGCTTTGGGCGCGTGGCGGCAGAACGGCGAACGGCACTTCGCCCAACGACACATCACCAAAGTTGCCGCTAGCCAAATGCTTGACAATCGCCAGACCTTCACGAATGCGATGAGAGTTGCTGCCTGTCATGTAGACGTTTTCATTGTCGTAGATGTCGTCTGGGGAGGTCGACGAGACGGCGTGGTACAGAGGTTCCGACGTGGACTTTTCTGGCACTTCATAACTTGGAATGTCGGCTTTGTTCTCACGCACATGCGCGTTCTGCATTTCTTCGTAATGGACATGGGCTTCCTTGTTTTGGCCGCCGGTGGGGGGCTTTTCTGGCATCTCGTACCGAGAAGCACCTTCTGTGCCCTGGCGCTCGGGCATTTCGTACCGCGAAACGCCTTCTGGACTTGTGCGCTCGGGCATTTCATATCTTGAAGTGTTTGCTGAGCTTGGACGATCAGGGTTTGTCTCGGGGACGGCATACTGCGCAGGTCCTTGCAGGTCTTCGTGATTTGGAGACTTTTCTGGCATTTCGTACCGCAAAGCGCCTTCCGCGTTCTGACGCTCGGGGCGCGCCACTGGTGCTGCATAATGACTGTCGCCTTCTGTGCCCTCACGTTCGGGGCTTTTCTGCGGAAGCTCGTACGAAGCACCTTCGGGATTCTGATGTATGGGGTTTGCCTGCAGAACCGTATAATGCGCATCGCTGTCTTTGGATGCGGACTTGGCAAGCAGAGAATTGTTCATCTCTACCGTATCGTGATAGACGGGCTCGGAAGAGTCCTTGACTGGACGTTGCGATCGACGGCGTCGGACGAGGAAAACGGCGAGCGCAATCAAACCAACGCCCACAACCGAAGCAACCGCGGCAGCGATTGCCGCCACTGGAGACGAGGCAGCGGAATCCCCCTGCGGAGAGCTTGAGGCGACAGAAGCAGCAGACGTCTGCCATGCCGACGAAGCGCTGGCGGCGGAGGCAGACGCAACAGAGGCAGAGATGGCAGACGTTGCTGAAGCAAGTGACGCGACCGACGCGGATTTCGTGGAGGCAACGGACGCAGCAGACGCGGAGATGGCAGAAGTCGCCGAAGCCCGAGAGGCGACCGATGCGGAGCTCGCTGAGGCAGCGAACACGGCAGAAGCACTGGACGCAACAGAGGCAATCAAGGCGAGAGACGAGTTTGTGGCCGCCGATGCAAGGCAGTATCCGCTCTTCATGTCGTAACCGTCATAGCACACCGTGCAACGATTGCCGACAGTGCATTGTAGACAGTTGGCTCCGCAGCACGAGCCGGAGCCGACGTCAAAGCAAGTGGCACATACTTTATCGCACTCTGCAGGCAAAACAATGTGAACGGACTCCGCTCAATGCCAATGAAATCCACAGGCCACTTGAAAAAAACAACCAAGAAGACTTACTGTAAGGCGCGGTCGCGGTGCCATACATGCTGGGCGGAGCAGCAGTATTCCCGCCAAAGGTAAAGTTGTTGGGTGCCAGGACAGGACTGTTGCCGTCCACAGATGACCAGTACAGGTCTGGATCATTTTGCAAGCCTTTGAACAGGCCAGGGGGCAAAGTTGTGATGGGATTGTCATTCAAACTCCTGCAAGTCACACCGCGTGAGAAATAGGTTCAGAGTCTGCAGCAGAACGATTCGCTTACAAGGTCGACACCGTAGTCAGCTCGGCAAATGCGTCCGCTGGAATGTTGATGATTTGGTTGTGATCCAGGCGTCTATTGGGCATTGGACAACAGAGTGAGCGCATCCTTCTTGTAGCTTCATGGCCAAAGTCGGACCTCCTTACAACTGTGATAGTGAGGCCAACCCGGTAAAGGCCTTTGCAGGAATGCTGACAATAGAGTTGCTGTTCAGTAGTCTATCAAAGGTAGGCAGGTTGAGTGAATCCTCCCCATATGTTCCATTTTTCCATTTCAGTAGCACCGTGGTTGTTTACAGAGAGTTTAGCGCCGGCAACCCGGCAAAAGCCTCTGGAGCCAAACTGGTGATTTTTTGATTGCTCAGATCTCTGTCATGTGCAAGGAGAGAGGTGAGCCAATTGCCATTGCTCCATCTTGGCTCAGAAATGATCGGCTTACAGAGTCGACAGCGCAGTCAACCCGGCAAAGGTGCCAGCAGAAATGCTGGTCAGTTGGTTGGAGCCCAGGGCGCTACCAATTCGGAGAACCGTTTGAATCATTTCTATTCTTGCACCCATAACAAAAAATCACTTGCTTACAGGCGAGTCAGCGCGCCAAGCCCGGAAAAGGCGTTGGCTGAAAGGCGGGTGATGTTGTTGCGGTCCAGGTCTCTATCAATCGGAGGCACTTGTAAATCCACGATTTTCTGGTCCCCGACTCGACAAAAAGCCGCCTGCTTACATGCGATTCAGAGCAGTAAGCTGGCGAAAGACCTCTACATCGGAGATTTGGTTGCTGGAGAGAATTCTGTCGAACGCGGGCAGTTTGAGCTCATCATTCGTCCTTGGTTCCGACTTGGCAAATAAATCGTCGGCTTACAGCCATGTCAGCGCGCTCAGTCCGGTAAAGGCACTTGCAGAAATGGTGGAGATTTGGTTCAGCGTGAGAGTTCTGCCGCGCCAAAGGAAACTCGAGTTAGTTCTTTGCGTTCTCGCTTCAATACCAACGCCTGCTTACAAGGAAGTCAATACAGTCAGCCCGGTAAAAGAGTCAGCAGCAATGCTGGTGATTTGGTTTTGGTGCAGCCATCTGGAGGTGTCGGGAAAAGGAAGGTGAGATTGGCGGGGACTGGATTTCGTTCGTCACCGAGGCCATTCTCTTACAGCACGGTCGTGGTTGCAGGAATTGCGCTTGGAACAGCTGTGAGCGCCTTGTTTGCGCAATCGACGGTACTCCCTGAGCATGAACACACTCCCGGGTCGCAAGCATTGACGGCATGCGACAGCGTGACCTGCATGGCAATACCCAGCAGAACAAGCACCACCATCGCAGCGATGGAGCACGTTCCTGGCTTTGTTGTCATTTCTAAACATCCGTTCAAGCAGCATGTATCAATATGTAAAAAGTGAGCACCATCTTGAGCCCGCGATCGCACAAGGCAGCGTTTGTTGGTTTAGTCCAAAGTGCTTTTCTTCCGACGATTTTTCTCGTTCCCAACTCCAGATTTGCCACAGGATTAAATGTACGTCTCAAAATGCACACACAACAACTGACTCTGTTGCATGACCGCACCTCCAAATGACCGTACAAATCGAGACTCAAAAAGTACAAGTTGAAAAGTTAAAAATTAGCACCAAACTTCAACCCAAATCTGGGTGTCAACTCCCAAAACAGGTGTTCATGCGGGTGAGCTCGCTGCTTTCCACGGCGACGGTTCCACTATCATGGTGTTCTGACTTCTGCTACCGTCACCACTGCCCACTGGGTGATGATTCATACGGCTCTCATTGCGTTGAGCCTGATGATGCACGAGGCTACATGATTTTTTTTTTTTTTTTTGTTGTTGTTGTTTGGTGCTTGTCTTCACACCCAAACCCGCTCCGAGCGAGCCGCACTTCCACCCTCCAGCAGCCTGGATGTACATGGATCATCATCGTGATGGAGCAGCTGGCGATAGGAAAGAGCGAGAGAGCAGCGCTCAAGCGAAGGGGGAACAGGAACAGGGGAGGGGGTTGCCCATAAGCGAATCAATAAAAATAATCATCGAAAACCACAAGAAAGTCAAAGCCAAACCGAAGGAAACAAGGACTACGCGTCGGGGTTGGTGTCGCTCAAACAAGATGAAGCTTGTGTATTGAATTGTATTTTATCCGAATGCAAGGAAAAAAAAACCAAATCAACAAGCGCGAGCCAAACTTGCATAAATTTGTTGTTGGCAGATGGAGATTGAGATTTAGAGGAAATCGGCTTTGCATGTGAGGCACGCGAAATTGGGCCTTGTCCCGCGGAATAGCGCCAAACAATGATTGTGAAGCTTGCCACCACACCCTGATTGCTTACACACTTGGCCCTGTCCCAATACAACAAGGCACGTTTCAAAAATGAGAACCAAGAATCCTCCACAACCTTCCACCTCAAGCAAGCCAGCAATGCCATATGGCAAAAACCACATTCACAACCCAACGACTTACTCGGAAAACCAAAGAAGAGCAGGCTGCGCAAGCAATCACATGCTCTGAGAAAGATTCTTTTAGATGCGGCTCGAGCTCCAAAATGGTCCGTGTTGTCAGCGACAGCGTTCCTCTGTGCACGAGAAGATGATAAAAAAGCGTATTCCAGCTCAGTGAGATGCCTTTTTACAAGAGAGAACAGGATCAAATCCAAACACAGGCATTGCGATGGACATACTCGTCGTCGTGAATCCAGCCATCGTGCGTAAACTTTCGCACGGCAACCTCGGCTGCTGCCTTGGTTAATGGCCTGGTGAGTAATGGCGCCACATTGTCCACGTCGATCGACGAAGCCGTGCCCGAATCGGACAGTGTGATTAACTCGACCTGCCAGAGAGAGAGAGAGCAAGACAGAGAGAGGGAAAAAAAAGCATCGCCACGCCACCATCAAGCATTGCCGTAAGCTACTGCACTCTCTCACTGCAACACCAAAGCACAAGAGCAAGGACAAACGAGGCGAGCAACAATCTAAGACGCGTTACAAGCTTGTTCAAGAGCTCCATCTCCTGCGGCTCATAGTCTGAGGCCATCTTGGAGATCTCGTCTGCATATCTGTTGACCTACGAAAAACCAGCAATTGGATGGCGAAGTGAGCCAGGAGCGCGTTTTGCCGCCCTCGAATGATTCAATCAAATTACCAATGCAAAGTATCGTCGACCATCGTCTTCGGACTTGACGCTCGTAATGTCGAATGAAATGATGTCTAGATTGGCCTTGATAATCTTGAGAAACTCGTTCAGCGTTCCTGGTTGTTCTGTACGAGCGAATGGTTCAATGGTTGAGTTTTGTATGGAGGTTCCATTGGCAATCGTTGCATGGTGCGACTCCCAGCCCCCCCCCCTGCCCCCCGACTTGCACCGCCGGCTCGGAGCAACCGATCGCCTGGTCTGCAATGCCACTGCCATCTGCCCACCCATCCCTCGACAGACAGCGCTGTCTGTCGTTGGATCCGAAAGCCCGCGTTTTTTTCCCGCGCTTTTATTCCACATTGTCTGCTCCTTTCCCCCCGACTACAGCTCCCCGAGGCTGCTTACTTCCTGTGGCCACGTGCACCTGCTTGAAGAGCTCCTGGAGGTCGTTTTCCGCGATGAGCGTGCGCGACATCAGTGCTTGGACAAACAGGCGGTGGGTGTCTGTCATGCCCTCTTCGCCGAGTCCGATCGAGATGAGTTCAGCCATGGCCAAAGAAAATGTGAAGTAGAATAGAGTGAAGTCGCAATGCGCAGTTTTCCCCGTTTTCCCCCGTCTGAGCTGAAACTTGATCGTTGCAATCGATTCAATCGTGTTTTCTTCAAGCCGGACTTCACCTTTTTGAATCGTTTTCAACCCGTTTTCAAATCGAGTTTCAAATCGAGTCACTTTCTTTTATCTAGCCCGACTTGGACTGCACACACAACAGCCGTCCCCTTGTTCGAGGGTCCAGCCGATTGTCCGGATCAACTTCCCCACACATTTTGCACTGATTTTGGCAACACTCCCCCCTTGTTACAAAAGATTGTTGGAATTGTTTGAAGCTTGTGTGATCAGTCGAACAGGGCAAGTCGGGGTAGAGTATTGGTGACAGCAGTCAAGCAGTACATACGGTCATCAGAGAAACTGCACGGGAAGTTGCTGGTTCAATGCTCAGAAGACCAGCCGAGAAACGACGTTTTGTGCACTTTGCCGAAACAAAAAAACCAAAAAACCAAAAAAAATTAAATAAATAAATAAAATTAACACCGCACTGTTTGAATTCAAACGAAGGGATGCGTCGTGAAAAGGCATCGAGTCCGGAAGAAGGGAAAGGCGAACGAAAACGACGATTTTTGGCTTTTTTCTTTCTTTTTTTCTCAGAACAGCAATCCTTTTTTCGTATTTTTTTTAATTCTTTGCGGTAAGTCTCAACAAGAGCACGAAGCCGCCTTTCCCTCTTCCTCTTCCGCTTCTTCTTCCTCTTCCGATTGGCGACTTGCCGGGACGCACTGCGATTTTGCTGCTGGGGAGTTGCCGACTGCTGCCGCGGGGGGTGGAAGCGAGCGGGCGGACGCGCGAGCAGGCGAGCGGTCGCTTTGTTTATGAGCAGCTGGCCTTGACCCTCGGCACTCCTCCTCCTCGCTCTCTTTCTCTCTCTTCGTTCCCAGAACGGTCTTCTCCTCTCGCATTTCTACAGTCAGAGAGTGTGAGAGACAACTGAGGTGGGAGGCGCGCTGCAAGGAGCAGCCTGCCTGCACCAAAGCCAATCAAGGTCTGATTTCAGCGGCGGAACTTGGCGGGCTTGTCTCGGCCCGTTTGCGGCCGTGCGGGTGGCTGCGTCATGGATACACGTTGAGTGAGACCCATTGCACTGCCTGTCGACGATGCCTCGTGATGCTGCCATTCGGTCACAGCCGCAAACGGCAACGGAGATGGCCCCCGTCGTGGTTGCTAGGAAGCGCAGTCTGTTCCCTGTTTTCCGTTACCCGGTCCCCCTTCCTCCCCTCTTTGCTGACGACGAGTTTGGTTCTTTTCGTTCTTACGGATGTGTCGTTCTGTCTCTCCCACCTAGATTCTAGACCATCGTCCTTCGGGCAAAGCCTCACCAAGCTCGTTTTCATTGCTTTGCTGTTTTTGTTTTGTTCTGCTTGTGCCTCTGCTCCCTCGCTAGCAACCATGCTGAAGCGAGTAGCCTGTACATTGATTTCGCTGGTGCTACTGGCTGGCATTGCTCGCGCCGGGCCTGGAACGCTCAGACTGACATTCTATGGAGTGAATGGAAACAACTGCGATCCTGTCGGCAACGATTGCGACTTTGAAATCCAATCCATTTTTGCATACACCACAAGTTCTGGCACGACCACCGCCAAAGTTTCGCTTGGCGAGAAAGCGGACCAGAATTCGCCTCGCTGGAATTATATTTTCGCCGCAACGTATTTCCCCACATTCACGGTACGTCCCCATTTTTTTTCTTTTCGAACGCTGATTCAGCTGGGCAGCGTTGCGTAGTTTGAGTGGGTTGTTTGCCTGGTTTTGGTCTGACCTTGTACTCGTGGGCGTCGGGCACAGGGATCCATCACTTTCAGCATTGATTTGATGGAGAACGATTCGCTTCAAGATGAAGACTACAATGCGGTTACATACAACGTTCCAGTCACCGCAGGTGCTGCAGCAAAGGATGTGACTCTGGGTGGCTTTTGGTACGTCACCAACGTCTACATCAACGTGCAGTTCAACTGCAGCACCGACTACTATGGCAGCACGTGCGACACCTACTGTACGACAAACTCTGGCAATTGCAACTCGTGCAACTCCACAGGTGGCTGTAGCACCTGTGCCACTGGTTACTCTGGCCCGAACTGGCCTTGCACCGCGACCCCCAACTGGTGCACCATTCCCGGTACGGCTGTTGGCGGTGGCACGAGAAGCTGTGCCAACACCATCAATGGCGTTTGTTCAACCTCCTGCAACACTGGCTACACACTGAGCGCTGGCACGGCAGCCTCGACGACGTGCCTCTCGTCACAGGTGTGGTCTTCAGGCAACCCTGGCGTCTGTGTCGTCAACAATAATTACTGCACTGCCAAGGCAGCCCCGACGTACGGCCAAATGTCCTGCACAAACATTTTCGCCTTGAACTCCGTCTGCTCCTTCTCTTGCAGTTCTGGCTATACCTTTGCTGGATCTTCCTCGTTCGCTTGCAACAGCAACACACAAGCATCCGGATCCTGGTCTGCTGGCACAGACCCAACGTGCACGCCCATCACCAACTTCAGCCCAACAGTCCCCGTTCCGAGCGGTGACACCTCATTTAGCACCACCGAGAGTGCCGAGGTGCCCATTGCTTCCATCGTTACTGCATCTTCGGCGTCCATTGCCTCACAAGCGTCAGCATCGGTCGCTTCTGATGTATCTGGTACCTCGGTGCTGTTGGCTTCTGTTGTATCAACCGCATCGGCATCTGCTGCATCCGTTGCATCCTCCATTGTGCAACACAGCAGCGACACCCAAGCCTCAGCTTCAGCAGCTGCCGTCGCTGCTGCTGTTGCTTTTGTTGCCGTTGTTGCGATAATTGCAGCGGTCTTGATCGTGCTGCGACGCCGTCGATTGCAACGACGTTCGGCTGCGCGACCGAAGAACGCTGTAAAGGACTCTGCCGGCCCCGTCTATCAGGAGGCTATTGAAATGACAACATCTCCTCTGGCCCATCCGACGCCAGAACCGACGGACTCTGCCAATCCCATCTATCACGAGGCTTCGGAACTGACAGGCTCCTCCATGCCCCATTCGACGCGAGCTCATAGAGCGGAGGGCAGCTCATCAGCTTACGCCACAGCCGGCCAAAGGCAGCCAGAACCTTTGTACCAAGCCATCCCGACCGCCCCGCCAGAAGAGGTGGTATACGATTATGCGAGCGCCTATGTTGCTGGCAGCAATTCTCGTCGCGTTCGTGAGGGGTTGACGATTGTGAAGCATCTTGCCAGCGGAAACTTTGGCGATGTGGCACTGGGTCAAGTGCCGTTCAGCGTCTTGCCCGAACGAGCGCGAACCTTGCTTGGACCTGCAGCGCCCGAAACCGTGCAGGTTGCAGTCAAGTCGCTCAAGTCTGATGCAGACGAGAAATCCCGCAAGGACTTTGAAAGCGAGGCGAAACTGATGGCACCGTTTGTGCATCTGAATGTCGTGCGCCTTCTTGCGGCTTTGGTCGAGTCAGAGCCCCATCTCGTTCTGCTCGAGTTTGTGCAGTACGGCGATTTGCGCACCCTGCTGCAAAAGTCCAAAAAACAGTCATTCAAGTGGTCTGAGAACGAGCAAATCCATGCGATTCGCCAGATTGCACTCGGGATGGAGTATCTGGGCACGCTCCACTTTGTGCACCGCGATCTCGCCGCGCGCAACTGTCTTGTGGGACAAGGTATGGTGGTCAAGATTGCCGATTTCGGACTTTCTCGCGAGCTGGCCGACGAGAACGATTACTACCGCATGGAAACGCGTGGCAAACTTCCCGTGAAGGTGGGTCAATGGCTGCTTTGGAAGGGTTGCGAGTTTGATACATGTATTAATTCCGTTGAATCCACTTGTATTGTAGTGGATGGCGCCAGAGACAATGACTTTCCGAAAGTTCTCGTCCATGTCCGATGTTTGGTCCTTTGGTGTGACAGCCTGTAAGTATCGCAGTGTTCTGCTAAAGTTAGCGCTTGTATGTCACTCATCGCGGTGTTTGGTTGCAGGGGAATGCTGCTGTTACGGAGAAATGCCTTACGGCAAGTTGAGCGGTCGGGATACCCTGGCTCATGTGGAGGCTGGTGGTCGACTGCCCCAGCCGGAGCACTGCATGCTCGAGCTCTACAACATGATGATGAGTTGCTGGAACATGACACCGGAGTTCCGACCGAGCTTTTCTCAGCTCGTCAAGGTGCTGGCAGGGTTTCAGGATGGGACGACCATTCGCGAGATTGGCGCAATGGTGTAAACGCGCAAACCAAAATGATACTCGTGTTTTTGTTTATGCCAGCCCAAACATGTTCTGTGACGCAGTAGTGTTTGGGCGGCGTAGAAGGGATTCCTTGCGTTTGAACTTTATAACATTTTCCTTGTTGATGATTGGTACTTGTCTGTTCATACAAAGGGTTGCTTCTTTGACCAAACGTTCTTTGTAACTTCTAGTCCGCTCGTTTGCGTCAATTTCTACGCCACAGTTTCGCGGTGAAGGTTGAGGTTGAGGACAATCCTTCTGCTGTTCTCTGATTGCTTCTGCAAGCCCTCGTTCTTTTCTCGGCTCTCCTCTTCGCTGTCGCTATCGCTTTCGCTGTCCTTTATTCTCTTCTTTTGAGCACAAAGTCTAAAGTAGTGCTTGAATCCTCGTGCTTGCACGCGTTTGTGGCCAACAATTCCGCCAAGATTCCCCGCTTTATTTTTTTTTCTACCGTCGTTCGAGGGTCCAGCCGATTGTGTGTGTCAGGATCAACTTCCCACTGATTTTGCACTGATTTTGGCAACCTTCCCCCCCTTGTTAAACAAGATTGTTGGAATTGTTCGAAGCTTGTGTGATCCGTCGAACAGAGCAAGTCGGGGGTAGATTTTTATTCACTCGTTCTCAACTTTTCAATGAAACAAACGAAACTTTGTTTTTCTTTTCATTCATTTCATTTTTTTATTCATTCATTGTTTTTTTTTTTCTGTTTTTTTTTTTTTTTTTTTTTTACACGAATTCTTTTTTTAAAATTTGAACTTTTTTTTTTATTTTTTCTATTTTTTACCGTTTTTTTTTTTCAGAGCTTTTTGATTTTTGAAGAACAGCAAAAGAATGGAATCGAGCGCAGATCGGAACGAGAGCCAGAGCGAGAGCGAGAGCCAGAGCCAGAGCGAGACCGCTGCTACGACGACGAGTGCCGATACGACTACGACGAGTGCCACAAGCCAACAGCCGTCAACCCCAACAAAGTCAAGACTCGCAGCAATCCGCCCGCAGCCGATTGCAACCAACAGCAGCTCACCACAGGGCGGCGGATCAGGCGCAGGAGCAGGCACAGGAGCAGGCACAGGAGCAGGCGCGTCTCCACTGCCAAAGCGCCCGCTGGTCTTCCTGACGAGCGGCATGTCCCGCGTCGGATACGCCACCGTCAGCAGGCTCATGAAGACGCCAGAGGCATTCAACGTGCGTGCAGGCGCGCTGGCGACCCCGCATCCGCCGGGTGGTGGTGGTGGTGGTGGTGGATTGGCCTCACCGCGTCATCCGCCCTCGCCCAGACGCCAGTCGTCCGACGCCGTCACGTCAATGAGCTCGGGCTCGAGCCTGCTGCACACGCGACCTACTACTACTACTGCTGCCGCCGCTGCTGCTGGATCACTTGCAGAGGGCGGGAGTGTCGCCGAAGAGCCGAATAATTCGCTCGGCATCCCCGGCCAGCAACGATCCTCAACGACGTCTCCAGGAACGCCGCGACGTGCATCAAGCGATGTCTCCAACTTGAATCCTGCGCAGGTTGCGGCGATGGAGGCTCGCAGGGCCAAGCGCAGCGCGTCGTTCAACCAATTCACGTCCAGCTTGGGCATTGCCGAAGGCTCCTCCGAGATGGACTTGGCGCTGCTCGACTCTGCAGAGACGTCCATGCGCGGCGCAGACTACCTCTTCATCATCCCTCCAGCAGGGCCGAACGCGCTGGAGAAGGTGTTGAACTACCTGGTCGCCGCCAAGTCGCTCGAGACTGCCATTCGTCACATTGTGCTGCTCTCGGTCACTGGTGCCGAGTTGGGCGCTGGTCCAGCAGCAGCAGCAGCAGCAGCAGCTTCTAGCGGTCCGATAGACAATGCGACCGCTGCCCAGCTGGCTGCGTCGCTCAGCCCGGTATCGTCGGGACCGCAACCCGTCGCGCCAGGGACTCTGCCAACAACAGGGCCACCGCCAGCTTCGTGGGTTCCGTTCGCCAGGCTCTTCCTGATGATGGAGAAGAGTGTGGCCGAGTCTGGCATTCCGTACACCATCATTCGCTGCCCAATGTTCCAAGAAACGCTGCACGCCTGGACCAAGTACTTGCACAACGAGGTCTTCCCGTTGCCGCTCAACTCTTCCAGCTTTTGCCCAATCAGCGTGCATGATGTGGCCAAGGCCGTCTCCGTCATCTTCTCTGCGCCCCACAAGCACGAAAACATGATTTACACCCTCACTGGCCACAAGGCGTACAGCGGCGCAGATGCGGCCAAATCAGCTGCCAAGGTTTTGCAACAAAAGGTCAACCACGTTAATCAGCAGCTGAGCGTCACCCGCAAGTTCCTCGGCGAGTTTTACTTTGATGCCAGCGCGCCAACCGTCGGCGCCCCAGGCCTGGCGTCGGCAACGGGCGCGATGGGCAGTAGCTCGAGCATTTCGTCCACCGGCTCCTCTGCCAGCACATCCACGATGGGCGGAGGGCGCAAGGCTCATCATTCAGATCCAGCCACCATCCCCTGGCGCGTCGACTTTACCTTGGCCATGTTTGAGCTGTACGCGTCTGGGATTGGTGTCGCAGGCCAGCTCAACACGCACGAGTTTGCCAAGCTCTGCGGCCGCGAGGCTGCCTCCTTGTCGGACTACTTTCGGGAAAATGTGGAGCTGTTTGCCACCGATCCCGTCAAAGCGCGGAAATCCGTGTCCGGTTCGGTCAAGGGCTTTTTGCGCTCGTCCTTCTCAACGTCCTCCAACAGCCTCACCCCACCCAGCATGCTCGCCAAGTCAAAGTCGTTCAACAAGCGGACGGAGGAGATTAGCGCCCTGACAGACGGCGGGCCTCGCTCCCCACTTGCGATCGGGGAATCCACTGGAGCACGGTCTCTCTCGCGCTCGGCTTCTGGCGAAATGACGCGTTCGATGCGCAAGTCAGCCTCCGGTGAGATACGGTCGCCGCCCACCCCAACTCAGACTGCAGCACCAGCGGTTTTCTCGACTGCCGCCGCGGCGTCGTCTCCAAAAGCGCCTGCTGACCGGAATTCATTCCTTGCAGGGTCTGCAGTTTAAGCTCAAGAACGGAGGAAGGCACGACTTTCTGTTTCTTGCTGGAAGGCGTTCGCTCTTCTCCACTTTTCTTAGTGAACCGCCGATCGTTTACATTACTTGATTTCCGGTTGTCTGTTTTCTCTCTTCTGCTCATTATTCCTAGCCTTCTGTGCTGTGATCCCATGCTCGATTATTGTTTGTTTTGTTTCCTTGTTTGTTTGTTGGCTGCACGTTGTCGTTGCTGCTTCTGTTGAGGTTTTCGTCATGGTTGGTTGTCTGAGTTGCATTGTGAAAATACGATGGATTTTGTTCCTGCTGTCTCCTTCGCTCTGGTTGTTTTTCTTCGATTGTCATGATATTGCCACGAAAGTTGATCCTTCCATTTCTCAGATCTTCTCAGTCATCATCCTTTGAATTTTGGGGAATGGCAGACAATCTTTGGTCCATCCAACGCAATCTGATCGCTGCGAGTCCCGCGCTCGAGTCGTTTGTGGCCGCGCTCCACTCTTATGCAAGTGGACTCTCGACCACACCGAGCAACCTGCAACAATTGCCAATCGTTGTTGTTTTTGACAAGAGCGAGAGTAGTGGTCGTCATTGCACGAGGAGTGCTTGCTTTGGTGCTGCAGATTCAAATCTGTGACTGATTTTTGTTGGCTTTGGGATTTTGCGATTTTGGTGTGCTCAGACTCCCGCCGCTGCTTCTGCTGCCAGTGGCACGACAGACAACGCAGCCCAGCACGATGCAAAGTCCAGCGCTGCCGGGACTGGGAGTGCAACCACCGCTGCGCCGACTACCCGCAAGTTCAAGTGGGCAACGAGCATGGACTCGACGTTCAAGTTTGACCATGCCACGGCCATTCCGCATCCAGACATTGCTGACATTCAGTGGTCGACGGACGTCATTGGTGTGGACCGCTCGGAGGGAGGAGCAGGCGTAAGTCCAATGCTATTCGGGTTCGGGGTTGTGAAAAATCATTCTGAGCGTATTCGGATGCGGTCGGGTGGTTTTTTCCTCAACATGCATGCTTTGTTGATGGGGACAGGGCGTATTCTTTGTTCAAACGAAACGAGGAGCCGTTGTCATCAAGGCCTCGAGAACGCTCGCTCCAGAGCTGTTTGCTTCGTTGCTGTGCCTTCGACTCCAAGTTGCTGCTCCGCGCTCACGAGTTGTCTCGACATCGTCCGAAGAAGGCGCTCAGCTTCTTGCAAGCTTGAAGCAGGTGGATCCCTCCTGGCGAGTCATCACCAACCTGTTTGACCAGGCGTGCTTGCTCGTCCAAGATTACATTCCTGGAACTGTCTTGTCGGGACTCGACTACACCACAGCCACGGCTGTATTTGGGAGCGAAGTTGAGGACAATGCTACTCCCGAGGAAGCAGAGCGAATTCGCTCGCTGGGCCGACTGTTGGTTGTCGACACGTTGCTGAACAACGGGTAAGGAAAAGAGGGGTTTTTGGCATCGATGGCACGTTGTATTCGCTGTTTTGTTGTGCGAGCGCGTTCAATGCACTTGTGGTAATGTTCGTGGCCGACAGAGATCGTCTCCCGTTGTTCTGGGATAATCAAGGAAATCCCTCCAACATTATGATCAGCCGCGCCAACGCGCACTCGTTCGTGTCCATCGACACCCGCCTCACTGGCATTGCCGAATCATCCCCGCTACTTGCGCCTTACATTTCGCGTGTTGCCGCTCTGACAGCGAGAGTTCTTGGAAAGAACGACAAGGTTCTTGACGCATTTTCAACCTTGCGCCAGCTGATCGCATCGTACATTGCGTTTGACATTGGCGAGAAGGGAGCGCGCGCCATGCAAGAGGGCTTTGAGTCGGCAGTCCGCGAGTGTATTGCACAGCGTGTCGCTATTTCCTCCGAGATGCGACGCTGGGCTGCCACCTTCCACGAGATTGGCGACGGTCAGCACCACAAGTTCATCGACACGGCCAACTTGAACCTCGACTTTGTTGACCGTGTTTTGGACGCATTTGAAAATAGTCAGCCAAAGTGAACAACCGCCCCCCCCGCGTCCCTGCGTGCTTGCTGTTTGAGAAATTTTGGAATGAAAACGAATGTTTTTGTGTTGGTTTATGTGGAACTAAATGTTCGCCCAAATTTAACTCAAAAATACAAGCCACCAGACGATGGGTGATTAGGACCGCGAGCGGCGCTTGGCAGACTCTTGATCCTTCTTTTTGGATTTCTGCTCTTCCTTCATTTCGTGCTGTTGCTGGCTGAGAATGTTCTGCAGGCGGTTGACGTTCTGTACACGAGTGGCATCGCGCTTGCGCTGGTCCTTGAGCTCCAGGTGCGACAGATACTGGTTGTCCTTGCGGATTTCGCGCAGCGCTGCCTTCTTTTCGCGTTGAACGGCGTGCTTGAGGCGTGCCGTCTGGTTGAGCTCGCGATCGTGATCCGACGTTCCAGACGAGTGCTTTCGGCCCTCGTAGCTGAAAATGAAACAAAGAAACACAAACGAAATGAGGACAAAAGAGCGCCAAAACGAACAGCAGCAGGAGTATTTGCAAAAAATGTGAGCGACGTACGACATCTCAAACTTGGGATTGTACATCTTGATGGCTTCCGCCTTGCGACGTTGCATCTCAAGCGGGCGGCGCACGCTGAGCGCACCACGCGAGTACGTAGAGTGGAATTGCGCAACGATCGACTGGCAGAGTTTTGAGAGAGAGGACAAGTGAGCCGACCACGAAATAACACGTCAAATAGAACCGCGACTGTGTGCAAACAACGAGTACAAAAAACCACGTACAGTGCCTTGACTCGGGAAGAGCGTGGCGGGTAGTTGCTGCACTAGCAATTGAATAGGCTTGAAGATCTCGGTAAACGGCGTAAAGTCCAGCGATCTCGAGGCAAAGCGGTTGAGCAATTGGACGGCTTGTTGAGCAATCTTGAGTCTGATGCGAGGAACAAAGCGGCAAATCAGTAATCTTGAAATGTGCATGTGACAGCGTTCGGAAGGCGATGCACCAAAACCAACCCAATGCAAAACCAAACCAAACCAATGCAAAACAACAGCAAAACAAAAACAACAGCAACAACGTACTTGTCGTCAGCCTTGATTTGAGCAAGAGGGGTGGCGTCACAAATGGCACTGAGACTGGCAAGCTTTGACGCAGTTTCGGAGGCAGTTGCGCCATGGAAGAAGGCAGTGCCGGCCTTGCGAGAGGCAAACAGCTGTGCAAATGTGGGCATGAGCTGCTCGGTGGGTCGAAGGGTGGAAATGTTGCTTGGGATGCTCTTGACGAACAGGGCAACAGTGCTCTTGAGGAAGATGATGGCCTCGGGCATAAAGCGCTTCGATGACACGATGCACTGCAACACCAACGAGCAGATATACAGACCGGCAAACAGATCGCTCTTGGTCGCAACCTGTGCTTGTGTGAGGTATCGTGCAAGCAGCACCATCAGCGGTGAAGCAACCTTGTGCTTGGCGTCCGACATTGAGAAGATTCGAACAGCCAGGGTGACAAGGATGAGCGATCCGAGCGAAGGGAAGCCAGTACCCTTGCGACCCACCAAGTGCTCTGTCAACGCCTCGTTCAAAGCAATGATGCGTTCGAGGAACACGTCGCCAGCATGATCGGCCATCTGCTTTGAGAGCTCGACCACATACTTGGCAAGTCGGTTGACAGCCAGCAACGGTGCCGCGTTCTGAGAAGTGGTGCGATCGCACTCTTGCTCAATGTAGTCGAGCAGCACATCAAAGAAGGTCTAGGGGGTACAGAGAGACACAAATACATCAGCCCATCGAAAAGTGTGTGAAAGGCACTGCACGAGGGCACACAAACCGAACTCACCTCCATCTTTTCTCGGTTGTCAGGCGACAGACTGAGGTCGTGGCAGACGCGAATACGGTACACAATGGTCATTTGGTCGTCAAGCGAGCGAGATTGAAGCAAGGTTGTCAAGTCCTCCACGGTCGCAGGAGCTTCGAACGTGTACGGCAATTCCGAAGCGGCAGCCGCGGCCGATGCAGCAACGGCCTCCTGAGACTTGGCGGGCTTTGCTGACCGCGCAGGCACATCAGAAATGCGGACTTTTTTGGCAGGCAAGGTTGGGAGCGGGGTCTCGTCGCCTTCGTCCTCATCCTCATCTTCTTCGTCCTCTTCGCCTTCGCCTTCTTCGCCTTCGCTGTCTTCGTCGTCGTCGCTGCCGGCTTCCATAGCGTTGTCGTCAAGTTCAAGATCAGAATAGTCGTCCTCGGCCTCTTCGTCGTCGTCTTCGTCCTCCTCGTCTTCGTCCTCCTCGTCTTCAGCATTGTCAGGACCTGCTTCGGTATCATCGTATCCTTCGCCAAAATCTTGCTTCTTTCCGAGCTGGTTGAAACGACAACAGAAAAAAAAAACCGGAAGGACAGAATTGTTGAGAACAAGCTCGAAAACCCCAACAACACCCCGGGCCCTGAAAGAGACGAAATTACCTTGGATGCACGCTTTCCAGATGGCTTGGCGACTGGGGCATCGTCACCCTCGTCTTCTTCCTCTTCGTCGTCGCTACCGGCCTCGCCGTCTTCGTCCTCACTGTTTTCGCCTTCATCGTCCGAAGTGACAAGCTTGCCGTTCTTGTAGCGAATCATCTTTCGTCGATCGCTATCGAGCATCAGGTTGTCGTCCAGAGTGTCGCCAGACTGATCCAAGCGGCGTTTCTTGTTGGCATGCTTGCCACCTTGTTCGTCGCTCTCGTCGTCGGAAGGCAAGCCGTTCATACGACGAATACGATCACGCTATTCTCAGAAAAGTGCGGCGCAAAACAAAAAAACCCACCACCCATTTGCGGGCACAAAAGTACGTCAGCCAAAATAAACCACACACTTTTCCACACACGACAATCCATCTCCTCTCCTCGACCGCTCACCTCTAGCTTTTCAAGACGCTCCTTCTCGGCCTTTGCAATCTCCTGAGGCGTTTTCAGACGGTCTGTGGCATGGGCGCGCATTTCAAATCCGAGCGATCGAACCGCAAGATCGTAATCGTCGGGCTGTTCGCGGGGAAGGCGCCGACTGGGGTGCATGGTGGATGGCGGAGGGGCCTCGCCCGAACGGGCACGCTCGAGGGCACCGGTCAGGATATCGAGTGCCTCCTCATCCTTGGACTTGCGCCCCACAGGCTGGCTACGACGATTGACGCCGAGCAGGCCTTGGATGCTCTGGAAGTCGTCATCCAGCTGGTCCAGCATCTCTTCGGCGTTGGTTCGCTCCTTTTGCCGCTCGTACTTGTGCATCTTGGCTTGCGCGACAACCTCCTCCATAATCTCGCGATGCGAGCGTGTATCGCGCTTGTCGGCCTGATCGTCGTCCTCGTCCTCGTCCTCATCATCACCATCGTCGTCGCCCTCGCCATCCGAGTCGTGCTTTCGCTTTCGACCCTTGCCAGCAAACGGCGACTCGTCCAGGTCGTCGACATTGACGGGGTTGCGCGCGCGGGTCATGCCACCAAAGTTGACATTGTACGTGGGCGCATTGGGGTCGTTGTAGTAGTCGTCGTGATCATCAAGACGCATCGAGTACTCGTCGAAATCGTCAATCTCCTCGAGCGATCGACCATGGTGCGTCAGGCTGAGCTCGCCGTGCTTGTTGCCTCGGCGACCTGATGGCGCGTCGGCACCGTCGTTCAGCGCCCTGCCCGTGATGCGCGACCACTCTTCGTCAAAAGCACCGACGTTACGGCGCGGCCCATCTCCATGATTGTCGTCGGCATCGTCGTTGCCGCCGTCTTGGTCGTAGTAGTCGTTGCCCGCGCCGTCCAAGTTGAAAATGGAGCCCTTCTTGTTGAATGCGCGTTCCCGCTCGCGCGCATACCGTCCGAGCATCTTGTCCTCGAGCGCCATCTCGGCGTCATGCTCACCGAATCGACGATCCACAAACTCGCCCGCCCGGCCGCGCTTGGCGAGCTCCACGCGGAGGGTCTTGTCGCGGAGCTCGGTCGCACGTGCGCGAGACTGCGTGCGGTGCCCAATCTCGCCCTTCATGATCTTGTTGTGTGTGCCCAGCACGTCAAACTTGCGCCTGTTGAGCCTGAGCTCGAACGGGTTGGTGACGCTCGCTGCTGCGTTGCCAGCCGCTGAGCTGCTTGCTGGATTGAATCCCGGCCGCTTCTTGGTGCTCGGCGCCCGTCCCGACGCGATCGCGCTCACCGTGTGTGCAGTCTGAGCACGCCCAGCCGCAGCCGCAGCCGCAGCCGCAGCAGCAGCGACCGACGCAGCGACTGTGAACGGCGTCGGCGTCGTGGCCGCTCCAGCGCCATGTGGACTCTGCCTTGCTGCGCCGCCCAATGCCTTTCCACTGCCACTGCCACTGCCACTGCCACCGCCAGTGAGCACGCTGGATGGGACTGCGACAGTGCCCGAGGCCTGCTTCATGCCGGGCAGTCGGATGCCAGACAGGTACGACGTCGGCGCAGTCTTCCCATTATTGCCTTGCGCTTGGGATTGTGTGCGAAACGGAGACTTTTTCTTGCCTCCGCGCTGGTGCAGCATTGGCATGGTGCTGAGAAAGAAACAATGAATGGAAAACAAAATAAAATACAAAGGAAGATGAAGATGAAAATGAAGAAGAAGAAGAAGAAGAAAAAAAAAAAAAACAGAAGGAAAATGAACAATGAAATGAAATTGAAACGAGTGGGTGGATTGCGGCTTTCAAAAACAAACCTCAAAGCGGCGTGTATGGTGGATTTAACGTACGGCACTCACAACCGTCATAACAACAAATGTTCGATGAGCTGCCACTAGGATGGGTGTCCGAAGCTCGTCAAACATCTGCATCGAATGGGACGTCTTCAATTTGTCGGGCCTTTCAACCAAACACCCAACCACTGGATCTCAGTTACGGCCATATCTGGTGGAATGCACCGCATCCCGTTCCGCTCTGCGAAGTTAAACCACCATGAGAGTAGTTAGTACTGCGGTGGGAGACCACGCGGGAATACTGCTTGTTGTAACTCTTCTTTTTTTTTGGTTTGCTACTTTTTTTTTTTTTGCCTCGTTTTTCTATGCTTGTTTGGCGCTTTGTTGATGAGGTTTCAAAACAGTTGCCATTCCAAATCGTCGACGGAGCACGAGTGGATTGTGGAGACTGGCGTGGGTCCTGGTGCTGTTAAGGACGATTGAGATTGAATGGCTGAGCCTCTGAAAATGATGGACTCCAAAAGGGTCGCGGAATACAGGCTCTACTCGTCCCCTGTTGAACATTGAATAAACACAAATCTTGTTCCTTTCGATGAATTCAATGTGACGCTGTATGCCCAAAACGGGTCTGCGGAGTCTTCTTTTTTTGCAAAGCTCACATATGCAGGTGGAGCGAGATTGGACGACCGAGGCTGAAGTCGCCCTGTTCGAGGCCATGTGCCAACACAAGCCCATCGGTAAAGCATTGCATCAACAGTGGGCTTTTGCTCCAGCTGGGTCGCATGCACGAGTCGCGGCGACGAGTGACCAAGTGAGAGAGCGCGACGGCAGCGATTGAGTGGATTGAGCGTTCTGCTGCTGCCGCTACTGCTGCTGCTCACTCTCCTTGTTCTTCCTGCTGCACAGGGATTCACCGACAAGCACACTTCGATGCAATGCACGCTCACATTGAGCGACGGATTGGCGTTGCTGCGTCGCCGTCCCGACAGCAGATGGTCGAGCACCTCTCAAGCATGTTTGACCTGGATCGCTTGGTAACAAACGATTGTCGGGTTGTCGAGGTTGATCTCAAATGTGGCTGGATTGTGAAGAATCGAGTTGCAGGGGTGGGTGGGGTTTGATGGAGTGGTTGGATCATCACCGATCTGGTCTCGCTCATCTGCCTCACACTTTGCAGGATGTTCTCCACGCCGCCCGTGCTCAAGCTGCAGAAGCTGCAGAGGCAAGCGATGTCGATGCCCCTCGTTCGCGGAGCCATACTAGAGCACATCATACAGAGGACGAAGGTGAGGTTTTTGAGATTACTTTTTTTTTTTTTTCGGTTCAGCCTGAATCCAGAGTCTGCTTCGTTGGGGACTTTACTGACCAGTTTGCATGTCTTGCGCTGGTTACCATACTTGGATATAACACTATATATATATATATTTTTTTTTTTGGGGGGGGAAATTCAGGTCGAAGGCGCAAAACGGCATCAGCGACCGTTTCCAGAGGCAACAAGCGACAAGCATCGCCGTCTCCAGCGCGCGCCAGCTCGCCATCTCTCCAAGACCAGAATTCATCCATTATGCTGCTGCCGCCAATGCTGCTGCTGCTGCTGCTGCCAATGCTGCTGCTGCTGCTGCTGCTGCTGCCACCGCCAGTGCCTCTGCATCACCTGCCCATCCTTCAAAACGAAAGCGCGAAAAGTAGCTGTAGACTTGTCAAATACAAACGATTCCGAGATTTTCTGAGAATTCGAGCTGTCGTCTTTTGCTGTCCACAGGTGATTTGGCACACATTTATCCTTTTGGATTTCGTAGAGAAGGCAAGAAAGCGCTCGGAATCAAGCACAGATCGCTCACCCAACCATTGATTTCCCCCTTTCGCCAAGAATTTCTCGAAATCTTTTGTTCGCTCCGAGTGGATTGCCCTGCTTTTGTTTCTCGGTAAAATTCGATGCATCAAAGCGGAGGGAAAGATCTCGAAACGCGGCGATTTAGTTCCTTTTCCGCTACTCGCGCTTCCATTTCTCTCTCTCCCTCGGCTCCCTCGGCTCTCCCTCTCCAACCCAATAACACCAACCACCCGGCGCCGTGCCCGATCGCTTCCTCCCCTTGCCTGTCTCCCCTCCTTAGCTGACGTCGCTTGGCATGATTCTTCGCGAACCTTCGCGTTGCTTCTGTCGTTCTTTCTTTTCTATGGTTTTCCAGCCGCTTCTCGCGCGTTCTTTTTTTGTTTCGTTTTGCTATTTAAACGCCGCCGTTTTTCATTATTTCAAAATCACTCTTCTTTTTTTCTTTCTCTCTGTTGACCGACTATCTGATTCAACATCACAGTCCCAGACAAGCATCAAAAATCATGTCGTTTTGGTTTGCACCCCAGCAGCAGCAGCAGTACAACCGCGCGTTCGAGAGCGGCGACTCGGATGACGATGATGCAGGCTACTACTATGCGCCGCACCCTTACTATTCCCGCCATCACCAGCAGCAGCAGCAGCAGCTCCAACAGCAGCGTCGTCGTCAAGAGCAGCTGCTTCGCCAGCAGCGCGCGGAGGAACTTCGTCGCCAACAGCTCGAGCACGAGCAGATGAACGACCAATTCGCAAGTCTGTTTGGTGGCCGTGCTCCACAGATCTCGCGCTCGCCCTACCATCAACAAAAGCAGCAGCAGCAACATCGCCGCCAAACACAGCAATTCCAGCAGGAAAGCGACGACGATGAGTTTGACGCGTCGGGTGACCGCTTTAGCACCGAGCCACGCCAGCGCATTGTCGTCGACCCTTACACTGGCCGCCGCTACCTCGTCACCGAGCCTTCTCCCTCCGAGCGCGCTCGTAAGCAGCAGCAGCAGCAACTGCAATTGCAACAGCAACAGCAACAGCAGCAGGCCGAGCTCGCTCGCCAGCAGGAGCAACTCGAACACCAACGCCACATCGAGGCCAAACGCCAGCAGATGAAGCAGCGCGTGCACCAGCAGCATCTGCAGCAGCAAGCGCAGGTAAAGCAGCAACAACAACAGCAACAACAGCAACGTCGCCCAATCTCCTTGTTCGATCTGTTGACTGGCGCCTACAACGCTCAGACTGCTCCCAACACCGAGCCCAAGCCTGTCGAGCCGGAGCCTAAAAAGGAAGAGGCCCATCCTCTTCCCCGCTCACACAGCGCCGAGCTGCGCGAATACGAGCAGCACATCCACGAACGCTTGGAACAGCAACTTGCGGAGGAGCGCGCCCATCAGCAGCAAAAGAAGCAGGAAAAGGAGGCCAAGAAGCAGGACAAGCAGGACAAGCAGGACAAGCAGGACAAGTCCGGCGTCTCGCGCGAGCAACAGGCCAAGCTTGCTGCCATTGACAAGCAGCGCAAGGCCCGCGTTCAAAAGTTGGTTGGCCGCACTTACCAACGCGCTGCCACTGTCATTCAGCAGGCATGGCGAGCGCATGCAGACGAGAAGCGCGCTGCCCTTCAGGACGAGTCCGCGCGTCGCATTGTTCGTGCCTTCCGCGCTGCTGCCGCACGCCGTGAAGGCCGCGAAATCCGCGAGGCATTGCACGCCCTGGATCGTATTTCCAAGGTGCTTGACGGCCATGTCGAGCAGTACCACGATGCCGTTCTTGCCATTCCCGCCGTCGACGCCACGACCAAGCAAGTGTCCAAGGCGCTTCTGACCTATGCTGAGCTGCTTGAGCAACTCGTGCTCCGTCTGGATGGCGTTTCATCCGCTGGTTCCTCGTACATTCGCGAAGCCCGCAAGGCGTTGACCATGAAGATTCAAGGCCTGCTGGCGGAGGTGGATGCACACAAGACTGCGGCCGCCAGCACCCAAGCGGCCTCTGCCTCTGCTTCCGAGGACGAGGAAGACGACGACGCCGACAGCTTTGTTTGCGACCTTCTGCTCGACTCGGACAGTCCCTCCAACCTTTCGTCAGAAGCCGAAGAGGACGATGACGACGACTCGGCTTCTGAGCACTCTGCTCATCCCGACGACGAAGCCGTTGCAGAGGACGACCACGAGCACCACGACTACGATCTTTGCGACGAAGAGGATGCGGCTACCACGCTCGAGCCATGCAAGAGTGCCGACAAGGAACTTCATCGCGAGAACTCGACCTCGCTCGTGGATGCCATGTAATTCTGGCGTCCTGTGTTAAGTTGTTGTGTTTGACAATCTGTTGTTTTTGTTGTCGTTGTACTTTTTTGCACTGTATTATTATGGTTGTTGGAATCCTAGCCTTGTAAAGTAAAATGACATTATTTCAAGCTCTCTCTTCAACACTTCAAATCCGCGCTCAAAACGAGGTTCAAATGCAGCAAGTAATCGGTTTTTATTCTTTCGGTTTTGATCATTTTTCTTCTTCTTCTTCTTTGGTTCAAGAGCCTCAAAAGCACCCCTTTCCCCGTTTTATTTTACTTCTTGTTGGTGGTTCGGATAAGGCTTTCCATGACGTCCCATTGGTCCTTGGTGACGCTCAGGAGAGGGTTGAACTCGCCGGAAATCAGCGGGGTCTCGCCACCGTCAAAGGTAATGATATCGCCGGTAATCCAGGACGAGTAGTCGGAAACAAGGTAGGAGGCAAGGTTGGCCAGCTCGCCAATCTCGCCGAGACGGCCTGCAGCGACGCGCTTGAGCATGTACTTGCTAAACTCGCCGGTGGGGTCGAGGCGCGAGAAGGCACCCTCAGTCTCGATGGGTCCGGGAGCAATGGCGTTCAAGCGGATGCCATGGCGGGCCCACTCTGCGGCAAGCGACTTGGTGAGCGCCTCGACACCAGCCTTGGCGGCGGCGGAGGGGACGACAAAGCCGGATCCCGACTTGGCGTAGGTGGTGGAAATGTTCAAAAAGACACCACCGCTGCTCTTGGCAATCATGCGCTTGCCAGCCTCGAGGGTGACGCACGCGGTGCCGTTCAGAACAATGTCGACGACAGTCTTGAAGGCGTTCGCCGAGAGGCGCTCCGTGGGCGAGATAAAGTTACCAGCGGCGTTGTTGATGACAATGTTCGGCAAGCCGAACACGCGCGTCACCTCGTCCAGGGCGTTGCTCACATGCTCGGGCTGGCGGACGTCGGCGGCGATGGTCAGAATCTTGGCACCGTTGCCGGCGCGCGCCTCGATATCGAGCGCGGCCTCCTTGAGCACGTCCATCTAACCCACCAGCAGTGAAATTTTTACGCAACAGCAATGTAAGTTGATTTTGAATGGACCAGGCAAAAAGATAGATGGGGTGTGTGTCGTCGAGTGTTGCCAAGATTTGCGCAAACTCAGACTCTATAGTCACAACGACATGAATCGCGTTGATCAAAAAGAGAGAGAGAGAGAGAGAGAGAGAGAGAGAGAGAGAATCGAATTTCTCAGTGGAACGAAATTGAAACACAATAATTAAAACAATCTCGTCTGAGAAATCCGCGTTTTTGAAGGGATCTCCAAAAAAAAAAAAAAAAAAAAATCTTCCAGCAACGTGTATGCCATTGCACGATGGTCGACCTCGACCTCCGCTTCCCCGCTCATGCTCACCTTGCGCGATGCGATGGCCACGTTGGCACCGAGGGCAGCGAGGGTGGTTGCCATGCCCTTGCCGAGGCCCGTGCCGCCGCCGGTGATGAAGACGGTCTTGCCTTCGAACGACTTGGGCGGCAGCATGAGGCCGGTCTGCGCCTTGAACTTTGTGCGCTGGATCTCGGTCGTGCCCTTGCCGAACGCGACGTGCGCCTTGACGTCCTCCGGGACAGAGGACGAGGACGAGGACGAGGACGAGCCGGGTGCGCTGGACGCTGGGGCGGAGGCGGAGACGAGCGATCGCGAGGCGAGCGTCGACAATCGGCGGGCAGCAACAGTCTGCAGCATTGATGAAGTGAGTGAGTGAGGAGTGAGCTTCTGGCACATCAAAGTAGTAGTAGTAGGATCAAGGACAAGGAAGAAATTGTAAAAATAAAAAGGTGTGCGCGTTGAAGGTTGTGGGAGACCGGGGACGGAAAAAAGCACTGTGGTGGATTTCCAGCACGCCGTTCATTGCAGCTCATTGCCCTCTCTCATTCAGTTGTTGTTGTTGTTGGGGGACGGTCTCAATGCTATGCAGTGTACTGTATACAAAATTAGAACGCAGCCATATATGTGTAAGCGTTTCATTCTGTCTTTGTGGAGTGGTTGAGGCCAAATGTCACAGCAGCAGCAGCAGCAGCAACAAGAGCACGGATTGCGCGCAGACGCCAGTGCCAAGCTGGAAAAGGTGTGTAAACACATCGCCGTGCAAAGAACAACAGCTTCAGGCTCGTTGATCATCTCATCCTGTGTTTGATTCATGTTCTGAACAATGAATGCGGTTTCAGGCGCGCGTCTGGCTGGCGTCGGTCTTCCACCCAGCACCAGTGCCGCAGTTCGAAGTCACGGAGGACACTGTCGCTGCGATATGGAAGTTGGCTGCGGCTGCCCAGGAGCGCGATGCAAATGCAGTTGCGCTGGCGGCCGACCTGGCGCTCAAGTCTCAAGAGTACCAAGCTGAAGGTTTGACCGTTTCAACCCCCCCCTTTTTGGCGGGAAATCTCAAGCACTCAGCCCTGTTGACTTGACAGCTCACTCGAACAATATTGCATGGATTGTCACGTGAAACTAAATTAGCAACGCGCGTTCAAGAGCTTCTGGCGCTGCATGGACTGGACAAGTCGCGATTGTCCGACCAAACGCATGCGAACGTTCGATCGCTCGCACGACTCGCTTCCTTGTTGCATGTGAATGACACGTCATTAGCAAGGTAGGACAAACCCGTCGACAATGTGTGCGGCCATGACGCGCATCAACCCAGAGCAAAAGGCCCGCTAACATTGCGCTTGTTCGTTCGGAATCATCCTATTGCCCAGCCTCTATTGCGCCTTGTCAGACCTCTCCGCAAGCACCTTTGATGAATGGGACGGTGAATTGCAACGCCAGCGACGAGCACAGACCATGCATGAGCAAGTGACCAGCTCGCTTTCCCGGCTGTCCGAGCTTCGAAGGTTGGTGCAACATTGTCGAGCAAAGGGACCAACGACGACCGCTGGAGCGTGCGTGGACTGGATGCTCACGGGTGACGTGGTTATTGTACGTCTTGGTGGTTTTAGAACACTGGCCGAGCTGGACCAAGCCGAGACGGCGAACGTGGAAATTGTGGAACGACGGCAGCAAGAGCGCACCTTTTACAACAATAAAGCAGCAGAGTATCAAGCGAGCATTGCAAAGCTGCAGGTACCGATGTGTTGGCGATTTTGCGTTGTGTGGTTGTTGTTTGGTTGGAAACTGGCCTGGCTGACGTCGGTATGCCTCAGCAGCAACACCCGCTTGCATCGGAACCAAGCATTCGGCATGCAGCAATCATGGCTGAAAGCGAGGCTGTGAAGCAGATAATCGACGAATTGACCGCTATCCGAACGACGCTGGATACATTCCAAAAGCTACCGCCGGTGAGGAGCGGAGCAGGTTTCCATGTTGGCGCCTTCTGGCTTGTAGCTTCTCACAGCTGTTGTTTCCGGTGGCGTGTGTACTTGTTGCCGTCTTGTTGTTGCTACTGTTCTTGGGACGCAGGATTTCACGATGGCAAAGTTGAAGATTGAAGAAGCCCGTCGCGAATTGGTAAGTCAGTTTTTGCGCTTTGCATTTGCGTTTGCGTTTGCGGTTGCGTTCCGTTCGACGTTGTTCTCATTCAAGTTGCTCCTTTGCTACTACTTCATCATCGCGGACCACAGAGTCGACTGGAGCAAGCGGTGACGCAAGGGTTTAGCGCGATCAATGCGTAACTTTGAATGGAAAACAAATAAACATGCTGCGTTGTGAATTTGCGCACTCCTTCTTGGTGCAAGCCGCGGCGAACTGCGATAGCGTCAGCAAAAGCCGCGAGCCAAACATGAACTACAGTACTTTGACCAAACTTTCTGGGCTTTTGAACAACTTGAAGTAACAACCCTGTTCAAAGACATGCAATTCATTATTTCCAAAGAAGAAAACGACATTGACATGCAACTTGGAATAACACAACGAAAATCAACAAGAACGGGCGAGAAGAGGAGAGGGGGCATAACTCAAATTGGTTCTCAGGTCCGCAGAGCGCGAGCGAAAGTCTTGGCAAAGTTCACGCCTGGTTTCACAACAATGTCGCCGTAGGGCTCGCCTTGGGAGATTTCCAAGTGGTTTGTGACGCGAAGATGAAGCAAATGCACAAAAAACTCGGCGGCCTTGCTACGGGTAGCGTTGTCCATGTGTTCTTTGAAGCTCATCTCGTCCTGCTTCTCGAAAATCTCGTTCAGCTCGCGACGAGTGAGTTCCTCCGGAGCGTCCGCCGCCTGCTTCCGTGCCTGCGCCCCCTCGTCGTCAGCCTGGTCCTCGTCCATCTCGTCCTCGAGCTGGCGCCGGCTCTTTCGTGTCTGCTCGGTCATGAGCGCGGCGCCTTCCCTGCGATTCGCCAGCCGTTGCTCCCGCTCTTCCGCCGTCTCGGGCTCTAATTGGTTGTAGTCGCCATCATCGTTGTAGCCAAAGTCATCGAACGGGACGTCACCAACGGTGGTGGAGTCATCGGTGGCGCTCATGGCCTGGTCGGGGTAGCGCGCTGGAGTGGCAGGTCGCTCGTGGTCTCGCATCTGTTCGGGTTCGATGCGGGACGTGTCAGCCGCGCCGGCATCGCGCTTGCGCAATGTTCGGTCGTCGCTCGATGTTCGATCGTCGTTCATGGCCCGCTCCAACAGCTGCAGCAGCAGCGGGGAGACGGTCGCAAACATGGCGGGGTTGTTGAACAAGCTTGAAGGTCCAGCAAGTTCGAATTGTCTGCACGTGGCAAGCCAAGGAGGCGAAACTGAGCATGCAGGTTGTTTTCGAATGCCATAGCATTGGCTTGCAAGACTAACACTCACCCCCCGCCCCTTCCAATTTCTCTTACCGAACACGCATTTGACGCTTGGTCAGGGGCGCAGGAACAAACGACTGCTGAACAATGTTGTCGCTGTTGGCGAGCTGCGCCTTCATCTGCGCCGTTGAAATGGTAATCTCGTTGTCAACGACGAGCTTTCGCTTGTTGGCGCTGTGTGTTTTGAGGAAGAACAAAAAATATAAACAGAAAAATTAACAACAACAACAAAAATAAAATAAAAATAAAGAGGGCGCTCTGCGATGGTTCACTTCCGTGACCAACGTCACCAAAAACTGTCCCCCCAAATACACGCACACACGTAAAGCGAAAAGGCAGACATACCGGGTGCGAAGGGCTGGCTTGGGGGCGGGGGCGGCCGAGGTGTCGAGCACGGACGCCTCCATCGACATCGACATGGGTTCGAGCAGCGTCTGGTTGTTGGACGGCAGATCGAGCATGTCGCTGAGACGGACACTGTGACGGAGGAGCGAGCCTGCTTCGGAAGCACCAGGCAGGTCGGACTCGTCCGCCATGCTCTCCTTGGGCATGAAAAAGTCTGTGACATCGCCATCGTTTGCGCCAAAGTTGTCCTCTCCGTAAAAGTACGTGTCGTCGACGTAGTCGTCACCCCCGCGTTCTTGGACGTTTTTGGTCGGCAAGGCCAGCGCGCGGCGATCGAACGCCGTTGTCTCCTCGTCGTCGTCTGGAGCGCTTCGCATGACCTCAGCCACATGATGGTCTGTGGACTCGTCAGCCGGTCCAAACTCGCTGTCAAAGCCATAGTCGGCGTTGCCGTCGTTCGCGCCACGCATGACTTCCGTGATGGCTGAAGTTTGCAAATCGAGCGCACTAATTCGGCAAGAAGGAACGAAAAAAACCAACAAAAACAGAACAGCAACAAATCATCGATAAGTGTGAGAGTCTTATACAAGCGACGTTCCACGGCTCGAGTCAACCCAACCCAAACGCGCTTGATGCAAGTTCAAATGGAAGCGCGCCATTTCGGCTTTGTTCTTGTTCCGCCTTCCCCCACCCCCGTTTCTTCTTCTTTCTGGCACTCTCAAACTTACTCAAAGTCAACGTCGGCGACTAGAAAGTCCATGTCGCGGGCATTGGCTGGGAGCGTGATGGCCGAGAACGCGGCCGAGCTGGCGTCGGCGGGAAGGTCGACACGGCCAGTGCGGTAGACCATTCGCAGCTTGACGAGGGCGTCCGAGCAGTCGGCGAGGAGGTACTTTGCCTGGCGCGAGTAGATGCGCACGACGCCCAGCAGCAAGTGGCCCGACGTGCGCAGGGACAGCTTGATGGGGTGCTTGAGAATCTCGTTGGACGAGTCAAAGACTTTGATTTCAGCGATTTGCTTCTTGTTCAGGCGGCGGTCCCAGTGCGCGGCCAGCCACACTTTGCCCAGAACGGACTTTTTCGCCAGAACGGTCTCTGAATAGAACATGGCAGTGGCGGTGGTGGGCGCTGGCTGCGAGCGGCCAACTTGCGGAAAAAGAAAAGAAAAGAGAGTGTTTTTGAAAACAAAAAAAAAAAAAAAGGCGGGAAAAAGAAAAGAAAAAAAAAAGACTGCTTGCAAGCAAAAGGAAAACAGACAGGGCGCCAAAAAGTGAACAAAGAACGAACGAACAAAGAACGAACAAGAACAAAGAAGTTGGGAAAGGACGAGTTCGAGATGGAGAACGCTTTATTCGAGGCATCGGGCATGCGTAGGCAAAAAAAAAAAAAACAAAACAAGCAGTACAGTGCGATTGCTAGATCTAGCGTTATGCGTTGGTCAAAATGCGACGATCGCGAAGTGACGGTGCTTCGAGTGCTCTCCCGTGTGTGCCGGGAAGATCCACTGAATGACTCTCGAGAGCATTGCCATTGGAGCGCAGAGATTGATGCTATTCTTGATGATGAACGCTCCAATCCAAGGATTTCCCCGAACGAGTTTCCTTCACAGTGGACTGCAGGCGGATTGGATTGTCAATACAAAACAAAGCCGCTTCTATGATTCACGTTCTTGTCATCATAGAACGCTCTTGTGGCCTTTGTGTTGGTCAATGACGAATGACGCGGGGATTCAATCTTGCTCTGGAGCGTCTGGTCAGGGACAGAGAGCAGGAAAACCTGTTGCCCCCCCCCCTCATCACTCGCAATGAATGCACCTCAGTTGGTTGCACTCAGTTGTGACGGAAGAACTTGAGGCCCATCCACTGGCAGAACAGGAAGAAGACGGCTGCGGGCGCAGAGAACACAACCACGGTCGTGTAGTAGTCACCCGCAACCAGTCCATGCACCAGCACCGCAGCGACACTGGCGAGCGCAGCCAGCACCAGCACATCACGCAAGTCGAGCTCGCGCACAAGCTGCCACAGCGTCATGATTCTCCAGTCAGAGAAGTTGTGTATGTGTGAGTGAGTGACAATGGAAATTCTCAGACTGAGCCCGCGCTCGAGCCGCAACCATTTCTGAGTTTCTGATCCCAACTAACAATGCATCGTGCTATTCATGGCCAAAGATTGCGTTCAGTCGTTTTTTCTTTTGTTGTTTTCTGAGCTTTTTCTGGCGTTTGAACGCATGGCGCCAAACGGAGATTCAGCTGCGACACCATCGTCGCCACCGCCAGCGCCGCACCAAGCGCCAGCAGCCCAGCAGCCAACAGCAACGCTATGGGAGCAGCTCGTCCTGTCGCGGTTTGCAAAGGCAGACGTCAGACAGCCGTTCGAGTGGTCGAGTGTGCGCACTGGCGCAATCGTCGGAGGTCCGCATCTGCCTGTGATGTTGTCGCATGTCTAGGTCTCAGCCGCAAAAGAGCTCATCACTAACATCAAAAATGCATGCAAAACAACAAAAAATGCAGCGACGAGTGGCGCGATTGTGGCGCTGGGCTTGACTGCAACGAGGCGAACCGACCGGCCGCTGAGCACGACGCTTCCCAAGCTGGCCGCGACATGGGCAATGCTGGGCGCTACTTTTGCAGGTACGCACCACCAGACAGGCGAGCGCATGTTTGTCAAAGAGAATACCCGCGATTTTATTTGGGCTTGTTGTTGTGATGTTGGCAGGATTTCGTGAACTTGTCTCGACAAACCCAAGCAACGGTCCAGTAACTTCGACATTTATCGCATCTACCGCGATCGGAATCTTCCATGCTGGTTTGCGATGTACGCCAGAAAAACAATCTCGCTGGTCTGGAAGGATTTGCTTCAGTATCTCACTTATTTCTGTGACTTTGCGTATTTAGGGACACCTTTGCCACCGGCGCAGGCACTCTCTCGCGTGGCGTTGGCTGCAACCATTCCTGCGGCAATACACTGGACCGCACTGGCGTCACAGAAGTGGCAGCACGAGTACACGCTGAAACAAATTTACGAGCAAGAGTTGGAGCGACAGCGCGAAGCGGCCGGACTGCCAAAACCCGTGCCGTGGTACGACAAGCTCCAAGTGCGTACCTTGTCACCCGATGAAAAGATGGAGCGATTGCTCGCAAAAGTCAAAGCGTACGAGGCGCGACTGAAGGCGGAGGAAGAGCGCAAAGAAGCCGCCGAGCGACAAGCCCAACAAAAGAAGCAAGATCGATAGCTGCCCTCTTCCCCCAATAAAAACTCGTTGTACTATTTCTTCCTTGACCTCATTGGAAGGTTACGCCGATGATGTAAAAGGTGGGGGGGGGGCAACGAGAAAAGTTCGTGAAAAATACCCAAAATATTATTCAAAAAATGCAAACCACAAATACAAGCTGCAAGCACACTCGTTCGTCCACAGTGTGCGCAGAATTCTGTGCCGCCTTTAACGTCGCATTGGCAACAGGTGCGCTGCAGGTTGGAGCCAATCAAATAAAAACAAAACAATGAGCGTCAACTCAGATGCCACCTTTGTTCTGTCCAAACACAAAAACAACGAATGCGACTTACAGCGCTTGGGAATCGACAACGGCTCTTCGTCGGGAATCAGCACTTCGTGCATCAGCTCCTTGAACTTGTACGAAATGTAGAGATGCTTTGTCTCGCCAATGCAAGGGTCGTAGAATCCAAGCATGTTCGCTTTCGATCCTTCGTGCAGGTGGAGTTCAGAGTCCTTGACATGGCTTTGCAGCGGGAGGGTCACATCAATCACGAACTCTGACGTCTCCCGGCGTGATTGCGGCTCCTTGACTCGGCCATACAACGCCTTGATAATGATCAAACCTGCCGTCCATCGAGTGGCAAATGGCGTCAGACACTCGAAGATTGTGTTTCAAGCTTCTCCCGAAAACTCCGCCCCCACCATTACCTGCGCGTTCCGCTTCAATGGCAATCTTGCGCTCCACGGCTTCGCGCATGAGATCAATCGCCACCTTGGCCTCTCGCTTGGCCAAAGCAATCTTTTCGGCGTTCTCTTCACGCAGCTGGTCGAGTTTTCTGCCAAGCATTGCATGTGTCGAGAGTGAGATGTCGCGTGGACAGGCGAGAAAAGAAAAACAACCAAAAAAAAAAAACAAAAAAAAACTGTCTCGCTCACCGTTGAGCTTCACGGGCACGATGCGGCAACATGACAAACATGTGGAAGAGAGAGTAGAGGGCAAGAGGGACGACGGTGCCAAACACGGCAGGAGCGGGAAGGACGTCGTGGGAGAGGGTGATTGGTAATACGTATTGCTGCGCCACGCGAGTAATCTTGAGCTTGAACACAATGCCCATCGGTATTCCGATCGTCAGAGACATGCCGATGCGCGTGTTTTTGGCAACCTTGCGATCTGCGCCGTACTCGATGAGGACACCGTTGGACCCTGCTTTGCCCGCAATGCGGAATCGGGAAGAGTCGGTGAGGTTGTGAACGTAGGTCAAACCAAGAATAGTTTGGTTCAAACCAAACTAGTTTTGTCAAAGAAGCAAACAAACAAAAAAAAAAAAAAAGAAAAAAAAAGTGAGCGCAGCAACTCAAACTTTGAACAGAAAAACCCAAACAACACATTTCTCACCTGCATAATGCCAGTAAACTGAGAATTTTCGGTCGTGCGCGAAATGGTCGAATTGATGGCCGAGTGGATGCCGCCACCCAGAGTGAGAAAGCCGGTCGTATGGGCGCCAAGAGTTTGGGCGACGGTTCCAGAATACCCGAGCGCATACCGGCCTGCATTCAGTTGTTGCACAGTCGCCATTCCAACGAAATACAGATGCTTGTTGATGTGTCGCAGACCACGGACGGTGAGCTGGCCGCCAGAGCCTGCACCCACCTCCACTTCGCCCCAGGCAAGGTTGGAAATTTGATGGCGCAACGACGCCAGAACACTGCCCGAGCCGTTGCCGTTGCGAACACCCAGCTGTCCGCTGAAAGTCACAACGTTCTTGTCCGAGACAGGGCATTCGATCGACTGCTGGATGCTGAGAGCGGCAATGGCAATGTCTTCAAGCGAGAAGGACATGCCTCGTGCCTCCAGCTCGTCATCGTGCATGTCGACTGTTAGCTGTTGCCGACGCTTGGTCTGCTGGCGCTCGGCGGTCTCTTCTGTATCGCGTTCGTCTTCTGCGGCGTCCGTCCGTTTCCCCCGAGCCTGCCGTTTCTGTTGTTGTTGTTCTTGTTGTCGTTGGCGTGCGCGTTGGTGTGCCTCGACAGCGACAGAGTTGTCGAACAGCGCCGATGCGTCCACTGCTGCAACAACCACGCCCTTGGCATTGGTGCGCATCTGCAGGTATTGCTGAATCCGGCGACGCTTCAAACGCTCGTACTCTGCGCGGATTTCCTCGACCTTGGAGACGCCGCGCACGGCAATCTCCTGGCCCAAAACGAGGGCGCGATCCTTGTCCATGTCGTACAGCTGCCTGTTGGTTGGGTTTTTGAGCACCTCGTACGCCTTGCTGATCTTGGTGAAGATGAGCTCGGACTCTTGCTTGTGCAGTGGATGCTTGTCGGGGTGGAAGAGCGTGCTCAAGCGGCGAAACGCCTGCTCAATCTCCTCCAGGGTGGCTGACTGCGCAACGCCCAGCACCTGGTATGGATTTGGCTTGCCGTCGTCCGTGTCTTCGTTCTCGTCCTCGTGCATGTCAAAGAACTCGCGTCTGCGCTGCATCTCGTGCATCCACAGCTCGTTCGGCGAGTCGTCCGTCCCAGCGCCGCCGGCACTCGACTCGCCGTTGCTCTGCTGGTGGCTGCTGCTCCCACTGCCACTGCCACTGCCACTGCCATTGCTATTGCCACTGCGTCGGTACGAGTAGGCCTCGGAGCTCTCGTACGTCGCGCTCGTCGACGGTGCATACTGTTGAGCGTTCTGGCTCATCCTTGACCGCCCCACCCTTTTGTTGATTTCCGTTCTGATTCCCAATGCAAACAATACAGAGCAAAATGGAACTGTGAGTATGTCGGGGGAAGGCTGAGGGTGGGATGTAGGTAGGTCAATGCACTGAGACATGAGTGACGGTTTGAAACCAAAAAAAAAAAAAAAAAAAAAAAAAAAAAGTCAATGCCAAGACAGCGAAAAAAAAAAAAAAAAAAAAGCGAAACCGTTTTTTTTTTTCATTCATCTTGATGTTCGTTCTTGTTTGTTCTTGTTCTGCTTCTTCTTTGCAATTTGAATGTTGTTCGTTGTGTCTTGCAATTTTAGTTGTTTGTTTGATTTCTAGTTTTTTTTCGTCGAAGTGACAAAGCTCGGGCTGCGGAAGCTGGGCTTTGATTTTCCATGTGTGATTTTCAGCATTTTTTTTTTTTTTTTTCTGTTTCAAGCTTACAATGAAAAAAGTAAGGAAAAAAAAAAAGTGAGACTGCTATTTTGTCGCTCAGATATCGAAAGGAGACACGTTGATCTGCGAGCATTGAAAAGGAACAGACTGTTGCCGATTGCCGGGCAAAAGCCTTTCTAGCGAGCTATCAACCAACTTGCGCGCGCTTTTGTCGTTGAAACAGTCTCTCGTAGAATCGTAATTTTTTCGAAATTCAGCGGTTATCGAAAAGAACTGTGGCATGGATCATTGCCCGCGGTGTTGCTGTTTTGAGAGCACGATGGATTCATGCATCGCTGTGTGTTTCGCATTTGCCAATTTTCTCGAACTTGCTCATTCGACTGACTGACGAGGGAACTGGTGACGACAATCGTGCAGCGCCACGCCTGTGTAAATGACGCCGTCAAGCATGTCGTTCATTGCCGCTCATTGCCGCTCGTCCAGCTCGTCCAGCTGAAGAGTGGGGTCTGGGCATTGTGAGTGAAGCTGTTCGCGGCGAAAATGTCAAAGACAAGTTCTCAGTCATTTGTTTTTCGCGCCTTTTTTTTTTTTTTTTTTCCCCTTTTTTTTTTTTTTTTTTCCCCTTCTTTTTCTTCTTTTTCTCTCCCCCCCCCTCACGCTCCTTTCCTTTCCAACGCAACAATGTCCACCGCGGCCGCACCTAAAACTGAAAAGCAGTGGTTGAGTCTCTATGTAAGGGCACAACCACTCTGCTCTCGTTGTGCCGTTCGTGGTGCTCACAGCTGCGCTTTTGTTTCTTTGCTTTTCAGGCTGAACAGCTGCGCAAAGAGCTCACCAAGCGCGGTCTCGCATCTGACGGCTTCAAGAAGGACATGGCGGCACGTCTCGTGGCTCACGATGCAGGGCTGCATCTACCGCCGCAGCAGCGACAGCAACAGTACCAGCCAACACGGGCAACAACAGCAGCAGCGTCGCGAGCAGCAGCAACAGCGACCCGAGCAGTTCAGCCGCCGGATTGACCGACGATGCACCGCCTCCGCCGGCCAAAGGCACAACATTCATCTTTTCCAGTAATGAATTAGAAGACGTGGCCGGGCCAGGCGAGATCCAGACCTTGCTGGGCGAGCATGGTCTGCAGCTCGAATTGCTCGATCGCCAACTTCCGCAAGAACTGTTCAACAAGCTGGTTGGTCCGATTGCCGTCGAACCTCGCTACCTCAGCGGTGTTGGGGGTGTTGGCAAAAGCAGTATTCTGCTGATGCTGGTTGTGCTGGTGATGCGCCACAACAAGGCCTTCTTTTCGCGCTACGCCGCGTCCCGCGCTGCTGATGCCGCTCCTGCTCCTGCTCCTGCTCCTGCCCCTGCTCCTGCTCCTGCTCCTGCTCCTGCTCTCGCTCCTGGTTCTTTCGATGGTGTCATTTTCCTCATCTACCTGCCCGAGACTGCTGCGTTCGTTGGACAACAACCTGAGGTCGCGGCTTCTCAACTGATCGGTGATATGCGAATTGCCAACCGCCGTCTGTTGAGCTCGGGCTTCCTCGATGAGCCCGCGTTTCGGAAACTCAAGGCGGCTTTTGTCGAAGATGATGGGCCCTCACTCGACCAATGGGGCCGCATCAATGCTGCGTTGGCTGGCCTCAAGCCCGAAGGTCACCGTTTCCGCACCCTCGTCCTCATCGACCAGTGGAATTCGATCATTCATGCGAAAGCCCTTCCCGTTGGTGACGAGGACCAGCTCAAGGCAGACCATCCTGCTCAAGCCTTCTACAGACTCAGCACACGCTTCGGTTTCTCGTTTTTCGTTGCTGCAGTCAGCTCCTCGCCCAGGATGGACTCATCCAACGCTTTCAGCGGCGCGCAATGTGGTGGAGCTGAACAGCCAATCGAGTTCCTGACTGATGAAGAAGCAGAAACGTTGCGCGCGATTTGGTACTACCGCAATCCACCCTTCAGAATCACCGCCGCCAGTATGAAACAGCTTCACCTGAAATTCGGTGGCGTCGCGCGCATTTTGCAGTATTATGCAACATCCCAGTCCCACAAGAATCCAGAAGCAGAGTTTCGCCGACTGTGCGAGCAATATTACGACCACCGACTCGATCGCCTTATTGAGCGCCTTCGTCCCACAACGGAATTCACCAGCCTTGTTTGCGACCTCGCCACGATTGTTGCGCGGACAAGCATCCCCGAGAGGACACCCGAGGTTTGGCTGCAGACCGGCTTGATGAAGGCACACCCAACTGAGGCAGACCAACTCGTCCCGGTCAGCGATCTGGTTCGCGCCGCGGCTGTGAGTCGCTTCAACGCCGAGCGAGCCGGCCTGATGCGCATTGTGTTTGACAACCCGGCCACGACCTGGAGCGCACTCGAGATTTTCGTCCTCTCCTGCCTTCAGTATGCGAGTCAAACGTTGAAGGGGACGAACCTGTCACACCAGGCGGTCCTAGAGCTTACCATAACTGTCGACAATGTGCATGTGCTCGACCGGTCAATCACGAATCTTGGCGCGAAAAATTACCTCGCTGCTTTCAACGGCGATCAGCCTTTCCCGGTCGGCACGCTGCTTGTTCCTGGCTGGTCCAACCATCCCGTTGCCGATGCAGTCTTGCTGACGCGTCAAAACGATGACTCGAACGTCTTGATCTTTTTCCAAATCAGCAAATCTTCGTACGCCGATCACCAGACCAAACTGCCCCACTTGGCTTCCGACACAATCGGCAACGCGTCTGTTTTGGATGTGTATCGCGGGCTGTTTGGCCTCACCAACAATAAGGCCTACGACACACCACACATTGCTGAAGGCAAGCTCGACGGTACCCTTGTCAAGTATGTTTACGCCACTTTGGCCCAGAAACCTTTGACGAAAGCACAGGGTGAGAAAAAAAAGGAGAAAACAAAGGAGAGAAAAAAGGGCAAGGATCAAAAAGATCAAGAACCGCACCACGTTTTTCTGATGCGCGAGGAGCATGTCAAAGTGCTGGATTCCGAAGCATGGGCCGCAAGGTAGAAGAAGAGTACACCCAATATGAAGCTGCAAAAGCCCTCCAAAGGCAAGTACAAAGCACCAGCAAGGTGCAGGCGGGGGCGATCTGAGATTTTGGTAAATTTGTGCAAATATGGAAACCAATAATACAATAAATTTTATACAAAAATCATTTTTAATAATAGCTGACCAATCGGTCGTCGAGCAATTTTCGTATTCGCGTTCTGCTGATGCACCGAATTTTGACCGATAGAACTGGCAAAAACTGTTTTCCGAACTTTGACCAAAATTCGGCGGATTTTCTTCTGAAATTCGGAAAAAAAATTTCCACTGTGCATGGCGGGAAAAAAAAAAGTGTTGCTCTCGATTCCAACGTATATACTGACTAACAACGATCAATTCCCCCAATCTCTCTCACTCTCTCTCGCAAGCTTTAGATATCTCGGAGATGGGCAACGTCACGCGCTTTCTTAATCTTGGCGCGCAGCATGAATTGGCGAAGCGACAGCGTTCGAACATGCTGTAGACGAGTCAAACCAACGAGTGAGCTGAACGAAAAACCCGAAACATTTTACACTTCAAACAATGCCACGCACCTTGACGAAAACCGGAAGATCAATGACATGGTGTTGCAGTGCATTTGCAAGGTGGTACAATGCGTCTTCGAGCGCACTTTCTTCGGCAACCATCTGGAGCAGCCTGAAAACACAAACAGACAAAAAACAAAAGCAAACAAACAAAAAAAAAACAAAAAAAAAAAAAAAACACAACGTGAGTACCCGATTTCCCTTTCGCTTTGTACTCGAGGTCAGCGATTTGTGTGCAACGTACTGCTTGTACAAGGGCGTCGAGGTTGTGACAGCCTGATCGACGGGAATATCACCGGCACTCGCGAGCCTGGCCATGTTTCGCTTGATCTCATCCATGGCAGCATCGAGCCGAACGCAATTTTCCTCGAGCTTGACCTGCTCTTCTTCCATGTTGGCAAGCATGCGGTTGACTTGGTCTCGTCCACTGATGAGCTCGCGATTTTCCTGTTGCAGCAGCTGGATGCGCTCCTCGGCGTCCGACAGCTTGTTGCGCAGCTTTTCCCGCAACCGCTCGGCCACAGCGCTCTTGATGGACTCGAGCAAGACCTGCTGCTCTTCATCGGCCTCGGCGTTGCTTTGCGCCTCCCTCGCCTTGGCCTGCACCGGCGGTTGCGTTAGTGGCTGCTGCTGTTGTTGTTGCAGTTGCTGTGGTTGTGACTGCTGCCAGCTCTGTTGTTGCATGTAGCCACCTTGGGCAATCCGGTGCTGCTCGGCAGCGTTTGGAAGGGACGGCATCTGCATGCGCGCGTTGGATTGGGGAAATCCAGTGCCAGGATTGTTGGTGCCGAAAACCGGATAGGGCAGGTTGCTGGTCGTGTACGCCGCTGGAGGGATGGCAGGGAGGGGCGCATTATAGCCGCCTCCCGATGAAGAAGAAGACGAGTATGATGAATGGGAGGGTTGCGAAGGTTGGGAGGGTGGAGGAGGAGTTGCGCCAGACGAGGATGACTGCGAAAACACTGGCGGCTGGATGCTGAACGCGCGCACCATATCCTGCGTGAGGTCTGTCAGATTGGATGTCTGACCGCGAAACAACAACAAAAAAAACGAGGGGCCAAGAAGACAAGAGGTGGCAGAGTGAGAACGACAAACGATTTTTGCGCAACAAGAAATCATGCTGTGTGCTGGTGTGCTTTACCCCCGATTGCCATTGACTGAGCGTTGGGAGCATCACCATGCCGTTTGCATCGACACGCTCCGATGGCCGAACGCGCATTGTGGATGTGGGCACGACATAGCAGATGGGTGCGCTCGAAGGGTGGTCGATGCAGAGCCAAATTTCGACCGGAATATTGTACGACGCTCCTAAAAACAGCCAACAGCCAAAGCAAAACCAAAAACAAAAAAACAACAAGTCAGCTTCATGCATCATCGACATGCATCATCGACATGCGTCATCATCATCATCGTCAGGGTTGGCATTTGCGAACTGTACCGCGATATGAGATGGGCAGTGTTCCTTTCAAGCACATCATTGTTTCCTCGTGTCCGTCCATGAACGCTGGTCCACAGCCAAGCACACAGTGAGCACACACAGATACATTTCAACCTCATTCAAGGCTTCCTTGCTCCCCCCCCCTCTCCTCTGAGCCGATCGAAGCTTGAGCGACCAGCTTCTTAGGCTCGACGATGACGTTATTGAGCCAGTCCAGTCAACGGCGTCCCTCTCCACGCTGCCCCTGCTGCTCGTGTCAACGAATGAGACGAGATTGGAGGAAAATCAAGCAAAGCGTACTGTAGCGTTCCATGCTGGGCCGCAGGTTGCGCTGGGACGCGAGGAGTCGCTGGACATCGCGCTCAGTCTCGCCGGCAAAGATGTACTGCGCAAGGCAACAGCACAGCGAGGCAACAGCCAAACCAAAGCAACAAGGGTGAGTCAAAAGAGTGACAGAGAGGCAGAAGGAATACGGAGAGGGCAGGGGGTGGGTGGGCGGCGTTGACCACTCAATGCAAACACAATAGAAGAAGGGTCGTACATGGCTGATTTGCGATTGGATCCACTGCGACAGTTCACTCATCTCAGAAAAATAGAATAAGCAATAAAGTAAGACTGAGAAATTAGGAACGAAAGCATGAGACGGAGAGAGACTGAAACGGGGGAGATGGAGACTGATTCTTTTGCTTGGTTGATGGATGCACTTGAATGCCTTCATCTCCCAGCTGGAGCGCTCTGTCAGGCTTCCCATCAAGTTGCCCAATGTTTCCAACGCATCAAGCCGACTCATTGACAGGCATGTAGTCATTCATTTTTTGCTCGGCAGAAGAGTTCGAAGGCATGATCAATGAAGCAAATCGCGTTTCGTTCCAAGTGCAAACCATAGAACTGAGAACAGTGGAGATGATTACAATGAACTCGTAAACTTGGTGCTGTCAGTCGCTTCGCTTGAAAACAAACAAACAAACAAGCAAACAAACCAACAGCCAGATGCAAACGCCCCCCCCCCCAATTCAAACGATCAAATAAGAAGCAGAACAAGCCCAGCTGCACGACTTTCCATTCAATCCTGTCGGTTTTGCTCGTCGGTGACCTCCTCGACAAACTCTGGGTGCTCTTTCAAATGGCCAGAAATTTTGCTCTGAAGAGACTGGAAGGCAGAGCACAACAATCGCATCAACCCAGGTGCAATGTTGGCTTGCTCCAGCTCGAACAAGAAAAGAGACCGCTGGGGCGCCAGGCGGCCCATCGTTGCAGGCACGAGCGGCTGCTCGTTGTTGTTGTTGCCGATTTTGAGCGTGGAGGCGTGCTTGACAAGGAACTGGCGCGTGGTCGACACGAATGCAAAGTGGTTGAACAGATTCAAGGCATCCGACATCGGGGCGGCCACCAGCGGCTCTCGAATCCCATTGTCCATGCCTTGACAAATGCGAATAGCAAGCGGCTCCACGTTGGCTGTGAAGAGTGGAACTTGAGAGTCAGTCTGTCGCATGGGCTTGTCGCGCCACACGCTATTGACAATTTCCAACAGGGTGGCGTTGTGCAAAGTCATCGTGTCGGACGTTGCACGGTCGACCATGCCCCACTGTTCAATTTTCTTGATCTTGGTGTAGGTGTCTCCGATTCTACGTTAGGAGTGAGTGTGTGAGTGTGTGTTCAACAGCAGATAAAATGAGAACCTCGTGGCCCCACCAGAACAAAAAAACATAAACTCAACCAAGCCCAGACGCTTACCGTTGGAGTAAATCGCACACACGTGAAACAACCATCATTTGGGTGCTGTAAAACAGCCGTGCAAGGATACTATGTGGTGGGTGAATGTAAAATGGCAAATTGTAGTCCCGCAAGAGCGACTCTCCGAGCTCAAAGAAGGAAAGCACGGCGTGTTGCACAACAATGTGATCTGCGTCAAGCTGCATGACGAGAAACGGACGAGCAGCCAAAAAAAAAAGAAGAAGAAGAAGAAGAAATTAGTCCAGAACCGACGAATGACCAATGCACAACGACGACAACCAAACGTACTTCAAGTGCAACCAAGCTTAGTCGCTGAACGTGCAAGCCAAATTCTTGAATGGTGCGGAAATAGTTGACTTTGCGCGAAAGTGTATGACTGTTGAAAATAAACTCGTGCTCGGGCTCGCCCGGTGCAGAGGGAGAAAGGAAGAATTTTCGCCAATCCACGCTGCACATGCGATGCAACAAATGGCGGTAGGCTAGCAAAATTTCGGCCTTCCCTTGCGGCGAGGAGGTTTCGAAAATGTGCTGCAAAGGAAACAAGAACTGTCCATAGAGTTCCTCGTACATTCTGCGACAGAAAACCGGTGAGACGGCGACTTCAAACAACAGCATCACGGCGACACTTGCAGCCAGCAGCATCAAGCTTCTTACAAGGGGGAAATGCGAGATACGAGCGCCAATATCTCGGCACGATGATCAATTCCATTCCAAACGCGAAGGTATTTGGTCAAGAACGTGAGCACGACCTGGTCAGACTCCAAGAAAAAGTCGTTCAAATCCACCAACGTCTGAAGCAGTCGTGATCGCCGATTGTAGATGGCACGATCGCGCACGTTGAGATCATGCCCGCCGTCAAACGTAAAACTCGGTTGCGCAACCGTAGCACTTGATTTCAAGCCAGGCAGCTCAAATTCACGTGCCAGATCGGGATGGCGAGTCTGATCCATCAGCCGTGCAGTACTTGTCGCGTCACGCTGAATGGCTAGTCGCTCGTTCAAGGCGGCTTGATTGCGAGCAGTGGCGTTGCGTTCCAGTTCCGCGCCCGTCGACGCAGTGTTTGCTGCCATGGCTGTATTTGCGTCGCGAGCGCCAAACTCATCCGCGAGCAACTGTTCCAGGTAATAGCCGAGCCGACGAATCAACACGGGGTCGCCGACGCAGGACAAGGCGTGGCGCAAAATTGGCGACTCCAGCACTGCGGCAATTTGGTTTGGCATTTCAACGCGGTCGATATTGTGGCCTAGTTCCGAGAGCGAGTTTAGTTGCTCCAACGTAGCCGTGTGTCGCACTGTGAATCGGGCGCCGATATCTCTCATCCCGAGCACAGTTAAGCCTTTGACGCTTCCAGCAGCGATATGAGATGTGTGCAAAACGGGAGCGATGGGATCCAGGCGCAACCGTTTCTTTGGGGGCGCCAATGCCCGCGACGATGACAATGATGAGGAGAATGCCGGCGTGATGGCCAAAGTAGTGGAGTCGCTGGTGTGGCGACTACTGCTGAGCGCTACTGGAGTGTAGTGCAGCGCCGACCGACTCAGAATGGCAAGACTTCCAGCGCCGCCTGACGCACCTGAAAACAATGGCACATCGCCGCGGGGGTTGGCAAAGTTCTCGGCAATGCTGTGGGTGTGAGCCATCAAGCGCGCAAGCACCGAGTCAGGCGCCTGGAAGGTGGCACGCTGCAGCTGGACCCCGGAGAGCGAAATGGAGATGAGATCTGGCTGATACAGCTGGTACACCCGAAGCAATGCGAGCAGTGAGTGGTCACCGCCGGCTTTGCGGTTGAGATCGAGCAATCGGCGAACGCGAAAGGGCTGGGCGTCGCGTCGCCGTGTGAGCAAGTTGAGCAGCGCGCAAACCGAAGGTCGGAGTGTGTCAAAGTCTAGATAGTGCATCAGCATGCCGTACAAGCCGTGAACAGTGTCGGTCGAGCTGAGGTATGGGTGCGCACACACGCACCACTTGAGCGCGAGGGCTTGGATGACGGGCGACATCATGCGAGCTGTCAAGCGACCCACCACCACCACCAAGCATCGTTCTGGGATGCCTGCGTTCGACGGCAGACACACGTGCAGCAATCGCGACGCGCGCGTGTCGTTGTGCTTGCCGCTCGTTGCCGCATCAATCACTGTGAGCAGGTGCGACGGCTGCAACCCGGTGCGCTGCGCCTGCTGCTGCAGCACCTCGATGGCTCGATCCACACTGCGTGCTACCCGCACCAGCTGCCTCGCCTTGCTCTTCTGCAGCAGCTTGGACCATTCCTTGGCGGCCTGCGGATCTGCGCGCACAGCTGCGCGGCGCTGTTCCTTGTCGTTCTGCTCCCGCTCGCGGCGATCGGCCACGTCCCTTGGTGTCAGCGATGTCATTGGCGCTGCGTAGTTTGCCTTGCTCGGTGGCGCCGTTCGCAGGTACGCGACCGCTTGCTCTGCAGTGCTGATCTGCTCGGCTTCATCGTCCTCATCGTCGTCGTCGTCGTCGTCGTCCTCGCCAACACCGTCATCATCATTATCATCATCTTGTTGGCTGCTCCTTCGAGCACTGGTCGACTGGCGCTGGGTGCTGCGGCGGCGCTGTCCTCGGCCGTCGTCGCTGCTCTTTGCTGGGCTTGCATTACCGTTCACCTCGAGCTCAGCCTCGTCTGAATCCGAGTCCGTCACACGGCGGTGCTTGGACGACGACATGGTCAGCGACGATTTGTTGGAATGACGAGTTGAGGATGAGAACAATGATGAAACGCGGGAACGACTCGGATTTGATGAATGAAAGGGATTTTGAAACAAAAAAAAAAAAAAAAAAAAAAGCGCGGGAAAACGAAGAACGTTTGAAAAAAAAAAAATTACGACTGCAATCTGAATAACGACGCCTTCCTTCATTTTCGTGCACAACCGTCACTCAAGCGAAAAACATCCAAAATCAAAAACATGTTCGTGGTTTGTTTCACTTGCGCGACTTGGGCGATCGGCCGTGGCTGTCTTGACGGAATCGTTTCGAATCGCCGCCAAATTTGCCGTGTCCGGCCTTGTCTGGGCGACCGCCCTTGTGCTTGGGACGCTGCTGCTTGCCACCGACATCATCGTCGTTGTCAGCGTTGTCCTCATCGTCACGAGGGGCCGGTCGCTTTTGGCGAGAGCTCTTGACGCTGATGGCACTCGGGACGTTGCCGGACGAAATGGCCTTGTTCCAGTCCGCATCGGTGCCGGAAATGGCGTACCTGCGACGAGATAAAGCAAAAGAAATAAAAAATGAAAAGATGAGCACAACGAGAGAGATCAGAGTTTGAAGCAAATCAAGACCACGAAAACATGCAGTGATAAAGTGCAATGACACGACGTACTCTGCCATGTCGCCAAGTTCAAGCATTGCCTGCTGCTTTTGCTGCAGACCCTGCTTGACAGAGCTGGCACTCGAGGCAAGCTCGGAATCGAGAGACTCTGCCAGCGGCTCGAACGTATCGTCGTCTTCAGCATCATCAACGGCGCTCTGACGGACTTTCGACTTGGGTGCCGCAATAGTAGCACCGACGGCCTCTTCTTGCAGGTTGCGGAAGAAGATGGAAAGTTTACGCATGGACTTGTTGAACAAGGCGAGAATCTGCTGCGAAGGCAGCGCCAGCTCCTTCTCCAGGGAATCGACGTCCTTGTGCTGGAGACCGACTGCGAGGAGGATTTCGGCCTGTGTCGGGGAGAGTTGCACCTACCAACCGCGCGAACAAAGCCAAGTGAGAAGCCACCCAGGCAAAACAAAAACAAAAAACAGAAACCGCTCATCAACAATTTCATCAACAATGCCACATACCGGAATACGGTTTTGGAACCATTCCATTGCAAGCTGGGGAATCAAATCAAGAATGACGTGGTAGTCCACAAGATTTCGGGCATAGGACTCGAGACGCTTCAAGTCAAAGACAGTGAACAGCGCGTCCGCAGCCTCCTTTGTCAGCACTGCAAGAGCAAAGAAAAGGGTTTGAGCATGAGCCACGCCCTCGAGCATCAACCGCCCGTCACTCAAACGGCACTCACCTCGGCCGTCTTCAAAGCTCGATCCTGGCCGTCCAAAAATGCTCCGTGCTGTGGCCGGGGCGAATGTCTTGAACTGGAAGGAAAGGAGGGACAGGAACCGACGACGGAAATCTAAACAAACAGGTCCGATTTCCCTCAGTGTTAGCAAGAGAGAGAAACCATAACACAAAGGCAAAACGTTGCAGAAAAAACAACCGCATAAACAAACAAAACACGTCAGAGACGTACCAGTCCAATAGGTGTCGAGCCAGCCATCGGGGCAGTTGGTGTGGAGATCGCCAGCATCCAGCGCTTTGAGCATGATGCAAGTGTGCTCACCAGTGAGCTCGTTGACTGTTTGCCGCAGATACACGGGAGTAAAGCCACCGCGTTGCCAGAAGCGGAAGAGTTGCTCGGTGAGGCCGTAGGAGACGCCCAAGTAGTGCAGACGCTCGGGACGGCGCTCGGTCAGCTTCATGAGCAGAGGAGGCAGATTGGCGCGGGGACGCAGGTCCTCGAGCAAGAGCTGCGAAGAGGCGCGCGTGCGCTCTTCCTCGTCCTCATCGTCTTGATCATCGTCGTCCTCCTCCTCTTCTTCGCCGTCCTCGCCGCCGCTGCTGGACTTGTTGGGAATGACAACATTGTCGCGAATATAGTCTGCAGGCTCGTCCTCGTACTCGTCGAGGCTCTGGATCTTGCCTTCGTAGTACTGACCGAGCAGCTCGAGCGCGCGAGCGCCGTAGCCCATGCTCATGTAGTCGGGGTGAGTGGCAATGCGAACGACACGCGCGCCAGAGAGGGAGCCAAAGTCGTTGTCTTGGTATTGCTGCGAAATGGTCCATGGAATGAGATCGCCCGAGGCGCGAACACCCTGCGCCAAGGATCGGCTAATCACGTCGCGAGAAATCTCGCCTTCAAGGCAGACTTGGACGACGCAAAGCACCTCAGGCAGCGCGTTTTGCGAAGGATCGACCGGGCCCAGCAAGCAGAAGAGGTGGTGCGCTGGGGCATCGCTGATGAGCTGGAGGTCGTTTGGCGAGTTCTTGTAGTGCGACGCCACGTACAGCGCCATCAGACGCTGCAAGAAGCTCTCCGAGGCTTTGTGGAACGAGAAGAGCGTGTCGCGGTTGATGTAGTACAGGTCGCACTTTTTGGGGTGCGGGCAGCCGGACGAGAGCGAGCGGGGCACGCTGCCAACATCAAGGCACAGGAGCTCGTTCAGCCACTTTTCGACTGGATCGCCGGCGGCGTAACGAATGGGGGTCTCCAAAGCTAGCTCCCGCAGCGTACGTGCGCTACTGGAAATGCTCGTCGAGGCCGCTGCAGCACTCGAGGAGGTGGATGCGGCGGCTCCGGTGGCAGACTGCTGCTTGCGAAGCTGCTGGATGAGCTTGAGCGAGAGCGATCGACCAGTGCCTTCGTAGCCGTTGATGGTCGAAGCCATGAACACGAGGTACGGGCCGAGAAGCTCGCGCACAATCGGCAGCGGAATGGCGGCGGCTTCATCAATGACGAGCAGCTCGGCCTGTCCCAGGCGATGCACGTCTTGTGGCTGAATGTACTGGATGGTCTGGCGGTGCGAGCGGAAGACGTTCACGCGCACAATAGCCTTGTTCAGATCGGGATTGGTGGACTGCACAAGCTCGTAATCAATGTGCTCCTGGTACTCGAGCGCGTCAAAGCCCTTGAACACAAACTCGAACAGTGTTTTGAGGTTTTCGGGGCTTGGTGACGTGACAAACAAACAAACAAACAAAAAAAAAAAAGACAAAAAAAAAGACAAAAACGAAGTGAAAAATACTGCGGGGTAACGTGCAAAGTGAAAAATACTGCGGGGTAACGTGCAAAACGACCTCGTATCTCACGCATGACCAAGAGAGAGGGAGAAGATGCAAAAAGAAAGAAAACCCAACTCCACTTACCCGTAGGCAACGGCAGAAGCGATCGCCAGACCAAGGGCGGACGATTTACCACGACCACGAGCGGCAGTCAGGGTCACCGTGCTGCGCAGGGTCTTTTCGGAAATGGCTTCGATAAAGGTGAGGACTGCCTTGGCTTGATCGATGGTCTTGGCATTGCTGATCAGGGCACCAGCAGGCTGGGTGTCGGCCAACGAGTCCTTGAGCTCTTGCAGCTCTTGATCGGCCTCCGAGAGCGCCGTCGAGGACTTTGGTGGCACAGCCGTGATGCTGAGAGAATGCTCCGAGAGAGGGAGCACATTGAGCTCATCGTCCACAACAAGGCAGGTCTTGCACGTCGCGAGCGACAGAATGAAGCGCTCGTTGAAGCGACCGACGACGTCTTGATGCGACTCTGTGCGATAGCGCGCGTGCACCTCCTGCAAAGGAGAAAAGGCAGGAAGGAAAGCGGTCGAGCATTTTTCCGGGGTGAGAAAGAGCAAACCCCTCTCAACGAGTCCACTAAAAACTAGTCTCCATTTACCATGCTCATGGTGAAGAGCTGCTTGAGAGACTTCATGGTACGCAGCAACAGCACGACGACGCCACCGCCTTCCACGGTCTCGATTGTACGAGCGAGCATGTTGGGTGACAACGCCTCAAAGTCCTGCGCCAAAAAGAGTTAGACTCTGAATTGTGCTTCCATCGTGAAATGACTGCCAACGACATTGCTTTCTGTTGTTACCTGAAGAACGCACATGCCGTACGTGTTACCGAGAATCTTGTGTGTGTCGGCATAGTACGTGTAGCGAATGTTGGTCGACGAGATGAAGAGCTCGAACGGATCGTCTTTGTCCGGGTCAAGCAAGCCGCGCTGGATTTTCTTCTTGATCTGGCGCATGCGCTTCTGCTTGTGGCTGCGACAAGTAGCAAATACGACACGGTGAAGCTGGTCAGACGAACGAAAATCCGCGTGTGAAGGACCGCTGGAGGAGAAGACACGTTTACCTTGAAAATCCGAGCTCTTTCTTGTAGCACCACAGGACGGACGGGCGCGTCTTGACAACAGTCTTGCTGAGCATATAGTGGAGGTTGACGACCTGCAATCGACAAGTGAGTGAGTCGACAGTGAGTGAGTGAGTGATCGGGCAAGCACACAGGCAAGCACAGGGCAGCACATGGCAAAACGAGAGCAGCGCTGTTTTCATTGCGCTCGTGCTTTTGCTCCCACACGCCCACCCCACACTCCAGTCGATCACAGATCAACACAGTTTTCCAAACAAGCTCCAAAAGAGTCATTGTAGGTCGATGAAGGGGTGAAGCGGGAAGAGGGGGGTTTGGGTCCATTGCGACCGCCAGCCTAGAAAGCACACATGGCTTTACTCGCAATCCTCAACCCTCCCACTTCTCACTGTCCTCCTCCTCCTCACTGCGCCGCTCAGCTGCTGATGCCATCGAATCAACATGACCAGGATGGTGGAGTGTTGTGATTTGGTCGTGAATTGGTCGCACCTGGTCGCGGCCGTGGTCGCCGACAATCACAAAGAACGAGCGATGGCTCGTCTGAACGCCATTCTCAATCAACGTGCGGATGCGCGCGTCAATCTTCTTGCGCATTATGAAAGGGTTGAGGAAGAAAAAGAAGAAGAAAAAAAAATGAATGAAGTTGAATCAAAGAATGGGAGATGGAATGGGATGCAACAACATTGTTACAAACTGCACTGTCCAATAGCTAACCACCCCCTCTTCTTTCGTGTATCACGCCTTGTACGCTTGTAAAGTCTATTTGACAAAGGTTTATTTTGGCTAGCTAGTATTTTTGTTTGTGTGTGTGTTCGTTTTCAAAAAAAAAAGGAGAATCTTGTTCTTCAAAACTTCTCGAATCGCTCGAGAACCATGGCGTGGCCTAGACCGCCTGCAGCGCAGGCGGCGACCAGGGCATATCGGCCGTTCTCGTGGGCGAGACGGTGGGCAGCGGTGACGGCAAGACGGACACCGGTGGCGCCGAAGGGGTGGCCGAGGGAGAGCGAGCCGCCCCACAGGTTGAACTTGTTCATGTCGAGGGCGCCGTACTTGCCCTGGAGACCCATCTCGGTCTTGCAGAAGTAGTCAGAGTCGAGGGCCTTGATGTTGGCAAGAATTTGGCCAGCGAAGGCTTCGTGGAACTCGATAACGTCAATGTCCTTGAGGGAGAGGCCGGCCTTGGCGAGGACCTTGGGGGTGGCGTACGCCGGGCCGAGCAGGAGCTGGTCCTTGGGGTCTTGCGAGACGTAGACGTGCTCGCGCAGGTAGGCGAGGGGCTTGAGGCCGAGGGCCTTGGCCTTGTCAGCCGACATCAGCAGGGCGGCCGAGGCACCGTCGGTCAGGAAGGAGGCGTTGGCGGCAGTGACGGTGCCGTTGGGCTTGATGAAGGCGGGCTTGAGGGCGGCGAGCTTCTCGGGGGTGGAGACGCGGACGCCGTTGTCGGCAGAGACGGTGACAGCCTTCTTGGGCACAATGACGGACAGGACGTCCTTGAGGAGGCCAGCCTTGGCGGCCTTGTCGGCAAAGGTGTGCGAGCGGAGGGCATACTCGTCCGACTCGCGGCGAGTCACGCCAAACGCGGTGGCGAGGCGGTCGGCAGAGTGGCCCATCACCTCGTTGGTGGAGAACTCGGCAACAGCGGGCAGCTCGGGGGCGAGGTCGGCAAGCTTGAGGCCGCTCAGCAGACCGAGGTAGCCGGCAGTCGACTTGACCTTTCGGCTGGCAATCAGGCGCTTGCGAATGTTGCGCGAGAAGCGAATCGGCACGTCCGACATGGACTCGGTACCACCGGCGACGACAATGTCGGCGTTGCCCGTTGCGATGAGGTTGACGGCTGGAGGGTGAGGAAGACGGGACAAGCAGGTTGAAGAAGAAGAAAGTGAGACGAGCGAAAGCACTCAAAGAAGTCTCTGAGGGGGGGGGGTTTCAAAAAACCTTACCGTTGGTCATGGCAAGGTTGGAGGAGATGCAAGCCATGGTGACAGTGTTGGCGGGAACCGACAGGGGGATGCCAGCGCCAATGGCAGCCTAGGCAAGTGAAAATTGACCAGAAAAAAAATACAACAGAAAATCAAGTGAATACCCGGGGTGCGATGCAACCAGCTTTCATCAAGCGTCGCAAGAACGGTCTTGGAAAGGCGACAGACCCGGAGGTTTTTTCCGGCCTCTGAAATCACAAAAAACCTTACTTCACGTGCAACGTTGCTGGTCTTGACTTCCTGGATGACGGTACCGGCAATGACGTAGTCGATGGTGGCGGGGTTGATGCCAGTGCTGCAATGCCAGAAACACAGAGGCGAGTCAGAGATGCGGTTTCAACAAGACACGAGCAAAGTGCAAAAGCGTTGCAGCATCGAAATACACACCGGCCAAGCAGACCCTTGAAGGCCATACGCTGCAGGTCGTGGGGCATGAGCTCGGCAAATTCAGAGCCAGAGGTCAGGAAGGGGGTGCGGACGGCCTCGACGAGGACGACATCACGACCGGAGCGCTTGGGCGCAGCAGCTATGCGAGAAAGCAATCAAAGCAGGCAGAGAGCAACAGTGAAGTGAGAGGACACAAAAGTCGGGTGCTTTGAGCTTATCACATGTAGGAGACGTACCAGCAGTGGCGAACGAGCGGCGGGCGACGTTGGAGGCGATGCGAGTGGCTTGCATTGTGTGTTGAATGGTGCTGCATTCGGAACAAAAAAGAAACAGAGTGAGTTGAAGCGGCAAAAAAACGACGGACAGAGTTCAGATGGTTGGGGATCGGCAGAGTTGGCGCATGAATGAATCAATCGCGTGAGGAAGAGGAGTTGAGTGGGGAAGTGGGGGAAAGGGGGGAAAGGGGAAAAGAAGGGAAACTTGATCCGCCATGAGCGGCTGACGTGCGATCGCTCGCACTCCCAATCCAAGCTGCAAACTTCAAGCTGTGGTGTGAACAGGAAAAGCGGGTGGAAGTCGAATTCAAGGAGAACGATGGGGAGAAGAGGAAGCAGAAGGAAAAAAAAAAAGAAAAAAAGAAGCGAGATCCATTATTTTTTTTTTATTATTTTGGCTGGAACTGAAGCGAGCGCTAACAAGGAGCGCAAAAGGCGGGGTGCACAGGTACTGCACATCTTGACCTCTGCATCACGAACGCTGCGAGGCCGCGAGATCAGCCGAGTCGCACAGAGCGCCGCCGCTCCACAAGATCAAACCAAAGAGCAAAAGAGCGAGGACGGCCTTTTTTTTTTTTTTGTTCCAAATGCAAACTCCATACAAAAAGCTGTTTGTTACCAAATTTCACAACTGCGCTCTGAATCGCATTTGGAAAAGCAAGAAAAAACAATCAAATCGAATTACAATACAAATCAGCAATACAGAGTCATTCGATCAGGCTTGTAAGCGGGGAGGGGAGGGGACTGGAGTCAAACTGTGAGGCAAAGGCAGATGTCCCAGAAGCGGTTTGCCTCAGTTTCGCCCGCCTCCGCTTCTTGCTGCTCCATCGAGATTGCACCATCATCCTCTCCGTGCACGATCCATTTGCCTTCTGCGTCGTGACTCCTCTTCCTCTGAACGTTCCTCCCGTTTTGCTCCCCTCGTTCCTGTGCAAACGAGCCCGACTTGCTTTGCGGCTTTTTTCTTCTTTGATTTTTATTATTTTTATGATGATTCGGTTTTTCACGTGTCAACACGTGAAAATCAAAACAAACCTCAGCCGAGAAACTCCTGCTTGTTTTTTTTGTTTTTTCCCCCACTTGCTCACCATCAACCGTCAGTGAGATCAGAGGAACGCGGGATGGAACAAGGAAGGGCGGAACCGGCAGTCAAAAGAAGAAAACGCAACCGAGGAAAAGAGACCGCAAAACAAACCAAAACAAACCAAACCCCAACTGTGAGGATTCCCACTTTTGTTTCAATCTCCGTACTTCTCCACTCTGGCTGTCCGCGAATCGTTCAGTGTCCGACTTTGTTGGATATTATTAACTATCATCTGATATTGCAAGTTTGGGTTTGTCTTTTCCACTTTTCTTTTTGAGAGAAACCAACTGGGTACGACTTTTTGGAACTTGTGCTGATTTTTTCGCTTTTTGCTCTTTGTGCTCGCGTTCTGCTGCACCGCACACGCGACCGCGCCGCAACGCCGAGCGATGAGAGATCGAAGATTCAAATGCTGCGTGTTGAAGATGGGGGTGCTGTGTCTTGGCTCAACAGCGAAGGGGGTCGATCGGCCGGACCAGAACGTGAAAGCAACAAGCGGCTTTTTTTTTTTTTTTTTTTTCGCTCAATGTGTGTGTGTTGTCGTTCGGGTCGTTCGGGCTGGCTTCTGGTGGCTGAGCTGAGGTTCCGCGTAGCCATCCACCCCACCCCCATGCATCATGCATCAGCCTTGTGAAGTGTGTGTGCCAGTGTGAGTAGTCGATCGCTCCCATCTAAAAATCAGCGATCTTTTTTTTTTTTTTTTTTTCCCCCTGTTGTTCTGCTGGTGCGTTGATGGCGTTGATGCACTTGAAGCAAACGCTTTACCATCCAGTACAATCACACAGCGCGATATTCTTTGTTTGTCTGTGTTCATCCACTCTCTGCCATCGCGCAGCAACAGAAAGCCAAATCCAACTGACTTTTTTTTTTCTTTTTTTTTTTTATTGTTTCCCCTTCTTTTCCTTTTTTTTTTTTTTTTTTTTTTTCCATTCTGCTTTTCATTTCCCTTTCTTTCATTTTTCGTCTTTGTTCTTGTTTTTTTTTTCTTTTTTTTTTCCCTTCTTCTTTGACTTTTCAATGTTCAACTCGTTCCTCTTTTTGATTCTTATTTCCCTTTGTTCAAGATCTCGCAACTTTCCTCCCAGTGTCGATCGACGGACTGACCTTTCCCGCGTCGCCAGCCACGTTCTTGACCATCTGCATCACCCTCTGCATCATGTGTGTCGCCCTATCCCTCTCCTACGATCCAAAAACAAACAAACAAACTCACACAAAGAAAGGCAAGCAATGCATCAGCTTTACAATGAAAAAACTCACCTTTGTGTCGTCTTGCATTGTTGTGTGCTGCAGAATGCTCTCGGCCGCTCTCACTCGCCAGCTGCTCCAGCGCAGTGCGCGCAACTATGCCACTGCCGCTGCCGCCGCGGTTGCTGCTCCGGCTGCCGCCACCTCGGCTGCCGCCAGCCTCTTCCAGGGCACTCACATCAAGGCCTCGGTGAACGCCGACGGCGTTGCCATTGTCCGTCTGGACTCGCCCAAGGTCAACTCGCTCTCCCAGGAGCTGTCGGCCGAGTTTGAGAGCGTGCTCTCTGCCCTTGAGAAGGACAACCGCGTGTCCTCTGCCGTCCTGATCTCGACCAAGAAGGACGCCTTCATTGTCGGCGCCGACATTGGCATGCTCTCTGCCGCCAAGGACGCTGACGACCTTGCCAACATTTCCAGCAACGGCCAGAACATGCTCAACCGCATTGCCAAGAGCAACAAGCCGATCGTTGCCGCCATCCACGGCTCGTGCCTTGGCGGTGGTCTCGAGGTTGCCATGGCCTGCCACTACCGCATTGCCACCGTCCACCCCAAGACCGCCCTTGCCCTGCCCGAGGTCATGCTCGGCCTGCTCCCCGGCGCTGGTGGCACGCAGCGTCTGCCCAAGCTCGTCGGTCTCCCCGACGCCCTCGACATGATGCTCACTGGCAAGAACGTCCGCGCCGACAAGGCCAAGAAGCTCGGCCTGATTGACGCTGTCGTCCAGTCCATGGGCCCCGGTATTGCCGACCCGATCGACAACACGCTCAAGAACCTCGAGCGCGAGGCCGTCATTGCCGCCAAGGCTCTTGCTGCCGGCAAGCTCAAGGTCGACCGCTCCGTCCCCCTGCTCTCCGTCAAGGGCATCACCAAGTACCTGACCGAGGAGGTCGAGTACGGCCGCAACTTTGTCCTCCAGAAGGCTCGCGAGACTGTCCTGAAGAAGACCCAGGGCAACTACCCCGCGCCCCTCGCCATCATTGACGTTGTCCGCGCTGGCCTCGCCGGCGGCTTCACCAACGGTCTCCAGGCTGAGGCCAAGGCCTTTGGCAAGCTCGGCATGACTGACGAGTCCAAGGCGCTCATCGGCCTCTACTTTGGCCAGACTGCCCTCAAGAAGAACCGCTACGGCGCTCCCGAACGCCCCACCCAGAACGTTGCCGTTCTCGGCGCTGGTCTGATGGGTGCCGGCATTGCCCAAGTCAGCATTGAGAAGAACTACAACGTCATCCTCAAGGACATGAAGCCCGAGGGTCTTGCCCGCGGCCAGGCACAAATCTACAAAAACCTCGACGGCAAGGTCAAGAGGAAGTCGCTGACCTCGTTCGAGCGCGACCAGCTCGTCGCCCGCGTCTCGCCCCAGCTCACATACCAAAACTTTGGCGAGGTTGACATGGTCATCGAGGCCGTCTTTGAAGACCTCGCCCTCAAGCAGCGAATCATCAAGGACGTCGAGGCTGTCCTTCCCCCGCACGCCATTTTCGCCTCCAACACGTCTGCGCTGCCCATCGGCGAGATTGCCAAGGCTTCGAGCCGCCCCGACAAGGTCATTGGCATGCACTACTTCTCGCCCGTCGACAAGATGCCCCTCCTCGAAATCATCACCACCGACAAGACCTCCAAAGAGACTGCTGCCGCCGCCGTCCAGGTCGGCCTCAAGCAAGGCAAGACTGTCATTGTCGTCAAGGACGGCCCCGGCTTCTACACCACCCGCATCCTTGCCCCCATGCTCGCCGAGGCCATCACCACCCTCACCGAGGGCATTGACTTTTTCCACCTCGACAAGGTCATGCAAAAGTACGGCTTCCCCGTCGGCTCGGTCACCCTTGCTGACGAGGTCGGCATTGACGTTGGCTACCACGTTTCGCACGATCTTGGCGCTGCCTTCAAGCACCGCATGGGCCCCGGCGCCGAGCGCGCCGCCCTCGTCCTGAAGGAGATGGTTGACAAGAACTTCCTCGGCCGCAAGTCTGGCAAGGGCTGCTACATTTGGTCTGAGCGCAAGGGCAAGGGCAAGGTCATCAACGAGGATGCCGTTGCCATCTTCCGCAAGTACCAGACCGGCCCCTTCACCGTTCCCGACGAAGAGGTTGCATTCCGTCTCACCGGTCGCATGACCAACGAGGCCGTCTACTGCCTCCAGGAGGGCATTCTTTCCTCGCCCGTCGACGGTGACATTGGCGCCGTCTTTGGCCTTGGTTTCCCCCCGAACAAGGGCGGCCCATTCCGCTGGATTGATAGCTACGGTGCCAAGAACTTTGTCAACCGTCTCGAGCAACTCGCCACCAAGTATGGCGACCACTTTGCCCCTGCTCCTCTTCTCATCGAGCACGCCAAGAACGGCACCAAGTTCCACAAGAACTAGATCTAGAGTGCGATAGGCGTCGTTGCGCTTTTGTTGTTTTGTTTTTGTATCCGCGGGTTTTGTTTTTTAAAGCTTGTGGATTGTTCAATGTCTTTTTTTTCTCCTTGTCTTAACAAAAAACCATATGAAATGTAATGCTTTTGTTCCAGTGATTTTAGTTTGAGTGTTGGGTTGTGAGTTGAGGGAGTTGTTGGGTTGGATTTTGACGTGCCGACGCGATGAACAATTTCAGGTGCTCTTCCCTCATTTTTTCCACCGTCTGTCCTGTTGCGATTTGGTTTATTTAGCGCTATTCTACCCTTCTCAGCCATTTCAGCCACTTCAGTCTTTCTATCCTTCTCTCTCTCTCGCTGCTTTGAAAATGCAACAAGTCGAAGAAGTCCACCACGAAGCGGCGCCCGTCTTCCCGCCGCCGCCCGCCCGCAGCGATCGCCCTGCAGCCCACGTCCCGTCCATGGATGCGTACCGATCAATGTACCGCGAGTCGGTGGAGGATCCCGACCGCTTCTGGGGCCGGATTGCCGCGCGCGAGTTCTCGTGGGAGACACCGTTCATTCTCCCCGGCGATGCTGCTGCCTCTGCCTCGGCGATCGCGAGCAAGCCAGACGCTGAATCGCACGCCAACGGCAACGCGACCACTGCGGCTGCTGCTGCGGCTGCCCCTGCGGCGGCGGATCCGACCAAAGTCACCTCGCAGCAGAGCAACTTTGACGTCCGCACTGGTCCCGTTGCAATCAAGTGGTTTGAGTCGAGCCGCACCAACTTGGCCTACAACTGCCTCGATCGCAACGTGCACGAACGCGGCCTGGGCGACAACGTGGCCTTCTTCTGGTACGGTCTGATGATCGCGAAATTGGTCACCCAACAACGAACGAAACAAAATAAAAAAAAAAAAAAAAAAAAAAAAGCACGCCATCTCCAACCTATCGACATTGAGGCTGAATGCATTTTCAACGGACTCACAGTTTGTTGCTCTTTCAAAAGCCGGAATTTCATGTGTTCATTTCTGAGAAATGACGGGAGTTTTTTTTTTCAAATCTTCCAAACAGCTCGAAACACTCACTTTCGCGTTGAACATTTTGTGTTTGACTTTCAATCAATCCGCAGGGAAGGCAACAATCCCGAACAAGCTTCCAAACTGACCTATCGCCAGTTGCTCGATCGAGTCTCTCGTTTTGCAAATGTGCTCAAGTCCTTTGGTGTCGCTAAGGGCGACACTGTGGGTGTCTACATGCCCATGGTGGTTGAGCTTCCGATTGCAATGCTGGCCTGCGCCCGCATTGGTGCTATTCACTCTGTCATGGTAAAAAACAAACAAAAAAGCAAACGTGCACGACGAAAGGAGATGGTTATCACTGAATTCAAATCGAGATTGCTCACTGAACCTGGTTTTTGCAGTTTGGCGGCTTCTCGCACGAAGCGATCGCCGGCCGCATCTTGGACGCCAAGTGCAAAGTCATTGTTACCGCTGGTACGAGCTTCAACTATTGCTGAATGACTTTTCTTGCTGGCGTTGATTTATTAACAGCGGACTGGCCTTATGTGATGTTTGCGCAGACGGTGTTTTCCGTGGCGAAAAGGTCATCCCCCTCAAGCACATTATGAACAAGGCCATCGAGCACTGCGCCGAGCAAGGCTTTGCTGTTACGGCTACCATCGTGCTTGCGCATCTTGGCAACCTTCCCGGTGCGTAGCAGGGGTTTTTGGCATTGTGTTTCCATCTGGTTGGAAGTCAAGCGTCTGACTCTCCTGCTGCTTGATTCGCTTTCGAACATTCAACAGAGGAAGAAAAGCGCTCACTTGATCGCGATTGGCTCAAGCTGGAAGCGGAAGCATCCCCCGACTGCCCTGTTGAGTGGCTCGAGGCCGAGCACCCGTTGTTTATGCTCTACACCAGCGGCTCGACTGGTCGACCAAAAGGCGTCGTTCACACCCAAGCTGGCTACATGGTCTGGGCAGCCACGACATTCAAGTACGAGTGCAATGGTTTGCAATTCATCCTTAAGTTGGCTTCTGTATTTCTCACCTTTTATTGTCGTCATCTTGACAGATATGTATTTGACTACCACCCGGGCGATGTGTACTGGTGCACAGCTGATTGTGGCTGGATTACGGTGAGTATGCGCGGGGCGGGGGACTGTGCACCTTTCCGATGCTGCACCAGCTCAATTGCTTGATGTTCCTCATTGATTGTTTTGTTGTAACAGGGCCATTCCTACGTCACTTATGGTCCTCTTCTCAACGGAGCAACCAGCGTGCTGGTAAGCGTTACAGAAATGATGTTGAGTCACATTTGACCGTCTTCACTGATTTTGTCACTCCATTCTTTTCATTGGAACAGTTCGAGGGCATCCCCACTTACCCGGATGCCGGTCGCTGCTGGCAAGTCATTGACAAGTACCAGGTCACGCAGTTCTACACTGCTCCGACCGCCATCCGTGCCCTGATGAAGTTTGGAGATGAAATTGTTGCTCGGTAAGTCAGTTGTTGTAGTTGTCGTGTTTGTTTTCTATTTTTGGCGCTCAATCTCACGCCGTGCTTCCCCCCCCCTTTTTTTTTCTGGTTTCCTCTAGATCCTCCCGCGCCAGCCTTCGCATCTTGGGCACGGTCGGCGAACCAATCAACCCCGCCGCCTGGCTGTGGTACTTTAATGTTGTGGGCGAGGGCCGTTGCCCGATCGTCGACACTTGGTGGCAGACCGAGACGGGAGGGTTTATGATTACACCCTTCCCTGCTGCGACGCCATGCAAGCCGGGCTCGGCAACGTTGCCGTTCTTTGGCGTTGTTCCGGCCCTGATTGACTCCCAGGGCCGCGAAGTCGAGGGCGAGGGCGAAGGCAGCCTGGTGATCAAGCAGTCCTGGCCCGGCCAGATGCGCACCGTGTTTGGCGACCACAAGCGGTTTGAGGAGACGTACTTTTCGCAGCACAAAGGGTACTACTTTTCGGGCGACGGCTGCCGTCGAGATGAGGATGGCTACTACTGGATCACCGGTCGCATTGACGACGTGCTGATGGTCTCTGGCCACCGCATTGGCACTGCCGAGGTGGAGGGTGCGCTCGTTGGTCACGAGGGTGTCGTCGAGGCTGCCGTGGTTGGCTACCCGCACGACATCAAGGGCGAGGGCATCTACGCGTTTGTCACCCTTGCGGAAGGCTTCAAGTTCACCCCAGAGCTCGTCCAGCACTTGAAGCTCGATGTGCGTGAGAACATTGGCGCGTTTGCCTCTGTTGACATTTTCCACGAGGCGCCCGCCCTGCCAAAGACGCGCAGCGGCAAAATCATGCGTCGCATCCTGCGCAAGATTGCTGCTGGCGAAACCGACATTCACAGCTTTGGTGACACGAGCACTCTCGCCGACCCCAACGTGGTTGAGATGCTCATTTCCACCCGACCCGGTCATTAACAATAAAAGAGGCGCGGGGGAGGGATTGTGCGATATTGTGCGACATTTACCCCTTTGACAACAAGTTTTTGCGATTGTTCAGCATGGAATTAAAAACACCGTTTCCCAGTTTTGTTTTTTGTTTTGAAAACATTGCAGGGCGCAAAATTAATGGATTTTACAGAGAACAAAAAAAAAAGCAGTCATGTGGCATTCAAGGAGGGGGTGTTAGGGTGGGAAGCAACGGCAAAGTACACAGAGAAACAACAGACAGGAGACGCCGACATGGGTTGTAGACAAGCAAATAACAACGAGAAAAAAAAAAGAAACTCTTCAACATCAGTAACGACAAAACGATCAGAAAAACTGCCAAATCACAAAAACAAACCAAGCAGAGAAACAAACAAACAAACAAACAAACAAACAAACAGAAACGGAACTGAACCAACACGCTACCGAAACAAGTGCTGCCGTTATTCGGCACGCGCTGCAGCAGTAGCATGCTTGGACATGACACTATTGCCACGTGGAAGGAGCGGGGAGGGAAGAGGAGGAACAATGGAAATAACAGAGTTGGTGTGTTATTGCTTGAACGTCGGTGGGGGAATAGTGTCGACATGGCCAAACGAGACACGTCGACGGCTCAAGATGCTGGCACCATTGGGGGTTGCCGAAGGGTGGAGCAGAGCCGACGCTGGTGGGGCGGCAGCATCGGCGGTGGCAGCAGCTGGCTTTTGAGGCCGCTTCTTGCGCTCAATTGTGACCCAGCCTTCGTCGGGGCCGCGCACAGGGGTGTCGCCCTCGTACATGCCTGCAAATGAATGCGCTGGCACCGAGGTCGAAGCCAGCACTGGTGGCGGCGACTTGAGGCGCGGCGGCTGATTGTGGTGCGGATCCGCCGCGAGCGGGTCTTGGATTTTGACCTGTGCAGCAAAAAGGTCGAGGCAAATCGAGGTGAGAGACATATTGTAGTACGTATTGGTTGGGTTTGGTTTGGCGGATTGAGAAAGGGCGGGAAACTGCGATTTTGGCGCCAAATTCTTACTTTTTGTCTTTCTCTTTCATTCTCATTCTCATTCTCGCAATCAACGAATGCAACACAATGAACGCAAACAATCGCTGCGTCCACTGTCGTAAGCACCCAACATCCTCTTCACTCAAACAATCCCAATGTAAAATCAACAGAAAGACAAAAAAACGAGATCGATTTTTTTTTTTTTTTTGGTTCAACGTTCCTTCAATCACACAAAGATCAAAAAAGATCCAAACGAATAAAGAGTTCGATGCATCGCAGCATTCGAACACAAAGGCAGCGATGATGAAAATGAGATTGAAAGAGAGATTTGGAAGCAGATTGAAAGAGATTGGAAGAGAGATTGAAAGAGATTGGAAGCGAGATTGGTTACCTGCTTCTTGGGCTGCTGGGGCTGCTGGGGCTTGGACGACGACGCTGCGGTCGCTGGACCCTTGCCCTTATTCACGCTGCTGCTGCTGCTGCTGCCGTTGGCTGGGGCAGAGGCAGACACGGCACCGCGCACTGGAATGGGCTTTGCCACCTCAGTTGCCGCTGCAGCGACCTTCTTGGTCTTCTGCTGCTGCTGCTGCTGTTGTTGTTGCTGCTGTTGCTGTTGCTGCTGCTGTTGCTGTTGCTGTTGCTGTTGCTGTTGCTTTGGCTGTGGCTGCTGGGCCTGAGGTTTGCGTTGCTGCTGCTGCTGCTGCTTTTGTGTCGTCGTCGTCGTCGTAGCTCGGCCCTCCTGCTGCTTTGCCTGCTTCTTGTTGTTCACGGTGCCGTAGAACATGATAATCACAAGGAACGCAATGCCGATCGTCAGCAGCGAGACAAATCCGAACGCAACCAGCGGCGTCTCTGCGCCAAAGTTCAGCAGCGTCGACATTGTGTAAGAAAAGAATTGGAGAAAAAAAAAAAAACTGAACCAGACAAAAAAAAAAAAAAGGCTTCTAAGATTGTCTGAGTTTTACAATGTGGAATCAACACCAGCAAAACTAGCAGAACAAAGGTTAAAAAAAAAACGAAGTAAAGAGAAGTGTGATTCATGGTTTGGTTGAACAACGACAGCTTGATGGAAACAAAACGATCTTCATTGCAACTACTGAGCAGCAATCTGAGCTGTCCTTGGACGACTCCAGTCCTCCTTTTGTGCTTGTTTGTTGCATTGCTCAATACAAACCAAACTCACACACTATGCTGGCTGTATCATCGCGCCACATTCTCACCCTTGCCGCTCGGCGTCGGCTTGCGCAATCCGCTTCATCGTTCCGCCCAAGCAGTGCAATTCAACCCCAGCCCAGTCGCGGGTTTGCCTCGCTGTCTGACGGCGGCATTGCTTCCATTGCCTCATCACCCAAGCTGGTCGACCCTGCAACGGGCCTCGTGCGCTGGGCTGACGGGTTTACGCGCTCGCACATCGCTGGCCAGCAGGCAGGCGCGCCTCCGCTCCTGTTCCACACGATTGGCCAGGAGCTCGACCGCGCCGCTTCGACTGCCCGCGACAACAACCCAGACGCCACTGCCCTCGTCGTCGTGCACCAGGGCGTCCGCTGGTCCTGGCGCCAACTTCAAGTACGCTTCATGCCTTGAGCTCAAATCTGAGCTTCTTGGTCACTACGACAGGATTTTGCAACGTGTTGTCTACGAGCTCACCCGTTGATGCTTGGCTCCATGCTGTTGTCACTCACAGACCTACGCTGATGATCTTGGAGCGCGATTGCTCACAACGCTCAAGCTGCAGCCGGGAGACCGCGTCGGAGCCTGGTTGCCGAATTGCTGGGAGTATCTGCTGCTGCAATTGGCGTGCGCCAAGGCGGGTCTGGTGCTTGTCACGGTCAACCCGGCGTACACGGGCAGTGAACTCGCCTTTTCGGTCAATTTGGTGGATATGCGCGCGTTGGTGCTTCCGCCGGTTGTTGGCAAGGTCGACTTTTTGGCGCGGTTTGAAGACGCGTGTGCTGCTGCTGCGCCGCCCGTCAAGAACGCGTCGTCAACAAGCTCCCACCAGATCCGTCCGAAGTACGCAAGCATGCCAGGGCTGCAACATGTGCTGTACACGAGTGGCACGTCCAATGCCAATACGCGCGCAAATGCGCTCGGCTTTCTGCCTTTCGACTCTGTTGCTCCCCGAGCGGTCGACCAGTCTGCCCCGCTCGACGCCCACCACCTTCTCTTGACCGACGTCGTCAAGAACCCGCACCACTGCGTCAACATCCAGTTCACCAGTGGCACCACTGGCAAGCCCAAGGCCTCCACCCTGTCGCACTTTAACATTTTGAACAATGGCGCAATGGTTGGGCATTATCTCCGCCAAACCCCCGCAGATCGCGTTTGCATTCCCGTCCCGCTCTATCATTGTTTTGGCATGGTCATGTCGAATCTTGCGTGCCTGACCCACCGCTGTGAGTGTCCGCATTGCATCGTTTTTTTTTTTTGTTTTTTTTTTTTTTGTATGTGTGTGTTTTGCTCAATGTTCTCTCGTTCCCACTATTCTCCCTTGTTCTTGCTCCTCCTACAGCCGTCATGGTGTACCCCTCGCCAAACTTCGACCCAGAGGCGGCACTTCGAGCCGTGCTGGACGAAAAGTGCACCATTCTGCACGGCGTGCCGACAATGTTCCTTGCCATGCTCAACAACCCGCTGGCCGCCTCGGGCGACTTGAGCCGCCTGAGGACTGGCATTATGGCCGGGTCCATTTGCCCGGCAGAGATCATGAACCGCGTGCGAAGCAACCTCCATGTTCCCGGCATTACGATTTGCTACGGCATGACCGAAACGAGCCCAGTGTCGATGCAGACTGGGCACGACGACAGCGTTGAAGACCGCCTCCACACCGTCGGCCAGATTCACCCGCACCTGGAAGTGAAGGTCGTGGATCCAATCACGCTCAAGACGGTGCCAATCGGCGCCCCAGGCGAGCTGCTCACTCGAGGCTACTCGGTCATGAAGGGCTACTGGGCCAATCCGACTGCCTCGCGCGAGTCCATCATTGACGATGCCACCGTCGACGCGGACGTGAGCGGCCGCCCTGCTCCAATCTTCCCCACAGCCGAAACGGTTCAGTCCATCCAGGAGGCCAACGCAGCAGACCCGGATCCGTGCAAGGTGCCTGGCCTGCTGCAAAACCTCGACTTGCGCGGTTGGATGCGCACCGGCGATCTTGCGACGATTGACAACCGAGGCTACGGCAAGATTGTTGGCCGCATCAAGGACATGATCATTCGCGGCGGCGAGAACATTTTCCCTCGTGAAATCGAAGACCACCTCTTTTCGCACTCCCTGGTGCAAAATGTGGCTGTTGTTGGCTTGCCGGACGAGCACTATGGTGAGAAAGTGTGCGCCTGCATCATCATCAAGGACGGCACTGCCGCGGATTGGCTCCGTTCCGCCGGCGGCGCTGCCAAAGAGCACCACGCCTTGGACGACGCAGCGATTGTCGCCAAGCACCACCATCTGATCGAGTCCGAGCTCCGATCGCATTGCTCCAAGCACCTCGCGCGGTTCAAAGTCCCCAAGCACATGCGCATCATGCCTCATTTCCCACTCACCGTGACAGGAAAGATCCAAAAGTTTATGCTTCGCGATCAGATGCATGCCGAGTTCCAACGCGATTCTTGAGAGTCGTGTCCAAGTTTGTGTGTGTGTGTGTGTGTGCCGATGTGCGGTGTCTGTTCGTACTACTCAGTTGCCTTTTTACCTCTGTTGAGCAATCGATCCGATCCATCAAGACGCACATTGTAACGGCGTGAATACATTTTTGGAGGAGGGGGGCTTTTCAAAAAATGCGATCGAAGGTGTGGCTTTGGATCCTTGTCCTACTTGCGCAGATAGAGCGTCCGTTCGCGTCTACGAGCAGTGACGCCACCTTCCCTTCATCCTACACGCCTTGACACCGCTGTAGATGCACACAGGGAAGCGTCGTAGCAGCAACCACTTGTCGACTTGTTCGTATCTGTTCGTACTAGTATTTGTTGACAAGTTGCCAAACGAGAATCGATTTTGTGTTCCCCCCTCTCTCCCCCTCCGCCTCCTGCCTCAAACGAGCCCCTACCATCCCAAAAGCGAATTTCACACATTCGAAATAATCTTGACTACGCATGATAAAACGACTGGATTGGTGCGATTTTTCCCACATGTTGTGCCAAATGGTGGCCAACAACACGGCTTAGCGGCCAGATTTCGTACCGAAACCGAAAAAAAAAAAAAAAAAATCACAAAAATACAACAGAAAAAAAAAAAAAAAAAATTTCACAAAAATACAACAGAAAAAATAATAAATTGGCCACTTCCGACTTTGACAAGTTGTTTCGATTTGCCATCATCGGTTCAGTTCTACTTTTTTTTTTTTTTTTTTTTCTGTTGTTTCTTCGTGTTCATCTTCGTGTTCATCTTCGTCTTGTTCTTCATCTCATTGTCTATTTATTGGACTCTTGCGCAAGATCACTCGTGCATTGACGTGTAGTCCGCTCAACTCAGATTCATTCCCTGGGTCCCATCTTGTTGGCGAGTTTTAGAGGTGAGGAAGGACCAACTCGGGTACCATTTCGGCACACCGTTTTGCACAAAGACGTGGCTTGTTTCTTTGGTCTTGTGTGCAAAGGGGTCGATGCATCTGAGGGAGTGCAGCAAGCGAGAAGTTGAAGTCGTCGCGCGGGGAAGCACGCAGCGGGTCGAGAGAGCACCACAACAGCAACCGCCTGGCCTTCTTGACAATGTCAAAAACGCAGCGGTTTCAGCGATTTTTGTGCATGCCCGCGAGGACCGCGGCAACGAAAGCCGGCATCTTGCTAAGAATTGCTTTCGCTTCCAAAAGGCCCCGCCCTCTTTTGCCCGAGTCGATGCAATGGTCGCTTGTGAGTGTGTGCAGAGCGATGCATCATGCTGCATCGACGTCAAACCGTTTCCCATTCGCTTTTTGACGATGGACGCTACCCTTTTCGCGAGATACCCCATTCGGCGGTTTCTTGGAGGAGTTTGTGATCGATCATCAAGTTGGAAAGACACGTCTTTTTTTTTTTTTTTTTTCGCGTTCGCAGCAATTTTCTTTTGGGTGCGATTGCGGTGCTGTTGATCTCCCACCTTGAGATGATCCTGCATGGATTGCAAACCACTCCAGGTCTCGCTTCCGCCATGGAAGTCGAAGGGCGGAGGCGAAAGTCGAGAGGGCGATTACCGTGTTGGCGTTCTTGTTTTTTTTTTTTTTTTTTTTTTTTGTTTTTGTTGTTTTTTTTGTTTCAAGTTCCTCCCCACCTCATATCTTCTAGTCCTCCTTTGCTCGGCGCTCGGTTTTTGTTCGTTCTTTGTGTGGTTGGTGCTCCTTCCTCGGACAGCCACCGAAAGATCGCACCAAGCGACTCTTTGCATCCTCGCTCGACTTGAATATACTCACGCTGACACGGCATCAACAGGTTGTTTGTTTATCTCGCTCGCATTGCGCCCCTCCCTTTTCTTCCATCCCAATGCGCCCAGCGGCAGCTCGCTCGACCACAATGCGTTTGGTTGCATTTTGGTTGCTCGTCGCCGCCAGTCTGAGCGCGGTGGCCGAGGAGCTACCACAACCAGCGCCGCTCTTCAACCCTTCGCACCAACGCCAATTTGAGCAGCACGGCTGGCCGCAAAACCAGTTTGTCATGGCTCAGGCGAATGGCAAAACCATGGTCAACAACAAGGTTGTGCACGACTCGCTTCTCCCTCTGGATGCCCTTGCGCAGACAGCACGTCGGAATGCCGGTGGTGCTGGCATGCGGCGCGGTGCACTCAACGTGAGCACCATCAGCTACGATGTTGAGAAGCTTGGCAACCAAGTGTCCGTTTCGCTCGCTGCTCGCGTGCAGGCCACGGCGAACGCTCCCGGATTCGATGTGCTGGATGCAAACTTTCAGCTCGTGGATCTCGGCTTCCTTGCTGGAGTCAACATGGGCTCGTCCAAGCCAGGCTACGAGCCGGGCGACGGTGCTGCCAATCTGAATGATTTTCGCCGATTCATGCGGTACGCCTCCACTCTGGGTGCCAACGTCATTCGCGTCTACTCCATCATGCCGCCTGTCTTCTACCAAGCCTTGTACGAGCACAATCGGGCAGCGTTCGGCTTTCCATCCGCTGCCACCGCCTTCAGGCCCTTCCCGCTCAATGAATCGACCGTCATCACCCCACTGTATGTCATGCAGACAGTCTGGGGCTACGACCTGACGGACGAGATCTCGGCAGCTACCACGGGCTCTGGAACGAGCCAGTCCATCAACATGTTCCTCCCCGCCTCGACCAACATTGTGCGCAAGGCCATCACGGACGCCGTTCGGGCCGTCTATGGCGCAGGAGAGGCCCCCTACGGTCGCAAGATTTCGGGCGAGTTCACGTACAACATTTCTCCCTATCTCATTGGTTGGATTTTCGGAAGCACTTGGACACCCGCCGACATTGCCAAGACCAATGGCGCCAACGCCAACGTCCCGCGTTACAATGGCCAGTTCTTTTCGTGCACGACTGCAGCATCGCCCTTTGAGTGCTGGATTGCCTATATGGTTGACATTCTTGCTGCCGAAGACACCAAGCGCGGTTGGCAGCGCCCGATCGGCATCGCGAACGCTGTTGAGACCGATCCCATGACGCATGCACTCGACCCCGGCTATCCTTACTCGGAGAATGACTGGCAGTCGATCGAGGCTGCCAACATTGTCGTCTCGCCGCCCGACCCCACCCGCGTGGGCTTTTATGCAGGCATGTTTTACAGCTTTGACGTGCAGCCGGGTTTCCCCGATTTTCTTGCCGGGATTGCTCCAACCCCAGCCTCGGAAATTCCCTCCAACGCACCCGCCGGCGTAAACGTCAACAGCGATCCTTACGCAGCCTACATTGTCACCCTCCGCCAACGCTACCCGTCAGCGCCGCTGATTGTCTCGAGTCTCGACATTTCGACGGGCATCCTCACCGCTCGCATTGACGCCTCGCTCAACCGCAACTCTGGCGGCATCGATGAGCAGAGCGCTGGTACGGAGATTGCCAACCTGATCAAGCTCATTCAAGCCGCCGGGCTCAATGGTGTCGTCCTGTTTGAACTCGTTGATGAGTGGTTCAAGACGACTTGGAACTCTGAGGATGCCACATCCCATCCAGAGGCCTGGCTGAACATGCTCTCTGCCTCAAGTAACACTGGTCTCGTTGCCGCAAGCTCTCCGAGCTCAATCATCATTGATGGCAACCGCCAATCGACCAGCTCCGAGTGGTCCAATTGCACCAACATGCTGGGATCGTCAGGCACTGCTGTCGGATTCAAGTCCATGTGCGCCCAATTTGACGCCTCGCAACTCTTTTTGCTCGTCGAGAAGAGCAGCGACTTCCAGCCTGGTGACTCCCTCTGGATTGCCTTTGACACTGTTCCGGGCAAGGGCGCGGTCACGTCCCAGATCTTTTACGGTCCCGCGTCGGGCATGGTCTCCTACAACATTCCCGCCGACTATCTCGTCAACTTTGACGCTTCGGCAGCCAACTCGAATGAGTGGCAGCTGAACGTCTATGTGAACGACAACTTGGATGCCTACCAACGCGGTCCCTTGATTGCCGACGCTCCGTACTACGACCTGCCCGCCGCCAGCGCTGGTCAAGATGACTCGCGACTCGGCTACTTTTCGCTCATTCGCTCGCTCACGCGTAAGCGCACGTACCTGGCCGACCCGAGCGTGTCTGGCTCGTTTACGGCCGTCGACCACGTCGTGACGGACTTGGGCCGTCTCCAGCGCGGCATCAACTACTTGTACGCTCCCGCCGACGACGCCTTGGCCTCCAGCATGAATCGCTGGCATGCGGTTGGCAGCACCTTGGAAGTGTCCTTGCCGTGGTCGATGCTCGGCTTTATCGATCCGTCCAAGAGCGTCGTCTCCGTCCTGACGGGCAAGGGCACTGGCATGCAAGAACACGCCTTGGAAACGGAAGAGCCTGGCGAAATCTCGGTGCAGCTCGTTGTCAATCAGCAGAGCCTACCGCCGGCCAAGTACCGCTTCGGCACCTGGAACAAGCCGTGCTTTTGCGAGCGCTTCAAGCCAACAGCCGCGTTCGCTGCCCAGGCATTCTACAATGCACGAGGGTTGCTCGACGAGTCCAACCGCATCCAAACGACAATCCCGATGCACTGCGAGTGCCCTGTCGTCCCGGGCCCAGGGTGGATGCGACTTGTCTTTGTGTACCTGATGACCTACGGCTCGCTCTTCCTGTTGGCCATGCTGTTCATTGCCGGTGTCGTTCGTCCGCTTGTGTCGCGCTTGGTGCCGTGCCTTACGGGCCGCAAGTTCAAGCAGACCCACCCTGGCATTGGCTACATTCAATTCTTTGCGTTTGTCTTGTTTGCGGCACTCGCCGCGGCGTTCATCTTGTTTGGGATTGTCCGCGAGCAGGATCCCTACACGCTGGCGTACGACGTTGCTTCCGACGTGGATGCCGACGATGCAGGTCGCACGGAGTGGGAATTTGGCATCTACATGGTGCTGCTGAACTGGGACGCTGTGTTTTTGGCGCTGTTCTGCATCTTCATCCGATGGCCGCGCAAGCACATTATTCCCGTTCCGCCAATTTTGCCGCCTGCCGAGCTGTTTGCCCAGCAACAGCAACTGCTGCGCCACCAGCAGCATTCTCACCACCATGCCCTCCCGCACCCGGATTCGGCTGTCGGTTCGTCCGCCTCGTCCATCCACTCTGACGATGGCGATGCAGCGCAGCCGCAGGGCATCCAGTCGCGTGTCGGCTCTCCCCGCCTCCAGCATCGTCAATTCCAGCCAGTTGATGCGCCAGCAGAAGCCATTCGTCGCGCTGCAGAACTTGCTGTCGCCTCGCCGCATCGCAGGTCGCGTGGCGTCCAAGGCACGTCAGAAATGACTCAGCAGCAATCGCGTCTGGCCGTCCCTTCCCAGGTCGACCCTTCCTATAGCAGAAGCACCGACTTTACAAGCATGGAAGCAACTAGCGCCTCCGAATCTGCGCGAGCCTCCACCTCGTCCGAGACTCCGGCCCTCCCGCAGCACCTCATGCCTGCACCGCTCCTGGTCGTACCCGAAGGCAAGGATCTGCCTCCGTGCTGCAAGGAGGACGTGGTCAGTGCCGCGGTGGCACGAACCAAAAAGTACGACGGCATCCACCGCGGAGGACACGCATTCATCATTGCATGCCACAACAGCTCCACCAAGATCCACATGACCATTGAGAACATTCTCTTGCGCAGCGAACCTTGGCAGGTCTTTGTTGCAGACAACGGCTCGTCTCCCGAGCAAGTGACGAGCACGGCGGAGGCATGCAAGCAGCTGTCCCTCGACTACAACCGCAGCCATCCCGGATATGCCGGCCACCCCATCAACTTTGGCACGCTGCGCGAAGGGTCCAAGACGGTCGCCCAGTTTGCGTCCGTCTTCAACCTGCTCCGCTTTGACCGCCGCATCGACTATGTCACCATGATTGACGACGACACTGTTGTGCCGGCATCCTGGAGCGAAGAAGAGGTGATTGCCTACTTTGAGCGCAACGCGGCCGTCAAGTGTCTTGCCTATCCGCTGGAGGCACGCAACCAAACGCACACGCTTGCCCACCTGGAACACTTTGAGTATCTGCTCGCTGGCTACATGAAGATTGTCCAGGCCAAGCTCGGCACCACCCTGTTTGCATCTGGAGCCTTCAATACCTGGCGCGTCGAGTACATTGTCGACATTCTCTTCCGCCATGACACGATGCATCACGGCGACGACCTGCAACAGGGCTTGCTGCTGCACTCGTTGGCCGGCAAGTCGTGGATTCTCAACCCCGAGCGTGTCCATCCTGGCAAGTACAAGGTGGATTGTGCGGGATCCATTGTCGTGGCCACGGACGTTCCCGTCCACTGGTTCCACGCACGCGATCTGCTGCCATCTTGGCTGATGGACCATTGTGGGACCATGGCAAAGTGCAAGTGCGGCGAGCCGTCCCTCTTCCAACAGCGCGCAAAGGGCTGGGAGGTCTCGCGCCAGCGCTTCTTGTGGAAGTACGCCAAAATGTTGTTTGCCTGGCGTTCCATCAACAGCTGGCGCGGCGTGTGGGCACGCTGCCTCGCGATTTACGACTTGGCCCTCATCCTGAACGACTGGGCTGTGATTGCCTACACCCTGGCCGTGTTCCTCTACTATCAAACGCCAATCTACCTCCTGCGAGGCCTTGTGCTGAGCTGGGCCATTCAACTGTTGATTCACGTCTTCTTCAACCTGGCTGTGCTCTGGCCTGCCCGCAAGGCCGTTCCCGTCGAGGTGATGGTCTTGTTCCCCGTGCTCTACAAGCTGCCGATGCTCGTCTTTATCCGCCTCTTTGGCATGTTTTACAACCTGTTCTACTATGTGCCGTTTGTGCGCAACAAGACCAAGGTGCGCAGCCGCTTCCACAACCGCGACAGCTTCAAGTCGATGGTGAATGGCGCGTACCGTCACGAGTCCGAGGAGGATCCCGACGGATCGCCGAGGCAATGGTGGATTAGTGATGAAGCGCATCTCTCGGAGGAGGAATCCCGACGCAGGATGCAAAGCTTGCAGCGCGAGTCGGCGGTCGCCGCTGCCGACGAGGTCAGGTCTGGCCGCGCGCCGTCCATTTTCCACGAGGACCACGCAGATTGGCAGGGCCAGACGATGCGCAATGCCGCATCAGCGCTCACGGAAGGACACTTCCCTGGTGCTCGTCCGTCAAACTCTGTGCTCGAGGCGACACGAGGAGCCTCCATCACCCCTGCTGGCCGGTTTGTCAGCAGTGGCGCCATTGTTGGAAGTCCCCTGGGTGCGGATGGCTCTCATGGATCGCCGCTGTCCGCCGAGTTTGCAGCGGCTCTGTATGCTCTGGAAAATATCAACTCTTCCAGCGAGGACACAGATCTTGCCATCTTGGAGCGAGTGCTGGCCCGCGAAGACAACTCGGTTGCTCTTGCCGGCAGTGCAGCTGTCGGGGGTGCTGCTCTCAACGAAGCACACGCGCATCACACCAGGACAGCAGCGGCTGCTGGTGGCAGTCATTCTGGCAATGTCGGCGCTGGCGACAGACCACCCGCCAACGCCGAGTATGAGAACATTGCTACCGACGATCTGCGCCGCCACGTCCGCAACATGCCTGCTCGCCCGACGAATCTCGATCAGGAGCTCAAATCGGCAGTCAAGCTGCTCGAGAACTCGCAAGTGCTCACGTCCGAGTTGCCTGCCAACGCCTTCCTGCGCGCCTACTCTACCAAGCGCAGGCAACAAGTCGCTCACGGAGGTCTGGCTGGCGTGCGTGCACGCGTGGAGCCGGCAGAGTCTCCGAGCACTTCACAGACTTCGTTCAGTCCCTCAGGCTCGGTCGCCTCTGTGGGTCGCAGCGGCGAACCTTCGGCTGCTGCAGTAGTCGCGACTACCAGCACAAATGCGCTTCCGTCCGTCTCCTCTCGCGACATGTCGCTCGCCTCCAGTCAGTCCCAGAGCAGCGGCTCCGTGTCAGTGTTGGTTGGTGGCACGTCGACTTCGACGATGGCTGCCCCGCGTCGCCATTTGCGCACGTTGCTTTCCTCCATCTCGACGATGAAGAGTTCGGCGACCGCGTTGCCACATGTGAGCAGCAACTTGGCCGAAACGCAGTCCCCGCCCGACTTGTCCACCCTCAAGGAGCGGCTGGCGGCCAACCACCAGGAGAAGCAGATGAATGCGGCCGAGGTCATCATCCGGGACCAAGAGCGGCAGATGGAGCGCGCGTGTGCCGACAGGCTGGCACGCGCCTCGACGCCCGAAGAGCGCGCCGAAGCCGAACGACACAACCAACAACTCCGGGAGCAGTTCCGCGAGGATTCTTCCGTCACGGTGCGCCTGCTGCAGCGCTCGAACAACAAGGCGCTTCAGCAGCTCCATCCCAAGGATATCATGTCTGCCGTGTCGCGTTACAACGAAGGCAAGCGTCGCTCCTCTGTCCGCCCACAAGAGGCCTCCGCTGCACGCGCAGCCGCAGCAACCGCAGCAACCGCTTCCGAGTACGTGAACGTTCAACCTCCAGCCTTGCCACCAGCCTTGCCACCGCGCATCCCTCCGCCAGTCCCGCCACGCGGCATTCCCATGACACTTCATGGCATTGACGACGACGATGATAGTTCGATTTAAGGGCGATTGTGAACAATTTTGATTGTTTGTTCTGCTCTCCCCTGTTTTTGTTTTGTTTCATTACGATTTTTTGGTGTTTTTTGTATGTATTCGCTTTCTGTATGACGATGTGTGTTTGTGATTTGGTTTGGTTGTACAAGAGAGTGCGATTATAATCTTGAAGTTTGAGCCGGATGGACTGCTGTATTGCGTGTGATTGGCACGACAGGATTCGACCAACAATGTAACATTGGCGCGAGAGGCACCCATTTAAGCAATGCGGGAGGTATCTGGTGCATCAAACGTCGTGTTCTGTCCGAGAATAAGCACAAATGAGCTCCACGACCTCTATCCTTGCATGCAGCATTCCAAGCATGCAACAAGACTTACAAGCTGGTCTTCAGTATTCCCATCAAAGGCGGCGTAAATGACGGCAGAAAATTGGTCCAGCAATGGGAGCGTTGCGAGACGCGAGAGAAGCTTGTTCTGAGGCACCTGGAAGATGGAATGCACTTGCGCATTCACGAAAGGAATAATTTTGGCCAGCGGGATGGAAGCAATCTCCGCGTCTGCGCTGAAGGAATCGCTGAGAGATGCTGGTGCCGATGAGCCTGATGCTCGGCTGGGAGACGAGCTTGATGCTGCACCATTACTTGTGCTGCCACTGCCGTCATTGTTGTTGTTGTTGTTGATGTTGTTGATGGTAGTGGAGGATGGAGAGGAACCAGCAAAGACTGGCAACAAGCCATCGCTCAGCACTTCAAATCCAGCATCCAAGGCCGCAGTGAGCACAACGGCGAACGGCTCCGTGTCGAGGACGCGACGGGTTTCGTTGACAAGCACACTCAGTGGACGCATGTCGTCGGGTGCGATTCGGGCGCCACCAGCAGCAGCAGCGGCAGCCGAAGGAGCGTTGGTCTGGACGAACGCATCGCGCATGAACGTGTCCTGCTTGTCCAGCGATGGCAGCAAGTATCGCGTGATATCACCGTCCTGGATGATGTTTTGGTCGAGCGTAATCCGCAAGTGATCGACGACGCCGCAAAGCCCTGCATGGGTGAGTTGCTTTTTCAGCGGGATCTCGCCGATCTGCGCCTGGACGCATCGTTCGACATCAGCAATCAGCAGCTCGAGCCCGTCGGACAGCAGAAAGTGGACGAGGCACAGGTAGAGTCGCTGGACGTACGGCGAGACGTGCATGGCCGATGCACCAGCTGCGCGTGCGCCATTATTCGCTTGGTTGGTCGGATCTGCACCCGTACCACCAGCATTGGCATTGCCATTGCCACTGCCATTCGCTCGGTTTTGCTTGTCGACGCTGTCGAGGTACATGTATCGGCCCATGACGTTGAGCTGGACGCGCAGCAGTGCAACGAGGCAGCAGACGGCGTAGATGGCAGCGACTGCCCGTGTGAACGAGACGACCTTCAAGCGCTCCCATAGCGCGAGCTTGTCGGGGCTGCCCCGCCGCAGCTGGGCAGTGAGCTCGTCCGTGTCGAGGGCCAGCAGGAGTCGCTCGCGGAGGGTCGTGATGAGGGACAGCGCGGTCGTCGTGCACGTCTTCTGGTTGCTCTCAAAGTGCTGCTTCATGCGTGCGTGCGCCAGTCGCTCAGCCAGCTCCTTGTCGCGCTCGTCGGCCAGGCGCGAGAGCAGGTGCCTGCCAGCAAAGTAGACCCCGCCGAGCACCCCCGCAGTGATGAGCAGCTTGCGGCGGTGTCTCCGGAAGAACGCGGCCGTCGCAGCGAACATTCTTTGTTGCGAGTGTGTGTGTAAGTGTGAGAGTGAGAGAGTGAGAGAGTGAGTAGGGAGGGAGATTGAAGATCGGATTGAAATGAAAATCCGACGGCTCAGAACTCTGAACAAGATAAAAATGGGAGTGCCGTTCAAAAAAAGTCTGAGATTGGTCAAGTAAATGAAGTCAATGTGAGATTTGGCAAATAAATAAAAAAAGAAACAAGGATCCATCAGAGAGTGAACAACGAAGGATTGAAGGATTGAAGGATTGAAAGAGAGCTGAAACGGAAGCATTGAATTCGGCGTCAAAAGTGACTTTTTTTGTTTTTCTAACATTCAATTGTCTACAACAAACGGCAACCGACAAAACAGCACGATGAAGAAGGGGCAATCATGCATTGAAGAGGGGAAGGCGAGTCAGGATTGACTGGTTCCATGGCAGATCGAGCCTTTTTCCCCCTCCTTTCGCTCTTTTACCAAGTCAACCGATGCTCCCGTGATCCATCCTTCTTGTCATGCATCGGTTTCATCTATTTACTAGTATGGATGGATGGATTAGGTGTTCGAGCTCACTCTACGTTTGTCTTCCAAGGATGAGGATTTTGGTGACTGGCGGCGCTGGGTTTATTGGCAGCCACACTGTGGTTGAGCTTCTGACTCAAAACCACGAAGTTGTCATTGTGGACAACCTGATCAACTCGAGCGCCGGTGAGTTTTGTTGTAAACCGAAGAAAGCGATGTGGGATGGTGGTAGCAGTGAGTGAAATGACGAAGCGAGACGAGAGAGAGAGAGAGAGAGCGACAAAGGCGCAGGACCACTCCCGAGTCAGAGTGCGTTCGTGGCAGTGATAGTGAGTGATAGTGAGTGATAGTGAGTGATAGTGAGCGAGAGTGAGAGTGAGTGAGAGTGAGTGAGAGTGAGTGACGCCATATGGAATTGGTCGAACCCATTGCATTTGGCGGCAAAATCACAAACTAAATGGAAGAGGGGGCAGGGGCAACAGATGAGTCATTGTTGTGATTTAGTATGAGGACGATGTTTATTGAAGAATAGCGATGACGTGGCAACCAGGAGAGAGCGAGTGAAAGCGAGAGACAGAGCGAGGTTGAGGACGTGGCAATGGAAAAGCCATACATCGATCAAATCAATCATTCAGTCAATCATTCATTCAATCATCATTCAGTCAATAAGTCAAATCATTCAGTGTATTCAGAACATCGAGAGTGGATCACTTGGACAAGAGCGAGAACGAACGGCTGGTCACCCAACTCAAATCTCACCCTAACCCTAACCCTAACCACCACCACCTCTGATATACTACACCTTCGAACAGAATCGGTCAAGCGCGTCGAGGCAATCACGGGAAAGCACGCCCCGTTCCACAAGGTCGACCTGCTCGACCGCGAGGCACTGACTGCCGTGTTTCGGGCTGAAACCACTGCCAAGTCGGCCACGTTCGACGCCGTCATCCACTTTGCTGGACTGAAGGCTGTCGGAGAGTCTTCGCAGCTCCCGCTCAAGTACTACCACAACAACATCACTGGAACGCTCGTCCTGCTCGAGGTCATGGAGCAGTTTGGCGTCAAAAACCTCATCTTCTCGTCCTCGGCCACCGTCTACGGTGCCCCAGACTACCTGCCACTCAACGAGAAGCACCCGCTCAGGACGACCAATCCATACGGTGCCACCAAGCTGTTCATTGAGCAAATCCTCCGCGACGTCCAGGCTGCCAACAAGTCAATGAACATTGTCCTGCTGCGCTACTTCAACCCTGTCGGTGCCCACAAGTCCGGCACGATCGGCGAAGACCCTTCAGGCATTCCCAACAACCTGATGCCGTACATTGCTCAGGTTGCCATCGGCCGCCGTCCCTTCCTCAACGTCTACGGCAAGGATTACGACACCCCCGACGGCACGGGCGTGCGCGACTACATTCATGTGGTTGATCTCGCGCTGGGCCACGTCGCGGCGCTCGCCCGCATCCAAGACAACTGCGGCTGTGTCGTCTACAACCTCGGCACCGGCAAGGGCTACTCTGTGCTCGAGATGGCCAAGGCGTTTGAGAAGGCCTCTGGCAAGCCCGTTCCTGTTGAGGTAAGAACAAAAGCTAACACAAAGAACGAAGAAACAAAGAGTCGAGGGCGCTCTCTAGAGGGCTTGGCTACTGCCGATGCTCATTGCCTCTCCTTGGCTTATTCCAAATCCTTGTAGTTTGCACCACGCCGTGCTGGCGACGTGGCTACTGTCTACGCCGATCCTGCGCTGGCAGCAGCCGAACTCAAATGGACTGCCACGCGAAATCTCGAGGAAATGTGCGAGGATTTGTGGCGCTGGCAAAGCCAAAACCCCACCGGCTTTAACAAGGCTACCTAGCGCAAAACAAGAAAACTGGTGGAAAACTGGCACTCGACGGTGTGGGTCAAATGGTTGGCCATTCAACCCAAGCCGACTGCATGTGCATGTGCACCAGGATGTAAAAGCAGGTGAATAACAGTGCAGTGTTAAATGTGTGGGCAGATTTTTCGTACAGTCAAGGTCGAGCAAGCGAGCCAAGCTTAAAGCCGGCCGAACAAACAAACACGTGCACACACACACACACACACACAGCATCTTGTCTCCATTTGGCTCAGGAGGAGAACCCCAGCTCCTCCAACATGGCTTGCAACGCCTTCGTGCGAGAGTTGTCGTCAACGAGTGTGACTCGCGACTAAGTTCGATAGAGCGTTTAAGCTGGAGACAGTTTCGGGACAACGAGTATGCGCTGTTCTGTTCTGTTCGTGTAGTCGGCAGGGTCGTGGTGTTTTGCAGCGATGGGCGTAGGATCGCAGTACATGATCGTAGGCATGTCGGGGAGAGTGGCAGGAAACACGTGTGAACCTTCGACTGCATCAAAACGCAAAACAAACAAAGTCAGCCAGCGCAGCACGGCGCAACCATCCTCTACCAGTCGACATTGGGCAGCTCACTCACCTGCCCGAAGGTACTTTTCTTCAGCCCTGATTCTGGCCGCCGTGATCAGCAGAGTGTGGAGTTTGTATTCGAATTCGCTGGAAAGGTGCTCGACGAGGGCAGTACCCCAGATTTTCTGCATCATCTTCGCGGCGGCGATGGAAAAGCCTGCGTTGGAGATTTGGTTTGTCGGACGTCCTCACTCGGCGAATCTCCCGCCGCGATCAGTGCCGCCGTGCACGCCGCTGCGTCAGCCTTGAGTTTCTCGATCCGAGCGTCGAGGTCGCGGGATTCGAGCCTCCAGCTCGGCAGTCACTGTCGTCATCCTGCCAAGAAACAGCCAAGAAATGCCGCCAAAAAAAGAAACAGAAAACGAATGCAGAATAAAACAAAAAACGTGGTGGGCGTCTCTTGTACTTTTATTTTTTTGGGTTTGTGTTGTTGCTGCCGTTTTCAATGATCATCTTTGGGCTTTCAAGATGGTTGAAGCTTAACCCCTTTCCGGGAAAATTGCTCAGCAGAACTATCAAATAGAAAACGCAAAAGAAAAAATGACAACAAAAGAAAACAAGCAAACAAGGTCAGTGCTGCAAACCACAGCCAAAACAACGCAAGCGTTCAGTACCTTCCAGTTGTGACCGCAGACGTTGCAGGTCACGAAAGTTGTCATGGGTTCATCGGAGCTGCGGGTTTGCAACTGGAAATAGGAGGCATCGCGTTTGCCACACTTGCCACATCGGAGCTGATCCGTCTTGGACATCTTTGGTGCAGGCATCTGCGCGTCGTTCATGGCCTCTGTCGTTAACTTTTTGCGTTCTGCGTTCAGCTCCTTGGTTGCCATCTCCTGCCAACCAGACCAACAATGCAAATTTGAGAAAGAGTGTGTCGGCCAACAAAACAAAAAAAAAAACCGCCTCCTTCCCCGCCCCGGCGCATCAATATCCACCGTCTCTGCTGAACAATTAGCTGTCCATACCTCGGAAGTCATGACAGCAACCTTCTCTGGTGGGATCGAACCGTTGAGGACGGCCTTTCGAAAGTCTTCGTTCTGTTTCAAGTTGAACATTTTGCTTCGCACGGCAGTCTTGTACTTTGGCGACACTTCGCTATTGTGCAGCTTGTATATGCTGGCTTCGATGCTCTGCGCCAATGACACAAAGTACTCTGCAAGGAGGCAAAAGTGAGGCAACCCCAGGCAAACGAAAAACACAATGCAAAATACAGAAAGGCTGCTGCCTCAAACCTGAGATTTGCGTCTCGTCCGTCACGGTGGGATCAAGCGCCTTTGCCAGTGCTTTAATGCAGCTGTCTCGATGAGCGTCACCGGTGTGCACGAGCGTTGAGATGGCGTTCGAGTTGACGGACGATCGACGGGCTGGCTCGGCAGGCGCACTACCTGAGCTCTCCGCCCGCGACACGGTCGGCGTCGGTGCGTTCTGAGTCTGGCTTGCAAAGCCAGCAGGAACAGGAGTAGGAGTGGCAGGAGCAGCAGCGCCCTCGGCATTGCACGCCGTCTTCCACAACGCGACAACGCGCTTGGCTTCCGCTTGCACGGCTGCGTTCGTCGCGCGCTTACCAAAGTTGTTGACAATCTTGCCGATGCCCGTGTCCTACAATTTCGTACAATGACAATGGCGAGCGCGGGTGTTAGGGTTTTGGGTTGAAAACGATTGCCCCCGGCTTCAATGCATCATAGTGTGGGATCAATGAATCAATGATACTCCACAATGGAAACGAAAAGTCGTACGGAGAGCAAGGTGACGCTGATGGGTTGCTTGGCGAGCTCGCTGAGCACAACGAGAGACCGATCCGCCTGAAAAGTGACAAAACACGCAGAACAGAACAGGAGGGTTAGCAAAAGAAAGGAAGGACAACCGACGTTAGTGAGGTCGATCCTACGAACTTGTGATTTTATCCAATAAAAGTTGATACTGATCGTGTTGTCCCCCCCCCCCCTTTCTTCTTTGGTTGGTTGCTCAGACAGCAAGCACTCTCGCCTTTCAAAATATATAATGCCTCACATTATCCGAAGCCAATGCCTCCAGTTGTCGCCCGTATTCTGCGAGGGCTGTGCGTGTATCCGCTTCACTCATTTGTGTGATTTCGTTAACAACAAAATGGACTGATCGCGCAGGTTCTCAGACAAGAAAGCAATTCGGCTGCTTGCTATTGTATTCGGGACAACAACAGTACAACGCTTTACGAAGAGGCATCATCTGTGTTTTCCCCAAACCAACTTCCGGTTCTCGCTAGATCTACACGACAGCACGATTCCCGACGAATCAAATTGGCCAATACCAGAACATTTTACACTGACTTGGCGTAGTTGTCTTCTCAACTTTGACGTTCAATCTAACGATGCAACGATGCAACGAAAGGCTGTGCTGATCTTCACAGATACGGAGATTTTCACTTCGAGTTTAGTTCGTTTGCCGGTAATCTCGAAACGCACTCTCTCTTTTTGTATTCTTATTATTTTATTGCAAACACAATGCTTCTCGCTTGTCGTGCTGGTGGTCGAGTCATTCCCGCAGCAGCGGCCACTGCGACTGGGACGCTGCTCACTGTGACGAGGATCGGCCGTGCAAACCTGGCCTCCGCCGCGGCCGTGACGACGAGGTCTGCCTCGCATTGTTCCGCACCACCGCAACACGGCGTATTATTCCGTCAGCTTCATAAGCAACCGACCCATCCAAATCCGCCGCCAGTCCGAGCTCAGTCTCTTTCCACGACTACTGCAGTTCCACAGTCAAGCAAATCAACACGAACAACCAGCACCATGATGTCCAAGCCAATCCAGCTCTACTCGCTCGCCACCCCCAACGGCCAGAAGGTAAACCCCACCCGTGACAAGCTCGTCATTCTACTCCCCCACACTCTGCAGTGGGACGAGTGGCATGAGAGCGCAGAGCGCGAGAACGCAACAACAACGAGCACGGAGATTTTTTCAAATCTTAAACCTCCGACAACGTTTTGCACAGTTTCCCCCAACCGCGTCGCGTTCAATGCCGTGTGCACACATCTATGTGCTTGCGTGTGTGTGTGTGTGTGAGGGAGTTGTTGGTCTGGCAGGTCGGACTCTCCCCCTGACCCTGACCTCAGTGGGACTGAGTGAATTCGCGTTCAAAACGGAACATTTGAAAAACGCTCACGTCGCTCTCTGCTCTGTGTCATCTGCTAGGTCGCCATTGCGCTCGAGGAACTCGGTCTGCCGTACGAGGCACACACGATCAACATTATGAGCGGCGATCAGTTCACGCCCGAGTTCAAGCGCGTCAACCCAAACTCAAAGATCCCGGCCATCGTCGACACTGTGGACGGCCAGGAAACGCCCGTCTTCGAGTCGGGTGCCATTCTGCTGCACCTCGCCGAGAAGACTGGCAAGCTCTTGCCCAAGGATGCTCGTCAGCGCCTCGAGGTCATCCAGTGGCTCTTCTTCCAGATGGCCGGCGTCGGTCCCATGTTTGGGTAAGCCAAGTTCGAGTTGCCCGTCTCAGAGTGTTGTTGGTTGTCGCCTCCTTCAAACTTACACAAAGGAGAGACACGATCGACGACCACTCACATCAATCATCATATGCATGCGCTTTTTGATTCTCACAACACCCCTCAGCCAATTCGGCCACTTTTACAAGTACGCGCCGGAAAAGATCGAGTACGCCATCAACCGCTACACGACGGAGGCTCGCCGTCTGCTGGGCGTCCTTGAGAAGCAGCTCGAAGGCCATGACTACCTTGTCGGCAACGAGCTGACGATCGCTGACATTGCCACCGCCCCGTGGGTGCGCTGCCTCGACACTGGCTATGCCGGTCGCGAGCACTTGAAGCTGGACGAGTTCAAGAACGTGAATGCCTGGGTTGCCCGTCTGTTTGCCCGCCCAGCCTTCCAGAAGGGTCTGACTGTGACTCCTTTCTCCAAGTAAAAAATGTTATGATCAGAGCTTGTTCCACGAAGATGCGAGTAATAATAGGGAAACAAGCGACTTCACTTGTGCATATCGACATCAATCCATAACACTGTTGCAAACAAAAAAAAAAAAAAAAGACAAATGGAAGAAATTGAATAAAGTGATTTTCGAATCGTCATGCGGACGGATGTGATCGTCGGGAGAGCAAAACAGCCGAATTGCAGGTCTCTATGTTCAGGGAGAGCAAAACAGCCGAATTGCAGGTCTCTATGTTCAGACCCGATCAAAACAAGCGAATGAGTGTCGCTTTTACAAGTGCTGCTGCTGCTGCTGCTGCTTGTAGTGCAAGCTGTACACAGTCGTCAGGGGAGCAAACAGCCGCTCTGAAAGCAAGAAATTTAAAAAGTAAATTGAAAATTAAACAAAAACAAATCCAATGAGGAGCAAACCTTGTGCCACACTGCGAAATCGGCGATTTTCGGTTGCACGGGACTCCGAGTTCGCTGAGGGGGTGCTCATCCACACCCCCAACCCTGTCGATGCGCTTGGAACGGTGGAGTGCTCCAGAGTGCCAAGTGTTCTGCTCTTGTTCTGCGCCTGTTCTCTGCTCTGTCTCTCTGCGCCTGTCTCTGTGGCTAGGTCTGTCTTGGCAGAAAGCGAACGGACTGTTGTTTTTCAAATCACGATGGAAATTAAAACGAACAGTCCACAACAAACAAAAACCAAGAAAAAGCCCAAACAAGAAATCGAACGATATCGAAAAAAAAAATCACTCTTTTTTGTTTTTTGAAAGAAATCATTTTCTCCGCAAATGTGTAAGTTATTACGAACGCAGATGCAATGACGTGGCATTGTCGATTGCCAAAGCAAACACCGAGACGGGGGGAGGGGTGACGCGAGCGGGGAGCGAGGTCGGGAATGCGGAATATGTGTGGGGTACTGGAATGGGAACAAAACAGCACAAAAATGCAACAGTTTGTTTCTGGCAGTTCAAGCAGCAAACGGGCGTCCATCCGCCATCAGATCTGCTGATGCGGAGGGGGTTGTGTGTCAAATGGACTTTGAATCCGGACTGCAAAGCGCCGTGCCGTGCAGTGACGTTGTGGGTTGGGGTACTTGAACGAGAGCTACGCCTCCTTTTTTTTTTTTCTTTTTTTTTTCGCATTGATTTGCATCGTTTTCGCATCCGATTTTCCCAAACCACGTCAGCAGCTGCGCTTTTGAGCGCGAATCCCGTCCCTCGGCTGGGTGATGAGCCGGTTTGTGTGCTTCTTTGATGCGGATGCGTTGAGGGTGGTTGGGGTGGAATGTTCGAGCAGGGGGAGGGAGGGAAAGTGACGACACACCGTGTGTTTTTGTGGCACACAAAACATCATGACTCAGTGTGATGGGTGTGCTTCATCACAACGCACTGCGCTTGCGTGAGTGATGACTCGTGATCGTGACTCTGGTTTGTTTTATTGTGCTTCAGAGAGTCGAGCGATCGATCGCAAAGTTAGAGCAAAGTTAGAGCGAACGCCAGAAGAAGAAAAAGGATGGGATTTTGAAAAAAAAATTCTTGTTTTTGTTTTGAATTTTTTTTTCTTGTTTTTGTTTTGGTTTTTTTTTTTTTTTTTTTTTTTTTTGTTTTTGTTGAGTTTTCTTGTTGTGGACTCGTTTTTTGAATTCGCATCCCAACAATATTTATTTTGAACAAAAGCCAAGAAAATGTTTCTCGTTGCACTTTTTCATCGTTTCGATTCCTGTTTGAATTTTCACTCACTTTGCACATTGATTCACTTTTGTTTGTTTGTTTTCATTCGCAGCTTTCCTGCTGCCAATTGGAGCCGCTGTCGGCACTATTTTCTTGGGTGCCGCGCAAGGCGTCCCGGTCTCCCAAATCCCCGGCGCATCGATTGACTTTTACTTTAACCGCGTTGCGGCTGTTGTGGGCAGCGATTCAATGACCCTCAGCTACTGGGATTGTAAGCTGGCGCTTCTGATGAAGTCTTAAGCATGAGGCGTTGTTTGTCGGTTTTTGTGGTCTCACCAAGCTATTGTTGTGATGTTGTTGATGTTGTTGTGAATGTTTGTGTACTTGTGTGTGCGCTGCTACTTACTGAACAGCCTTGGAGCTTCCCGGAGTCCCATTCACCTTCGATTCGATGATCCGTGGTGGTCTTGTGCTGACGGCGGCCGCACTCGTGAGCAGCATTACCGTCTTCTTCCTGGGACTCGTCGGGATGAAGACAAACCAAAAGCTTCCCTACTTGCTCGCGACCGTGTGTGCCTTCCTGGTCATTCTGTTCGGCTCTATCGGTCTCGGTATTCACCGCAAGTATGTCGAAGACCTGCTGGAGAATGCTGGATCTCCCGAGAGTCCCGACAACGGCCCTGGCTTTGCCCTTCAAATCGTGGGCATCTTGATCCACATCCCGATTGTGGCGATCGCCCTCATGCTCGCATCTAAGGCGAGTGGCGACTCCCCGAGCAAGGCGTAATCGAGGCCGGCGCTGCTTCTTATCAAAGAGTGTGTGTGTGTGTGTTGGTGGAGCAATGGATTGTCCGTCACTGTTTGACTGATCAAACGAATACAATCGACATTTATCCATCCATGTACTCTCAGAATGCTTCCAAATTCGTATTCGTTCTCAGTCGTTTTGTCTTTTCCCTTTCTCTATCTTCCGTTCGCCCCCCGCACCCCAACCCCACTCCACAAACTCCCTCCAATATCATTTGATTCGTTCCATTTTTTTCAAATGGGGAGTGATTGTGCTTATGCCGAGCTGCGGCGCGAGTACGATCTGCTTGGCTCGGGAACGACGTCCATTGCGTTCGACGCTGCAGAGGAGATGCTCTGGTCTGCCTCGGCGAGCGGGCGCGTGACGGGGTACCTGTTCCCGACCCTCGAGCGCTATGCCTCGTTCGAGCCCCTGACGCGGCGCTCGCTGACCCAGGCACAGGCGCAGCAGCGAGCGGCCGAGCAGCAGCAGCATCCCCATGGCGGTGGCGTGCAGCTCCAGCTCCAGCACCAGCCCGTCGTCCAGCTGCAGCCGATCGACAATGGCGTTGCCGTGCTTGGCCAGGACGCGCTGGTCGTTGCGTCGCGCGGCGGCGTCCCGCTGCTCTCCCTCGCGACCGACGCAATGCAGTCCCTCTCATGCATGTCCCAAGTCAGCGCCGCTCAGTCGGCCAGCTTTGTGCTTGCTGGATCGCAGCCGACAATGCTCATTGCAGATCTCCACAAGCAGCGCGTCGTCAAGGAGCTCGACGCAGGTGTTATAGACCCGAGCAATGGCACTCCAGCGGGCATCACTGCCCTGCGCAAGGCCCGCTTCCTGTGCGCCGGGACAACCCAAGGAGTGCTGCAACTGCGAGATCCAAAGTCGCTCAAAGTGGTAGGTGCACAACGCGAAACGAGGGAACGAGCGAAACGAGCGAACGAGCGAAAGCGACGCTCGTCTGAGCGCCAATGCGAACAATTCTCAGTTACTCACTCACCACTCAAACACTCACTTTTTTTTCTTTGATGCATCGGGAATCACCCTCTGCTTTGTTCATGTGTCGTCACTGCTTTTGAGCGCAGGAGCATCAGTTCACGGCATTCACCGGGCCGGTTTCCGACTTTGATGTCTGCGGAAACCTGCTTGCTGCGTGCGGTTACTCGTTCCGAGGCGGAAACAACCTGTATGCCGATCCCTTCATCAAAGTGTATGATCTGCGCAACATGCGCTCGACAGCCCCCATCAGCTTCCCCACCGGAGCGCACCGCCTGCGCTTCTTGTCAAAGTTCTCGTCGCGCATCGTCGTTGTTTCGGCTTCGGGTACAGTGTCTGCGTACGATGCTTCTGGTACTGCTGCACCGCCGCTCTTCTACGGCAAGCTGGCCATGGACACGAACGAGTCCTACTGCACGGCACTGGACGTGTCGGCCTCGTGCCAGCTGCTCGCGTTCGGTGACTCTTCCGGAATGGTGAGCGAGTGGGTGCCGGCGCTCGTTGCCGACAATGTGTGGGACGAGCAGCAAGCATACCAAGGGCCGCAGCAGTACGACGAAAATGGCGAGCCCATTCCCATGGACTACTCCCTCTACACGCCCGAAGGGCAGCTGCTCGAATCACTTGACGGCGTCCAGGTGAATGAGTTTTCGCGTGAGACCGAGCATCCCGGGCAAGACGCTCTCTCGCTCTATGACGGCGCTGTGCCCCTGGCCGTCGAGGACACCTCGGTGCCGCTTGCCTCGATTGGCATGCCATTCCCGTCGAGCGACACCCTCAGCTCGGATTGGCCAGTGTCGAAAACAGTCATTGTGCGACGACCTCCTGTGCCGATCGACGACAGTATTCTTCGCGCCATGCGCGTGGTCGACTTTGTCGGCTACTCTCCAAACGAACCGACCGTCCGCCGACGTAACCAGACCGTCTATCCGCGCTACTGGATTGATCCCATCGGCCAGGGCATGCTTCGTGCCGCCGGTCGCAACTCGGCGGGTAGCGCCAATGCGGCCCAAGCCGGGAGGCTTGCTCGAATTGGTCCTGCAACAGCTCGTCGTGGGGCGCTTTCGTCACCCGCTCGCGATCGACGACTGTTGGGCGGGCAATCGTCCTCCTCCTCCTCCTCCTCCTCCTACTCCTCATCTGGCTTGGACGAGTCTGTCCTGTACCGCTCGATCGTACCACCAAAGTACAGAAAGGTGGAGGTCAAGTACACGCGCATGGGCATGGAGGACATTGATTTTGGCGACTACAATTCAACCGTGTTTAGCGGTCTCGAGGCACAGAGCCCGAACGCCTACTGCAACCCAGTCTTGCAAGTCTTGTACTTTCTGGGGCCTCTGCGCTCCCATCTGCAAAACCACCTGTGCTGGAAGGATGCGTGCATTGCGTGCGAACTGGCCTTCCTGTTCCACATGCTCGACATGTCCATTGGCGGCACCTGCCAAGCAAACAATTTGATTCGCGCACTGCGCAACGTGCCGCAAGCGTCGGCACTTGGTCTGCTGCTTGCTGATGAATTTGCCTCCGCCAAGGCCAACTTGGCACGTCTGATTCAGAGCTTTTTGCGGTTTGCGCTTCAGCAGGCGCACCAAGACTTGCTGCCAACCACGCCGTCGCTTGTCGCGTCCAACTCTCCCGCGCCGGCCGTCTCCATCATTCGCCAGGCCTTTGGATCGGTCGTGGACACCCACACTCGCTGTACCTGCGGAGCAGATCAGGTCAAGGCAACGGAAACGTTCATTTTCGACCTTATCTATCCGCCGTCTCCCACCTCGGTGTCGGCAACAGGAGTAGGCGGCTCCACCACTGGTGCGAACGCTTCAGCAGCTGCGGCCCCGGCCTTGACACCTTCTCGCGCAGCTCACGTGCGACCATTCGTCTCCATCATTGAGGATTCGTTGCGCCGCGAGCAGACCACCAAGGCTTGGTGCGACCGATGCAACAAATTCTCGCTGAGCGAGCAAACGCGGTCGCTTACGAATCTTCCGTTCGTCCTCGCCCTGAACATGGCTGCTGACAAGGAAGGTGGCGCCGACTACTGGTCGGCCCTCGAAAAGGGTCATGCAGCTCGGCACGCTGCCAACCTGCGCGCTGCTGCAGATCGTCGAGCCGAACGCGAAGCGCGCCGGCAGCTATTTGCAGACGAGTCTGGATCGGAGGCTGACAACAAGGCTGCTACGGCTACGACTGCTACTCTTGCTGGACACGATGACCATCACCACCACTCTTCTCATCCCGCCGTTTCAACCGATCCAATTCCCAGTGTGCCCAGTGCCTTGAAGCTCACCCTGCCCACGGCCGCGGAGGGTGGTGGCTCTGCTGCCAAGCGCGGTCGTGGTGTCTGCGTGAGTGAGATACCCGTCAGCCAAGCCATGCAGAGCAACACCGTCACACCTTTGAGCGCTGAGGACAAAGCTGCCGCGGCCAGTGCTGCTGCCAACGCATCGAGCGCCGACTACCTGCTCGTGGCAACGGTGGTATTGATCAAAGACGAGGACTCGCCATCTGGCCATCTGGTGTCTCACGTGTGTGTCGCCGAAGAGTACATGCGCCGTTTCCGACTCGATCCCGCCCAAGTCTGGACCATGAAGCCGTCCCGGTGGATGTTGTTCAATGACTTTTCGGTGCACGAGAGCTCCGAACTGGAGGCGACGACTTTCTACAGCGCGTGGAAGCAACCGTGCTCGCTCATCTATGTTCGCCGCGACCTGTTCCTGCTGGATGCCCCCATTCGATCGCCGCTGACTCTGGCTGTCTTCCATGAGAGTGGCGCAGGTGGTGTCGCCAGCACGCACGCAACTGCTCAAACGGTGCGCAAGCACGCTGGGCCATTGGGTCTGTCCGTGGCAGCGCAACAGCAGCAGCAACAGCAACAGCAGCAACAACAACAACAACAGCAGCAGCAGCAGCAGCAGCAGCAGCAGCAACAACAACAACAACAACAACAACAGTTGGCTGCCGCTCAGTCGCGACGCAACATGCACCCTCCCACATTCACCCCATTGGCGCCCAATGAAATCCCGGCCAGCGGTCAACTGGTGGCTATTGATGCCGAATTCGTTTCGCTCAACCCAGAAGAAGCCCAGCTGCGCAGCGACGGCTCGAAGTCAACCCTCAAGCTCGCACAGTTCCACCTGGCTCGCGTCTCGGTGGTGCGTGGTCAAGGACCGCTGGAAGGCATCCCGTTGATTGATGACTACATTTCGACGTCCGAGCAAGTCTCTGACTACCTGACCAAGTATTCAGGCATCAAGCCTGGCGATCTCGATGCTGCGATTTCGACCAAGCACGTTACCACGTTGAAGGCGGCGTACGTTAAACTGCGGTACCTGGTTGATGCTGGCGTCAAGTTTGTCGGCCATGGCCTGCAGAAGGACTTTCGTGTCATCAACCTCCTGGTTCCTCCAGACCAAATCATTGACACTGTTGAGCTGTACAGCCGCAAGCGGCAGCGCAAGGTGTCTTTGCGATTCCTCTGCTGGTACTTGCTCAAGATTGACATTCAGGCCGACATGCACGACTCGATTGAAGACGCCCGCTGCGCGCTCTTCCTCTACCGCAAGTACCAGGAGCTTGAAGCTGAAAACCGCGTCGAAAGCACCATTTCCGAAGTGTACGAGGCCGGTCACAAGTATGGCTGGAAGGCGCCACACTGGGATTAAGTTGATTTTGTGCTTTTGCTCTTTGTGTGTGTCTTTTTTCCCATTCAACTCGAATTACACACAACCCATTTTTTTATTGATCATCAGTCCTCGTGGATATCGTAATGTTGTTGCTGTTGCTGTTGTTGTTGTTCAGTCATCCTTTGTTTGTAGTGGATGGACTGATGATGACAATGCGACCGATTTGGCGCCAATTCCGCAGTCACTGTGATTTGATCCTGTTTGCAGCGTTTGTGATTGTGCTCAGTCAAGTCGCCCACGACTGGGACGCCGATCTGTCACGACGCCGGCTGCTCGTTCCCGCGCGATACTCGCCGTACGACCAGGAGTCGCTGCGCCATGCACGCGCGCGGCTGGGCCAGGACGAGTTTGGCGGCAAAATCAGAGCCGAGCACGTCCGCCAGCACGACGAGCACATCCCAGTCCGTGTTCCCGCCGCAATCGCACCATCTGGATCAAACAAGGGTGCACTCAAGAACAACGGGAAGCAGATGGAACTGCCCGAGATGCGGTCGGGCCAAGGTCAAGTCCATAATGGCAAGAATCTGAGCCAGAATGACAAGAATCCGAGTCAGAATGGCCAGATTGACCAGAACGAGGCTCAGATTGCTGCAAACGAGTGCTCGCTCAGACATTTGCTGGCTTGGGTCAGAGCCAACGGCGGCTCGCATGTGCCGTTGGAAATCAAGTACGCGGCTGACGGACACTTTGACATGCCGTGGATTGCGGGCGAGGACGCCGAGCCAGAGACAGAGTACATGGCTGCCAGGAAAGCTGCACTCGATCGTCTCCAGCTACGCAAAGAGCGAATCAAGCGATTTCGAGAGGCGCTGCTGAGCGGCAAGCTGGACAAAGCCCAGGATCAAGGCGGCCATGGCGAGCTCGCCGACCACCGCGACCCAGCAGAGCTAGACCCGCTGTACGACACGCCGGGGCTGCATCGCCGTCGCACGATTGTGACGCTTGAAGGTGTCAAACCGCACGACACGGTCTTGCACATTCCCAAGTCGCTGCTTTTGACCAGTGACGAGGCCTATGCCACGACGTTTCCCGACTTTTTCGACACGCTGGGCGACAACCTCGACATGGCCGCGGAATGTCGGAAGGCAGCAGCCGCTGGCCAGCGAGAAGGTACGCGATGTGACTACGAGAAGGAATCCAAGCTTCCCGCGGATCTGCCAATCGCCTTCCACTCGGCCCTGTCCATGGAGCATCTCGCTGTGGCGTTAAAGATTCTTGCAGAGGACGCGCAAGGCGAAGAGTCGATCTGGTTTCCGTACATTTGTCTTCTCCCGCGCGGAGATGACCATTCTTTGCCATTGTTCTGGTCTGACGCACGACTGTTGGCGGTCGGCGCGTCCTTTGAGCGCAACATGCTCGATCTCGTGCTCGCCGAGCGATCCCATTTGACGGACGTCTACCGCCACGTCAACCGAGAGCTTCGTGACTTGTATCCGGCGCGCATCGAGCAGATGGACTTGTCGCTCGACCGCTTTTTATGGGCCGTGACCATCGTCAAGTCTCGCGCGTTTACCAGCACGGCGCCCTCCGAGCGACAAGGACGGCGGGGTGAAAGTGTGTGACGGCTGACTTGTTTGTTTGTTTGGTTGTTTGTTTGGTTGTTTGTCTGTTTGTTTGTCTGTTTGTTTGTCTGTTTGTTTGTCTGTTTGTTTGTCTGTTTGTTTGTCTGTTTGTTTGTCTGTTTGTTTGTCTGTTTGTCTGTTTGTTTGCTTGTCTATTTTCGCTCACAGGACATGCTCAATCACGATCCTCGTCTCATGGAAAACACACTTCGTGACGACGGCCCCACGCTCGCTGTCGTTGCTCCGTCCACTGGCTACCTTCCGATGCGGGAAGTTGGCATGTCGTACGGTTGCTCCGTCCACTGGCTACCTTCCGATGCGGGAAGTTGGCATGTCGTACGGTCTCCAACAATGCAATTTCAACTTGTTGATGCAGAGGACCAGATTGAATCGTGCATGCAAAGCTACCATAAAAATCGTACATTTTACTTCCATCATAGAAACAATACATTAAACCTCACAGAACAAATGCCTCAATCAATCTTGACAGACGAGTAGATCCGGGTCACAAACCAGTAGGCAGCGTAGAAGCCAACCGTGCCAGTCAGGAACCAGAAGGTCACGACAATGATAAAGGCATAGCCAAAGAAGAGCATCACCGACACAGCGTCGGTAATGTCCAGCTGGGTGACATAATAGAAAATGGCATAGAGCAGCACATAGAAGGCCATGCCCGACGAAAGCAGGAATGACCTCCACCACCAGTGGTAATCTTCGTTACACAGGAAAAAGTAGATCATGACGATGGTAATCAGGGCCGACGTCACGACCAGAATCAAAAACACCACGAAAAGGATGCCAAACAGGTAGTACGACTTGTTTTCCCACATTGCCGAGAAGACAAAGAACAGTTCGATGAAAACTGCGCCAAACGGAAGAATGCCAGTCAATAACACACTGAAGTGGATTCAAAATGGCGGGGGAACAACAAACACAGAGTGGTGAGAGATTGAACTTGCGACAGGACGCCAACCCACATAAAATCCAGCAAACTCGAGCAACAAGATCCTACCTAACAGGCCAGCTCATGTACCAGGGTGCCGGCGGAACTTGACGAGGTATTTGATTTGTTCTGACAGGCGATTCATAGGGCTGCGAGTCGGGACGCAGGAATTTGAGAGTGAGCATGCTGGAATAAAAAAAAACACTCAAACAAACAAACAAACAAACAAACAAACAAACACTCCCTCAAACAACAAAAACCAAAGTACGCGCCCAGATACACACAAGGAGTGGAAACTCCAAACCACATTGCCAACAGACGGAAGAGCGTTCCGAGCGGAATGGCGCCAGAAGAATGCTTGGCGTAGACGAAAAAGTTGAGGAAGAAGTAGGTCGAAAAGATAATGCCGGGGAACAGCACCGAGGTAAGCAGCGCGGCGCTCTTCCAGTACTGGCCCTTCAAGGTTTTGTAGAGTCGAGCCGAGTAGTAGCCAGTCGGCAGGCCGAGCAGGACAAACAAGCCGAGTCCCGTGCTCACCATGCTGCCACGTGCAGCGGGAGAGAGGAAGCCCATCATGGCAAGCGTAATGACCACCAGCAGGGTTTCAAAGATCTGGATGCCACCACCAACGCACGCCACAAGAAGCGAAGTGCGGCGCGGCGGGCGGAAGATGTCACCGTGGACCAGCTTCCAGCCAGTTTCTTCCACAGCGTCCTGTTTGGAGCACCAGAGTGGAGCAGAACCAAAAGAGCACACACACACACACACACACACACACACACACACACACACACACACACACACACACACACACACACACACACACACACACACACACACACACACACACACAGTTGGCAACACGGACTGAAATCAAACAATTGACACAAATTGCAAATGAAATGTTACCTGATACTCTTCGTCGTTGTACCGCGCAATGTCGCGGTTGAGGGTGCGAACCATAATCAAGGCGACAATGCCTGAGAGGAAGACCACAATCGCAATCGAGTTGGCAATCGAGTACCAGTGAATCTGCGCGTCGCTCATTTGAAGGTACGTGTCCCAGCGCGACATCCACGGCGTGTCCGACTTGATAAAAGTAACAGAGTAAGTCCAGTAGACCTTGAGCTTCTCGCCTGCTTCGAGTGTCTTGAGGTAGAGCGGTCGGTCGCTAATCTTGACAACCTTGTTGGTGGTGGCGTCGACCTCGGTGCCGTCTGCAGAGATGGACTGCGGCGCAACCTCGAAACCAACAACGCGCATCAGGCCCAAGGTCTCGTCCTTGTTGACTTTGACAAAAATGTTAATGTGGTTGTACAGGGCGACAGCGCCGTTGGACTTTTCAAAATGGCCGATGGGAAAGCCCATGGCGTACTTGAGGGATTCGCCGGGCTTGCTGATGACGGTCGCTGCGGGCAGGTTGTCGAGCAGCCAGTGTGCGCGGTACTCTTCGCGAATGTGCACCCGAAACTTGTCTACTTGCTCGGCCGTGTACTCCATGGGCTTGCTGGCACAGTCCAAGAGCTGGAACTCGACATTCTCGTTCATTCGAACGTGGTAGAGTGACGCCATGATGCGATCGCCGCCGAGAATCTCGCCAATGTTCTCGGCGAGGCGCTTTTGCGACGGCGGTGTGCAGAACGGCAGCGTGTAGTACTCGTACGGCAGCTGGGTGTGCACCGACGTGAGCTTGACAACACTGAGGTCGATGGGGTCTTTGGCCTGGTACTCGCGGGGGTTGGTTCCAGGCAGGTAGAACGCGACGGCATGGCCTGGTGTCAGTGCTGCCACTGCTACCAGCACTGCGAGCAGCACGGTTGAAGAAGCGACCATCCGAGTCGGTGCTTGTTGCGCTTGTTTCCGCCGAGTTGCCAGCATTTTTTTGTCTCGGTTCCAAAACAACAACGACAACAACAAAGACGAAACCAAAAACGAAACTGGAACGGGTGTCTCTTGGGCGGTGTCTTGGAACTTGTCTTTGTAGTTTGGTTTGGTTTGGTTGGGTTTTTTGTTTTTCTTCTCTCTTCTGTGTCAAGCAATAGTGCAAAAGTCCAGAAAGTCAACGTTGGTGAGTGTGAATCGATGCAAGTGTGTGAAAGTGCATTGGCGGGTCGTTCAGGTGCAACTGAGCGGTGCTTCCGACGGTCAAAAACCACCCCAAAGCCAAAAGCTGCCGACTTTGGATTGTCAACAAGCACACATTTCGCGAGGTCGGCTGAGCGAGCCAACAGGCAGCAGCCAAAGCGAATGGTGCAGAAGGGAAGAGTTGCCGACGCGGCAAAACTCAGTCACTTGAGCGAGGCTTCCCGCGCTTGGACTCCTTCCGCGCACGCCGTTGGTGCCAGAGCAAGGGTGCGTGTGCTCATTGCGCTTCATTACGAGCGTGACGGCACTCTGACGCTCAACGAGAGGGGGAAGGCGGCGGGGAGGTTCTCTAACAACGTCGAGATCTCACTTCCAACCAGTCGTTGTGTTGCTCTCGCGCTCGGTTGGTTGCTGCAGTGCAATGTGGGAGCTCGTTTGCGTTCGTGCTCTTGCTGTGGATGTACAACGCAAGGAACCGCGGCGGAGGCGTCGTTTGCAAGCAAAGCGCAAAGCCCTTCGACGAACAAAACGCAATAGCAGCACTCGGAAAAAAAAAAAAAAAAAAAAAAAACCTTACTGAAAACGAAAAAAAAAAAAAAAAGAGTGGAAAGAAAGAAAAAACAGTTTGCGCTTCAACGCCGTCTTTTGAGGAGGGTGGATTGAGATTGGATGCGAGGTGCAGCGCGCCGCAATTGCGTTAAAAGTACGCTAAAATTAATTGTGTTGTTATAGGAGAACAGCCAGGGCCGGGAATAGCCGATGGAAAGCGAGGAAATCATACCCTGTCACTCGAGTGATAGAGATGGACAGAAAACATGCCTGGGAAGCTGACCTTCCATCACTTTTGTCATCATTGAATATCACTTGAATGGTCTAGTGCATAGCGACTCTTGCTGGATTGCAGAAAATCCTGATCTCCGTACCGACACATGCAAACGCGTTTTTTCAGTTGTTAGAAAGTAAAAATGCAATCAGCCCGAATTTGGGATGCACTCAATGCGCGAACGCTTTGAGTCAAACAAGTCGTTAATCGGCATTGTTTTCATTCAGGGACAAGAGCGGGAGGAGGGTTGGTCGCAATTCCGGCCTCAGGATGAGAAATACGGCAAAAACGAATCAAACAGTTCTGCTAGCTCGAGATAACCAGCCTGAATGCGTTCTGTTGATTCATTCATGATTAGAGGAGGCAGACTGAAGCAACCGAAAATCCGCTTAATTGTTCATTCATTCAGTCACATCTCAGAATCTTTGGTTTCGCTTGAGATTTTCAACCTTCGCCCTTTTCGATCGACAAATCGTGTTTGTCAGTTTGTTTCTTTGCGCATCCTACACTAAGCCATTGAGCACATTGTATCTCTCTCTCTCCCCTTAGCTATCTCGGCGTCCGCAATGATTTCAGTTGATCAGATTGCAACGCCTCAATTTGGCTTTAGTCTTTTTTTTTTTTTTTTTTTTTCAAATCCAAAATCACTTCAATCACCACAAATTGCAGCAAAGCGCCTCACTTTCGCAGCGACGCACACAAGCCACATTCTCACACTCACCAAACCACAAAAGAACAGCAGAAGCAACAACAACAACAACAACCCAGCCCCTTCTGAGACGAAATCATGAGCGACAAGTCAACAAGCAGCAGCAACAACGATCAGGATCCGTTCGGCCATCCCCGCGTCCCGTTCCGCGGCTACTACGAGCGCGAGAAGTGCGATGCGCGCCGCGGCTGGGTCGAAAAGTTCACCAACACCAAGCTGCAGCACACTGGCAAGTGGTGGGACTCTGGCGCTCCTGCTGGCGGCAGTGGCGCCATGGACGAGTCGACCAACACGCTCAAACTGAAGGTAACTCAAAAAAAAAAAAAAAAAAAAAAAAATCTGGCTGCTTTCCCATCATCGCAATTGACAGCTGATGACCTGTGTCTCGCCTGCTGAGACCCTGGGCATTCCCGCTTCCTTTTGATCTCGGACTTGATCGCAACGACAGCCCATTTCAGACTCGAGTGCGAGCGTTTGTCTGATACTATTGCGGGAGATGATCGACAATGTGGGGTTTGGCCAAATTGCTTTGGTTTTTGGTTTTTTTGCGGTTTGATCTGCTCTTTGCGAGCAGTTGCGTAGCTCAATGCAAGTGTGGCAGATCGCAACTTTAACGTGCGTACTACTTTACGAATCCAATTCTGACGACTTTTGCGTGCTCAACATGTTCAAAAGTGAAACGCGGTTTGGACGAAAACCACTTTTTGATTGCTGGAAAAGAACAAAAAAAAAAAAAAAAAAAAAGTCGAATCGTGCAGATTTTTTTGTTTTTCGCACGTGGATGTGAAAAACAACGTTTTACCGCTTTTATTTGTAACATCGCCTCACCCAAACAGCGAACAAAATGATTGTCAACTCATTGTTTTGATCTGATCTGATCTGATTTTGGGATTCGACAGGGCAACATTGAAGCGCCGATTGGATTGTGCAAAATTCCGGTTGGCGTGGCGGGACCGCTGCTCATCAAGGGAACGCATGTGCAAGGCTACGTGCTGTGCCCGTTTGCCACGACGGAAGGCGCGCTGGTTGCCTCGGCGACGCGCGGAGCTACGGCGTTGAATCGGGCGGGCGGAGCGACTGCGCACGCCTCGTTGCAGCGGATGATGCGAGTGCCCGTGTTTGTGTGCCAGACCATGGTGGACGCGCTTGCGCTCGAAAAGTTTATGCGCACCAACCGCACTGGCATTGAGGCTGCGATCGCAGAGGCGTCGCGGCATGCGCGTCTGATGGATTTCGAATTCATCCAGGTCGGCGCCTCGTTGCATGTGCGTTTCCTGTACGAAAGTGGCGACGCCGCTGGTCAGAACATGACCACTGCCACCACATGGCGCGCATGCCAGTGGATTCTCGATCAGGTCAAGACCCGGGAGCCCAGCATTCGCATTCGCGAGTTTTACATTGACGGCAACGGATCGGGCGACAAGAAGGTCACGCTGCTCAACTTTATCGCGACGCGCGGCATCCGCGCCCAGGCAGAGTGCTACATTAGCCCGCAGGTGCTCGAATCCGTGTTCAAGGTGGACGCAGACACGTACGTGCGCTTCATTTCGGTCATGCAAGGCGCATCCGTTCGCACGGGCATGGTGGGCTTTACCATCAATGCCGCCAACGTCATTGGCAGCGTGTTCACGGCCACGGGCCAAGACATTGCCTGCGTGCACGAGTCGTCGGTCGCACAGTTTACCGTCATGAAGGCGCCCGACGGCGGCATCTACACGAGCATGCTGCTGCCGTCGCTGATTATTGGCACGGTGGGCGGAGGCACGTCCCTGCCCACGCAGCGCGAGTGTCTGCAAATGCTCGGTTGCTTTGGCAAGGACCGCGTCTTCCGCTTTGCCGAGATTCTGGCCTGCTACTGCCTGGCCCTCGACTTGTCGACGTCTACGGCGATCTGCAGCGGCCAGTTTGCCTCGTCGCACGAAAAGCTGGGCCGCAACCGACCCGAGTTTGGCTTCAAGCGCGAGTACCTGACGGACGATTTCTTTGGCCAGGTCATCAAGCGCGAAGGAAAGCTGGCCAAGTGGTCGGAGCTGCCCGTGGACGCATCGAGCTCCATCCTGTCCGATCTGACCAAGACCGAGTTGAGCAAGCTCGTCGGCCACTTTGGCTTTGCGATCGAGTACACGCCCACGGCTGGCACTGCGCCAAAGCCCGCGACGTCGCGCATCGTCGTCAAGGCAAAGGCCACCGACGAGGAGACAATCAACATGATCAACAAGATTGCGCAAGCCTGCGGCGGTCGTCTGGCGGCCAAGTACGAGTACTTTAAGTTTGAGACGGGCTTCCGCAAGTGCCACATTCGCGAGCTCGCGCTCATGGCCATGTCGTTTGAGCATCCCGTCATTCAGCGGCTGGCCCCGAAGGTCTACCACGTCAACCGCGACGACCAGAAGGAAATTTTCGTCTATGCCATGGAGTACCTCGAGTCGGTGAGCCATCTGAACTCGGTGGACGCGATTGAGATCTGGACGCCGGACGACATTCGCGTGGCGCTGCGCGACATTGCCGAGCTGCACGCCTCGTTCCTGGACAAGGCGGACGAGCTGAAAAAGGCCGAGTGGATGGACTTCCCCACGCGCCAGCGCATGATCCAGATGAAGGAGCTCTGGATTGAGCTGCTTGCCCACAACCAGCGCGAGTTCCCGGACTTGTGGACCAAGGAGATTGTTCTGGTGGCGCAGCGCGTCATTGACAACATTTCGTTCATCTGGGCCGAGCTTGAGCAGGCCCCTCGCACCCTCTGCCACAACGATTTCAACCCGCGCAACGTCTGTCTCAAGCGGACACCCGCAGGCGGACTGCAGCTCTGCCTGTATGACTGGGAAATGTCCACGCTGCACGTGCCGCAGCACGACGTGGCAGAGTTCCTCGCCTTCACCCTGCCCACCACCACGACCGTGGACGAGCGGCTCGCGTACGTCCACTACTATCGCGGCCAGCTCGAGCACTTTTCCAAGCGCACGTTCGACCCAGTCAAGTTTGACAAGATTTTCGACTTTGCCTGCTTTGACTTTGCCATCAACCGTCTTGCGCTGTATTCGATGGTCCACACCTTCAAGGATTATCGCTTCCTGCCCCGCGTGCTCCAGTCGCACTTTGGCTATCTGCAATCCGTCGCGATGAGCAATCGCTTCCACAAGTACGTCGAGGAGGCTGCCAACACCCCAGCCGAGCCCATTGTTGGGTCCAAGCTCTGAAGCGAAGAGTTTGCGCGGCGTTTCAGCTTGCTGTTTTGATGTTTTTGGTTGGTTGTGGGTTGTGTTTTTGTTTACGAGTTGGGCTTTGCCTCATTGGGCTTTCCTCCCCCCCCCTCGTTCCTTCCTTTATTCTCAGTAAACGGCACATTTTGCATCTGTATTCTCGCATGCTTCAATGCTTCAGTCGTGGTTCCAGGTCAAGTTTTGAGGTGATCTAAAAATCGAACCAAGCTGGACTCTGCCGTTTTTTTCCCCCCAATCAATCGAAATTCAGAGTTGTTCACTCACGTTGACTGTCTCTCGCCTTGACAGTTTTTCATCAGCACTTCTGAGCTTTTTTCTGATTGGTTTTTTGTTTCAATCCACTTTTTTTTTTTTTTTTTTTTGGCAGAGAATTTTTCCATTGTTTTTTGTGTTGTTTGAGAAATTGAATGTCATCGCTGACGCTCAAGTTTCTCTCGCTCCGGTCAAAGGACGCGTTCAAACGCGAGCGCCTGCCGCAGGCATCGTCGTCGTCGAGCCTGTACGAGCACCACACGTCCGTGGATGCAGGGCCAGACGCACAGGCGCCGGGAACAGCAGGAACAGCGGCAGGAGGAACGCCGCCGCCACCGCCAGAGCGAAGCAGCTCGATGCCGACGGTGCACGGCTCGCTGCGAGGCGATCCCGGGCTAGCACACCATTCATTCTCACACCAACCGCCAGCAGCACCAACAAGCGGCGGCGGCAGCAGCAGCAGCAGCAGCAGCAGCAGCGGTGGCACGGGCTTTGGGGCGCTCGTCCGAACGCTCTCCAACTCGACCAAGTGCTCCAATGCCCAATGCGAGACCAGCTTTGGCTTCTTTGACCGCAAGAACACGTGTCGATTGTACGTGTTTCTCCTGCCGTTGCCCCAGTCGCGTGGCAGAGACAGACAGAAGGAGAGAAGGCAAAAGTGCATTTGGATTGAACAACGCACAAAAAAAAAAAAAAAAAAAAAAAAAAGCAATAGAAGGAAAGAGTTATTTTTTTTTTCAAATCCTGGAACCGCAGAGGTTTTGTGCAGTTGTTTGAACAAAAGCTGTTCAGCAGCAGCATCATCGTCACCAAAGCGAAACGAAACGAAAACTTGACAACAGAGTCATGCAATTTTGCGCAAGTGGTAGGAGGAAGGACAAGCAGGAGAGAGGCTCAGGTTTTTGGGAAATATGTGTCGGGGACGGACGAGGGTTTGTCAGACAGTCAGTTTTGGGCATGTTGTTCTGTATGGTGGCCACTGATGTGCTTCTTGACGTCGGGGACGCACTGACGAGGGAGAGGCGAGGCACAGACGAGGCGGCCTTTTGGCAGACCGCAATTTTCAACTCATATTTTGCCGACATTCTCCTTGCTTGTTAGGTGTCACCTTATATTCTGCAGCATTCATTGCTCCAAGATGGTCCGGATGAACGAGTTCGGTCAGCTCCACCCGGAGGGCGTCAAGCAAAAAGTGTGCGACGCGTGTGAGGTGCAGGTCACCCACAATCTGCTCAACAATGTCTCCTTCACCGAGGCCAAGTCGGATCTCGAGCGAAGACTTTCACACCGTGCCGAGCGCAAGGATCTAGTTGCACAGAATATCATTCACGAGTCCACTGGTACGTGGTGGTTGTTTTTGCATTTACTTTGTGTTTGAGCGAGTTGTTGACTTTTTTTTTTTTTTTTTTTTTGGGTGTGTGTGTGTGTGTGTGTGTGTGTGTTTGACTTTGACCCCCCTGCTTGCGCAGATGCCAAGGTCGATTCCAATCTGGTGGCAGTGTCCGAGCAGCTCATTCGGCGGCATCGAAAGGACTCGTTATCCAACAAGCTGAGTATGCGGCCGAACGTGGAGGAGCTGATTGGCAAGCACATTCTCACAGGCAAGTTTTCGCCTTTCGGATGTACTCGTTGTTGCCGTCATCACCATGTATTGCTGTTGCTGCCACACCCCCCCTCTTGAACTCTCGCTCACCCTTGGCGGCTTGAACATCGTAATTTGCAACAACAGCGGCTTCTCCCGAGCAAGTCGAGGAGCAGAAAGAGACCGTCGAGAAGAAGCTCATCACCCACATGATTACAAGGCCATCGGTTGATGATCTTGTCAACCGAAATATCATGAAGGGCGAAGGTGAGTGCACGTTGTGGAGCAATCTGTCTCTGGCTCGACTGATTCTCACTTTCATCCTCGGGGGTTTGACTCACGCTTCAGAACTTGGAATGGACGATGTCGTGGACGAGTCTGGCGATGTCGTGATTGAGTTTTCGGCCATCAAATTCGACAACACTGCCGAGTATCTCGAGGAGAAGGTGAATGACACTTTTTTTTTTGGAAACGAGCCTTTTCGGCTTTTCGGCTTTGGTTTTCGGTGTGACTTACCAATGTGCTATGGCGCAACGTCCTCTTGCGCAATTTCATGCAGCTTCAACGACGACCCTCGTTCCTCGAGCTGGAAGATCGCAACATTCTTATTCGTTTCAAAGACGTCGTTGCCGTGGCCCCTACCTACGACGCCGAGGATTACGATCGCAGCAATGACAAAACCTGGACACGATTAACCAACAAGTGAGTCTCAAGCCACGAGAAAGAGAGAGCCGCAAGCAGTTGTTGTTGTTGTTCTTGTTCCTGTTGTTGTTGTTGATGAACCTGCTCTCACCTCCGTTTTCCCTTCCTGCCAACAGAGACAAAGTGGCCATCAAAAAAGAGCTCAACGATTTCAAGCGCACCATGCCGGTTCATGAGGAAAGCGCTCAGTACACACGATTTCACAAGTGATTTTTCCGCAACGTTTTTTTCAATGCTTGTTTTTGTGTTTTTAGCCTTGACTTGCGCCTGTTTGACTTGTTTTCAAACAAGCTGCACACAATCCCACAAAATATACTTCAGAGGGTGGTCTCAACATCCGCGCTGGCTTGGGTTTTTGTGGTTGCTGAGTGTTTCATATTCTCGTTTGTTTGTTTCTGTCCTCGTTTGATTTGTTTTTTGTTCTTCTTCTTCTTCTTCTTCTTGGTCATTACCTTGAGCTTGAGCTTTGCCACACTAATACAATACACAGAGTTTCAGATTTTTTTATTTGAATTTTTATTTGAATTTTTTATTTGAACTGTTTTTTATTCTTGGTTTGGTTCAGTTCTCATTCATTTTTTTTTTGTATTTTTTTTCTCATTTATTTGCCATGCTGAATCACCTTGCGGCTGCTGCTGGCCGTGCGCTGGGCAACGGTGCCGTCGTTGCCTCGTTCATCCAGAGCGCGATCGACTGCGTCAACAACCGCCTGTACATCTCGCTGGACAAGCCGTCGTACGTTGGCGGCGAGGCCGTCACTGGCCAGGTCCATGTGTTGTGCACCGTGCCGTTTGTTTGCCCGGCTCTCATCCTCAAGGTTTGCCTGTTTTTCCACCCTTCGCCCACCCCCCAATGCCACCTCCGCTTTCCTCCCTTTCCCCTTTCGACTCGCTCTGTCTCGCCTTGTTCGCGTCGACCTTTCGCTGCTCGCTGTTTCGAGAGCGTGTGGCGAACGAGCGGAGAAAATAAAAACACGAGAAGAAAAATATGAAAAAAAAATACAAAAAATATGAAAAACAAAAACAAGTTTTTTTTATTTGAAAAACACAAAAACACACAATAAATAAAACCGCTGATCAAACAAGACAGCTGGCATTTTGGGAGGGGCGTGAAAGTGAATATCTTTGGAGGCGAAAAAGGGCGTCACTCGCTTGTCATCCGCGCTCAACGCTGCAACGGTGAATTGTGGTGACTGACACACGAAAGCGACCCGCATTGGCTGAAAGTCAAGTGGCCAACTCATTTTTGTTTGCACGCGCATGCTGCAAAAATCAACAAAACGAAAATACCAACAATACCAACTTGCATGCAACCGCAACACTCAGAAAACAAAACAAACCTGACCTGAAATAAATATCTGAACTATTGGTGCAGGTCAAGGGCTTTGAGCGCACAGCGTTCTCGCGCACGTACATGAAGCACGACAAGAACACCAACCGGCACTACAAGCACACCGACCACCACGCCGACTTTCGCCTGTTCTTCAGCCAGACCATCCGTCTGTACACTGCGGCGACTGGCAGCATGATCATGCCCGGCATGCAGGCGGTAACGTAGAGTTTCTTGTTTGGCTTTTGCAACCCCGAAACCAAGCTGAAATGAGAACGAAAAATCACTCAACATCAAAATCGCTCTTTTGTTGTGTGACAGTTCGCCTTCTCCTTCCAGCTGCCTGAAAACCTGGCAGGCACCTTCTACGAGTCGGGCACTTACGGTAGCGACTACTATACCGGCTCGGTAAAGTTTGGCTCAAGCCGCAACTGAACTTGATTTCCGGTCGTTCTCATTTTTTTTCATTGTCCAATTTCATGCAGGTCATGTACAAGCTCAAGGCCACCATTGACATGCAGGCTCGTCATGGTCTCCACAGCACGACCCTGCTCGTCATCAACGAGAAGATTAGCAGCGTCGTCACTCCAGCGTTTGGCGGTGCGTTGTTATCAAGCTTGCTGGTGGTTTTTTTTTTTTAAATTGTTTTTGTGCCCTCTTTTCCGGCGACACCTCACACACGCTTCATCTCGTTCGACTTGTGCAGAAAACTCCAAGAACTTCTTGACTGCTTCCGGACGCCTGCACAACCGCATTTGGCTCGGTAAGCACAGCTAAAATCCGTCATGGCAACATCCGACCACTGCCACTCACCTTTGTTCTCTGTGCTGGCAGACAAAAACGTCTACTTCCCTGGCGAGAATGTCATCTGCAAGCTGGAGGCAAACAACACGTCGACCAAGAGCACCAAGGGCATGATTGTCGAGGTGGTCCGTGTTCTGAGCCTCCGCGCTCAGAACCAGCATACGTCGCGTACGCTGACCGTCTATCGCATCAAGTACCCGGGCTTTGATCCGTGCTTCTTTGGCGAGCGCTACCTTCCGTTCCCGATCCCGTACGATCTCCTCCCGTCCACCAGCTCGGGCCTTGTGAAGAATGGTAAGTTTTCGCGTCAAATCCGATGTCTGACGCTCCGGCTCGATCCTCGACACTCATTGCCTTCTCCCTTGCTCTTCAACCCCCCCCCCATCTTCCCCGTCAGAGTACTTCATCAACGTCACGGCCGACATTGCCGGCGCGCTCAACCTCAAAATCCGCCTGCCCGTCACCATTGCCGCGCCGCAAACCCTGTACCTGTCCCACGCGCCGCAGGGCTCGCTGGTCACGCTTCCCCCGGACGTGTCCTTCCGCCCTCCGTGGCAAGCGGACGAGGAGGTCAACACGTGCAACGCGTGCTCGGCTGGGTTTACGCTGATGAAGCGCCGTCACCACTGCCGCAGCTGTCTGCTCGTGTTCTGCTCGGCGTGCTGCAAGACCAAGGTGCCCCTGACCAATCTCGGCTACTCTGGCCCCGAGCGTGTCTGCGGCAAGTGCACTCCGCTGTGCGCGTCCGGTGGCGAGCGCCTCAACACGCAGCTCTCCAACCTGGCTCCCGTTGGCGAGGCCGAGTTCCCCGACATTGGCGCCTGCCGTGTCGCCGTGCCCGTGTCCAAGAAGGGCAACGCCTATGCTCAGGCTGGCGTGCCCCCGCCGATGCCGAACATGAGCTCTGCTCCTCCTCCGCAGCAATCCTCTGCTCCCCCGCCTCAGCAACAGGGCTATCCCCCGCAGCAGCCGCCGCAAGGCTATCCCCCGCAGCAGCAGCAGGGCTATCCTCCGCAGCAGCAACAGGGCTATCCTCCGCAGCCGCAGCAGGGGTATCCTCCGCAACAGGGTTACCCGCCCCAGCAGCAACAAGGCTACCCGCCCCAGCAGCAACAAGGCTACCCTCCGCAGCAGCAGGGCTACCCTCCGCAGCAGCAGTCCAGCTACCCTCCGCAGCAGCCGCAGTCGCAGCCGCAGCAACCTGTGCCGCAGGCTCAACACCCTGCCGGTGACAACCCGCCGCCGCCTGCGTACGACTCGGTCATGTCACCGACTCCCGCGTCTGGCGAAGTGAGCAAGGATGCACACGTGCAAGCCAGCGCCCCGGAGGGTGATGATGCCACTGCGAACGCGTAAAATGTCTTTGTTGTTGTTGGCTGCCAGCTGCCAACTGGTTCAAGCTGTTGTTGTTGTTGTTGTTGTTGTTGCTGTTGTTGTTTTGATGAGCACTGTGTGTCGTGCTTTTGTTTCGAATCGCTCCGTGTCGTGCCTGTTATTTGACTCGCAGTGATAACTTTTTGTGTCGTCTGAATGAACCCTTTTCTTTCTTCCTTTTGTTCGAGGCATTTGTTGTTGCTACACTCTGCAAAATGCAAAGGTTGATCGCATCATCGTTCAAGTGTACTTTGGGGCAACAGCGCGGCACAACAAAAACAGCCATTCAATTTACAACATCCAACAACCCAAAAAACAACAACAACATCATCATCAACAAAAAACTCATCCAACCCATTCGCATCACGACATTTACGCACGCACGCACGCAATTTACGAGTGCATCCACTGCGAGTAGCGCCGCAGAAGATCAGCATCGGTAAACGCGGGAGCAAAGTTGATGCGCAGCACCTCGGTAAAGCCTTCAGCCGCCGTGGGGTCGGAGTACTTTGAGCGGTACATGTTGAAGCCAATGCGCGAGACATGCTCGTGGGTGGGATCGGTCGCTTCGCGGAAGGCGTTGTTGTGCAGGGCGTGCTCGTAGGTGGTGTTCATCACGAACGCGCGAGCGGGAATGCCCAGCGCCTTGGCCTCGGCGACGTAGCGCCCGCGGGACTCGGTGTCGGGCGAGGTGTTGTCGACCACGACGCTCTTACCCGCGCGCAGGGCGTCGCGCGTGGCGGCGACGCACTTTTGCCAGGTTCCGAGCGTGTCGCGGTTGATGTGGACGTAGCCTGCGGGAACGAGCTTCTGACGGACAAAGGTCGACTTGCCCGAGGCCGGGAAGCCCGTCATCACAATCAGCTCCTGCTTGGGCGCGGTCAGCGAGGCCGTGGTTGGCGTGAAGAGCGGCAGGTTTTTGAAGGCGTTGACAAACTCCTTCGGGTCGGAGCCGGCGAGCTTGAACGGGGCAGGCTGGTGCTTGAAGAAGAACTCTTCCGGAGTGTGGAAGCCGATGCCGAGGTTGAGGGCAAACTTGCGGTCCGAGTCGGAAAAGTCCTTCTTGCGCCCGGGAGCCCAGTTGGCCGCGCGGCCCGCGGCGTCGCCAATGTACAGCGCGACGCTTGCGTCAACCGGAACCTTGCCGTTGGCAGTGCCGAGCGTGAGCAGCTCCCAGGTGCCCGTCGACGGCTTGCGGTACTGGTCGGTGCCCATGGCGGCAAACACTTGCATCGGCACGCCCAGGTCGGCGAGAATGGCGGAAACCTTCCTCTTCCAGTCCTCCGGGTTGACCTGGCCGCCGGTCATGCCCTTCTGGTTGGAGAAGATGACGAGCTTGGTTCCGTTGGCATGCAGCTCACGCAGCTTGGTCGGAACGTCGGGATGCAGCCACTTCCAGTCGCCAGAGTTGACCGCGAACGACTTGCCCGACTTTGTGGTGATGAGCGTGTCGTCGAGGTCAAACCCGATAATCTTGCTCGAGTGGACCAAGTCGTCTGGGTCAAACCGGAGCAGCGATCCAGCCACCATCGTCCACTTGCCAGCAATCCCAGCGGAAGTAGAAGCAGAAGCTCGGGGCATCAGCGCGGACGCAACGCTGCGCTGGGTCTTGGCGGCCGCGGCTGCGACTGGCTCGTCGTCGTCGTCCGTCGATGCGTCCCACTTGGTGTCCATCGGCGTCGCGGCAGCGGCAGAGGGAGCAGAGGCAGCAGCGGAGGAGGACTTCTTCTTGCTAATTGAGACGGCAGCAGCAGGCTGGTCGTCGGCAGTCAGGTCAACGTCCAGTCGCGGCTGCTTGCTTCGGCGCCCAGCAGCAGTGGAAGCTGAAGCAGTGGAAGCAGCGGAGGTGGATGCGGGAGTGGCGTCCAGCGCGGCGGCAGTTGCGGATCGCTTTGAGCGGGTTGACATGGATTGAATGGATTGAGCAGTTGCAGCGATCGCAGTCGCAGTCGCACTCGCAGTCGCAGTGACAGTTGGATGAGAATGAGAAGAAGAAGAAGAAGAAGACTGAGCTTGAGGTTGAGGTTGAGCTTGAGTGCGTTGAGCTGCAACCAATGCAAGCGATGCAAAGCGACGTTGACTGAGATTGCTTGCAAACCAGTGCTGGTGATTGGATTTGAGCGAGGCGACTGCAGCGGACGATGACAATGCAGCAGCAGCAGCAGCAGTAGCAGCAGTAGTGACAGTGGTCGATGAAGCGGTCGAGCGAGCAACAGCAGCAGAAGCAGCAACTGAAGCAGCAACCGAAGCACTGACGAGCGAAACGAACGAACGCGTGATTTCTGATAAAAACAGAACTGGTTTTTTTTTTGAAAATGTTTGAACTTTTTAAACTGAGTAGATTTCTGAGCGGCTCAGTTTTTTTGTTTGTTCGCTTTGTAGGTCAGAATGAAGGCGAAATCAGGATCAGCGCCGTCACGATCTGCAACAAGCAGCACTGATGAGGACAAACCGACATCCAACACGGCGACGCATGCACATACACGGACAGCGCACGATGCGCACAACAGCAGGAAGACGACGGGCGTATGGGCGCGCATTGGCAGGGCAGACAAGGCAATGTCGGCCAGAATCCACACTGGCGACACGTTCATGCGGCCGCTGCTCGTCGCGCTCGAGTTCTCAGGTGCAAGAAACAGCACCCTTGTGCGATGATGCGATTGGAGTCGGAAGCACACGGAGAACTCGGTTGGAAAAGCGAGCTTCGACTCCGAACTACAATCGCATGCAGCAGCAGCACATCAATGCTAACCTCGAGCGTTTTGTTTTGACTTGATCATCACAGGTCACGGAATTCCATGGATTGCAGGCGCAGTCGTCGCCTTCTTGTTGACGGCGCATTCTGAGCTGCTTGCAAATCTGCTGGCGGGGTTGGCGCTCGATCTGGTCGTCGTTGGGTTGGTCAAGGCGATCGTGCGGCGTCCTCGTCCGTCCTACAATGTAGATGACATGTTTGCCACAGTTTCCGTCGATAGGTATGGCTGAATTGGGGGTGGGTCTTTGGCACAGTCAAAGTGTCCAAAATTTTGATTCAACTTGTTCTGATTCTGTTTTTCTTGCTTGGCGCTGCAGATTCTCATTCCCGTCGGGACACACGACGCGCGTCGCCATGCTTGCAGCATTCGTCTTCTTTTTGGCGAATGTGGGGTTGGAGTCGCAAACGGTAATGGAGGCGGCCAACACGGCGACGGCGCCAACCAGTTCGTCGTCAAACTTGCTGCCTGCGTTCGTGCTGAGCATCATCGAGATGGTGAACATTTCGTTGTTTGTCATTGTCTGGGCGGTAGTGGTTGCCATTTCCCGAGTCATGCTCGGCCGGCATCATGTCGGCGACGTGGCTGCCGGCATTGTGATTGGCGTTGCTCAGTTCCTCGTTTTGCGGCACTTTATTTGGATTCCTGCCCACCACGCCACCTACATGCAAACCACTGCTCTTGACACCATCAACACATGGAAGGCTTCCTACCTATAACGTCTGGTCCCTCATGTCCCCGACGAAATTTACTTTTGCACACAAGGCTGGATGTTGAGACAAAACCGCACAATAAACCCTCTACAAAGACGAATACTCATTGAATACAACAAGTGTTATTATTGATGCACAGCCAAACACAAACACCACAAAGAAATGGAGCCGCCGCCAAGGGGGAGAAAAAGAACAATCCAACCCCAAAATCAACAAGCTCTCCAAAGGGCACTTTCACTATGCCGCACGACGCCGTGAAACGAGCTCGTCAAGGACGGACTGTGCAAGACTGGCCGACTCTGATGCCGAAATGCCCGATTTCTCCATGTGTGCTTGAAGTTGCTTGGTGAGGGTGGTGCGCAGCTCGGTCAATCGCTCAGGGGCGCTCTTGCCAAGGGCGAGTTCGTCCACGCCCTTCATGTCGGCGAAAACGGGGTTGGCCTTGGGAGGAGCCTCGGGTTTCAACGAAGCAGCAGCAGCAACTGCGGGTTTGCTGATGGCAGCGCGCTCCGCAGTAAGGCTGTGGATGGGGTCGTGCGTGGCAAGCGCCTTGCGGAAGAGAGCCAAGTCGTACTCGGTTCGGATGTCGGCCTTCTTGAGCTCAAGCTCGGTCCAGCGCGCAAACTGGCGCTCGTGCAAGTTGGAGGCGATGACTGGCGGCCGCAAGATGCCCGTGATATTTGCGCCATGCGGATGCGCCGTGTCTACGTACAAGTGTAACCGGTTGAGATATCGCTTGCGCAGGTTGTTGCGCGGCAGCATGTTTTTGACAGCCCGGCGAATGATTTCTGTTGGTCGGCGAGCGTGGTAGTCGCGCGCAATTTCTTCCTTCATGCCGCCCGGGCGACCCGAGTGTCGTCGGTAGACCTTTTCCAGCCACTTTGTTCCCGACAGCGCGACATGCTTGGTGTTAATCACGACAATGTGGTCGCCACAGAGAGCTGTTGCGACGCAAAAAGGCAACAAAGGGAAGAGGGAGATTGAGATTGACACCAATTTCTCAAGTGCAAGAACAAGACGATGCCTGCATCCGAACAGATATCGCTGGTGCTACATACTCGAATGGTGATAGATGGGCTTGTGCTTGCCCTGCAGGACTTGCACGAGCAAGTTGGCGAGACGACCTGCTGGCTGACCTTGCGCGTCCACGACAAACCAGCGCTCAGTGTGTGTCAAGTGTGCCTGGGGGAGCAAGTCACACACAAAACAGTTAGTATCACAAGAGGGTCGCAAGAGTGAGTGAACGAAACAGCTGTCGAGAGGTCGGAGGGAAAGAAAGATGAGAGGTCAGGGCGAGATTGGTTAAAACGGAAACAAATCCATAGCATCCGCTAACAGATCGCCGCGCCGAACGAGTACCAAATGGTAGCGGAAAGGCGAGATCTTGGTAAAAATCCATGCATGTGCTCCCCACCCATTGCGTTTGATGGCGCTTACCCGTGAGCCTGCACCGCCGCTGACGAGAGCGTCGCGGGTGGCGTACGACGGCGTGTACTTCCAAGCGACTGGGTTTGCGGCTTGGTTGGTGGTGGACGCGGCGGCGATCGCAGCTGCAGGATGAGCAGCAGCAGCAGCGGAAGAGGCAGTCGATGCCAGTCCACGGCGCGGCACAGCCACTGTAGCAGCAGCAGCAGCAGCATAGGAAGCACAAGTCGCATAAGCGGCAGCGGTGCTGAGCGGGGATGGCCGGCCTGCCGCAGTCGCACAAGCCAAAGCCGCAGCGCGCTTCCACGCGACAGCAAAGCTCATTGTAAACGAAAAAAAGGAAAGAAAGACTGCAGTACACTAGCTGAAACAGACAGAGAGTGAGGAAATTAGGATGGATGACATTTTGGGTGGAGTGGAGCAGGGGTGGGGAGGTGGAGGAGAAGGGGGAAGACGATGGGTGAAACAATCAAGAAACTCATTTTTACAGCTCTTCGCAGTGCTTGTCGAATGTGAATGTCGCAACCGGATCTCTGCAAAGCGCAAGCCTGAAGTTCACTCGGGTGTGGAACGAAGCTGAACGAGCGAGCAAAGGTGGAAGAAGCCGATCTGCCGAGAACAGAAGAAGGTGTTGGCTCGTCATTTTGCAGCCCCCGCGTACCATGCGATCTTGATGTGTGGCCCAATTCGAACTGTCTCTCTGCAATGTTCTCTTCTTTTTGTACAAATCCAAACAATCTGAATCTGAATCTGAATCTGAATCTGAATCTGAATCAGTCGGGTATTTTTTTTTTGTTATTTTTTTTTTTTTTGATTTTGTGAGGGTTTTTTTTTTTTTTTTTTTTTTGTGATTCACGCCCCAACAGCCCTTTTTCGCTCTGCTTTGACGCCTTCCGCAGTTCCGCTTTTTCATCGCTGCATCTGTGGCTGCGTGTGACTGTGCTGTGGTTGCTCTGCCCATGTCTCGCTCGCTCCTCTGCGCTGTAGCCGCAACACAAACCAACGGCAGATTGAAATAAACCAAAAAAAAAAAAAAAAAAAGTCGAAGCAAGATTTTTGACTGGTTCTTTGTTTGATGAATTTTGTGTTTGACGAGCGTCGCGTCGTTGCTGCAAGTGGTTCAAAACTCTTGTCAACAAGGCTACAAAACACCTAAAACTGGGTTGACTTTTGTGGTGACGCTGCAAAGTCGCAGCATTCGTCACTTTTTTTTTTTTTTTTTTTTTTTTTTTTTTTTTTGCTTTTCAATGCAATCTTCTTTCTCGCTTGGCGTTTGTTTTGGGACGCTCATCTATTGCGCACTGTGTTTCGCTTTGTCGCATTTCGCCGTGTGTCTGCACAGTGCTTTCGAACATCCCGGGGTGTGGAGGGGGAGAGGGGTTTGAGGGGTGTTTGGGATTGGGACTTGTCGAACAACTCCAATCGAAAAACCAAAAAAAAAAAAAGAAAAAAAAAAGAAATAAAAAAAGAAATAAAAAAGGTCTTTGACATTGCATTGCAATTGAGTTTGCCTTAAAATGGCAGTGTTTGAAGGGTCGCTCGATTTTTTGTCGCGATTCAGTAAAGCTTCACTTTGAAAGTTTGAGATTGTGTTGCAACGATGGAACTACTTTGTTTGATCATCATCGGTGTTCTGATCTGATCATCGCCAAAAAAAAAAAAAAAAAATGAAACCACAGTGAAACAATCCGGTTGCGAATTTTGTCAGTTTTTTGTTTTGTCCCGTTGGTTGTTTTCTCACCGATTTTGATCTGCTTGAACAACGACCAGGTGACGTAAAACCCACAAATCCAAAAACTCAAGACAACAACAACAAAAAGAAAAAAAAAAGGGGGGAAAAAACCATGGCCTTTTTGCACCGAAGCAACGCTGTGAAGGCCGTTCGTGCGGCCGTCGACAAGAGCAAGAAGCGCCTGGAGGACTTTTCCACGCTGGTGCGCGACGCAGAGGGCGAGCGCCGGGTTGGCGAGATTGCTCGAGCGTGCCAGGAGAAGGGCATCAAGTTTGTCGACTCTGAGTGGCCGGCCAACACGAAGGCGCTGTTTGTCGACCCCGCGCATCCGTCGGCACAGATGGAGAGCGTCCAGAAGGAGCTTGGCGGCATCCAGTGGATGCGCCCAGACCAGATGGGTGATCCGCACGAGCCGCCGCAGGTGTTTGCGGAAGGCATCGACCCGGAGGACATCCACCAGGGCTCGATTGGCGACTGCTACTTTTTGGCCGCGCTGGCCATCTGCGCCACGCGCGAGGAGCTGATTCTCGACTTGATTGTGGAGGACTTTGCAGAGACTGGCATTTACGGCGTCAAGATGTGCGTGATGGGCGAGTGGCGCACCATCATTGTGGACGACTTGCTGCCCTGCCGCAAGGAGGGCGACCGCTGGATGCCCATCTTTGCTCGCTGGAAGGGCACCAAGGAAACCTGGGCCATGATTGCCGAAAAGGCCTGGGCCAAGCTGCACGGCTCGTACGAGGCCATTGGTGGCGGCCGCACCGAGGATGCCCTCTCCTACCTCTCTGGCGGCTACGCGACCTGCTCGTCGCTCGAGGACAAGGACAACGGCGGCAACCTCTACAGCCGTCTCTACAACAACCACCACCTCAACGGCAAGGACATGGGTGTCTTCATCTCGACCTCGGGCGTCGACGAGAACGTGTCCAAGAAGGGTGGCCTCGACGACCCCACGAAAATGTCTGGCCAAGACAAGTCGAGCGGCGGCCTGGTTTCCGGCCACGCGTACTCGCTGTTGGACGTTGCAGAGGTTGACGGCCACCAGCTCGTGCGCTTGCGCAATCCATGGGGCTCGTACGAATGGGACGGCGACTGGGGTGACAAGTCGCCCCTCTGGACTCCCTCCCGCAAGAAGCAGGTCGGCTTTGTCGACGCGGACGACGGCTCGTTCTGGATGTCGGTGGAGGACTACCGCAAGAACTTTGGCCTGGTCGGTATCTGCAAGACCCTGCCGAGCAAGTTCCACCAGGCGCGCCAGGCTGCGAGCTGGGTTGCCGGCGTGAACGCCGCTGGTCCCTCTGACGCGCTTGTCGGCTTCAATCCGACCTTCCGACTCAAGCCGACCAGCTCCAAGGTGTGGATTCAGCTCGAGCAGCCCGACGCCCGCGGCCACCCGCTCAAGAGCTTTACGCACACGCTCGCGTACGTTCTCAAGGAGTCTGACGTCAAGTCCAACTCGGACGGCTACCGCGTGGTGGTGCCCGCCCAGTCGGTCTGCCCCGCCATCACGCTCCTCGAGGAGCGTCAAAAGACTGCCGAGGTGGAGCTCAACCCCGCAGACGGCCCCTTCCTGGTTGTCATTACCACCTGGCGCGCCGGTCTGGAGGCGAGCTTCCAATTGTCGGTCGCCAGCGAGGGCGCCTTCACGCTGTCCCGCTTGCCCGACGTTCGTGCCACCCCGTCTCAGGTCAAGGCCATGTCCAAGGTGCCGCTGCCCAAGGAGTGCATCACTTGCACCAAGGCGGTCGATATGCACCACCATGTCGCCCTGAAGGGCGTGCGTTGGCACCAGACCGCCGCCTGCAACAAGTGCGCTGGTTGCGCAAAGAGCTTTACCTTCTCGGGTGCCAGTCCCGCAGGTGGCGCCAGTGGCCTCAAGTCGCACGACGTGGCTTACGACGGCAAGTGGGGCGCATACTGCTTTGACTGCTGGAACAGGAGCTTTGGCGAGCAGTGCATTCAGTGCAAGAAGCCGCTGCAGCACCATGCAAACGACAACGACCCCTGCGTCGCCGTCCCCGGCGAGGGCAAAATGCACCAAGAGTGCGTGACCTCGTGGCAGGCGTCCTCGGCGGAAAAGTGCGCCCAATGCGAGCAGCCTGTGATTCAGTCTGGCAAGTTCTCTGGCCAGTTTTACACGACCGACATGGGCTCGGCTGGCGGCAAGCTGCCGAACGGCGAAAAGCCGCGTCAGGTGCATCTCGAGTGCTGGGAAGCCTTCGAGGCCGCCCGTGCCGCAAAGTGCCTGCACTGCCACAGCCCGATTTGCGAGCTTCCTGGCAAGTTCTCGGGCAGCTACTACCCCGTTGACGGGCCCGTGAAGGGCTCGGTCCATGCCGAATGCTACCCTGCCTTCCAGATGTCCAGCGCGCCCAAATGCGTCCAATGCCAGCAACCCTGTGCCGAGATCCCCGGCAAGTTCTCTGGCCGCCTGTACCAAGTGGCTGGCGGTCGGCTGCACGAAGAGTGCCAGACGGACTACCAGCACTCGCAAGCGAAAAAGTGCACGCACTGCTCACAGCCCGTGCTTGCCATCGCGGGTCGGTTCTCGGGCAACTACTTCCAGACGAAGGAAGGCGACAATGTGCACGTCGAATGCAAGGAGGGCTACATGAGTGCACGCGCCAAAAAGTGCGCGCACTGCCACCAGCCAATTGTGAAGAACGACAAATTTGGTGGCTCGTACTACCCCTTGGAGAGCGGCTCGCACGTCCACGAGGAATGCTACGACATTTATCTCAAGAGCGGAGGCAAGAAATAAATGGGCCGAGTTTTTGTTGTTTTCTTTTCCACCGTTTTTGGTTGGAAGTGTCAACTTGTCGACTTTGGGTCTTGTGCTGTGTTCTTTTTTGTTCTTTGCGTGTGATTGTGCCCGTTTCGCCATTTTCTTTCGGTGTTGTGTTGTTGTCTTTCACAGTGTTTCCGTTACTTGTGTTGTTTCAATTACTACCTACCCCGTCCAAAATACATCATGCTTTGTCGTTCGCTTTATCGTTCACCCATGTCGTTCATGTTGTTGTGTGACCAAAGTGAGGATACTTGCACAGCATTCATTAATTTTTCATCAGAAATCGGCAAAAGCAACAACAAGCCCTAAACACAAATACACAGACATACACACAGACACTCACAGACATACACAGGCCCACACAAACGCTCACAGACATAACAAACACAGGCACACACAGACACACACATCTGCAAAAAGTCTCACATCAAAATGCACACCTATTGCAACATCCTTTTTGTTTTCACTTGAAATCCACACAGCAACGTTTTCACAGTTGAGTGAGAACCTTGCTTTCGCCACGACGAAGCGTCAGCTTTTTGGCGAGGCGCTCGAGCGTGGTCTCGTCAGGGACGACAGAATCGCGCTTGGACGGTTCCGCGGGACCAGCAGAGTACGCTGGGGTCCTCGGCTCGCAAATGAGCGATAGTTGGTACAACTTTGCCTCAGAGTAGACCTGCACAGTTCTAAGGCCATCGCGAATCTCCGGCACGGAGATAAACCCTGAAAAGTCGGACATTTGGCAACGGCGAATCTCGCGAATTTTGCTGGCAATGAGCTCAAACTTGTCATAATTGACCAGCCCTTCACCAAACAGCGACGGATTGCCATCGTTCATGAAGAAAAAGTCCTTCAGGTACAGAGCAATAAAGGGGATGAGACGCAGCTGGGCCGACTCGGAAAATCGTGCCTGCAGCATGGCGCGGTACTTTTTGTAGTTGCTTGCGGGATCGAGCAGCTGCTCGGCCTCCTCGCGCACCGTAATGTACTTTTTCGAGACTTCACTCCACGCCCGCTTCAGTCGCTGCACGGGAGACATGTTGAGACCCGACACCACGGCCATGAGGAAGCTATAGTTGCTCACCACCTGCGACTGCTTGCACAGCTCGAGCCAGCGCTCAATGACGCCGACACGCTCGGCAGGCGTGGGGGCGACGCACACTGTGGTCGACACCCAGTGGCTGAGCAGATTAAACCAATCAATGAACGCGTCGATGGCGGGCACAGACAGGCCATTGTACTGCGCCAAAAAGTCGCGGGGTCGGATGTCGCGGAACATTTGCATGTCCAGAACACACATTTGCTGAATAAACTTGACGGGGTCCTTGGACAGCGCAAGGAACTTTGTTGTTTCGCCCGACAAATCCAGCGCGTCGTTCTTGGTGGATACCTCACGAACCTGCTGCTTGCCCGGCTTGGGCGCAGAAGCCCCAGTAAAGCCCGGCAGAGGGTCTGAGCTGCGTCCAGCGGCTTCGTCTGCTTTTCGCTTCTCTCGGAAGGCCTGCAGCGTCGCTTTGATATTGTTGTGAATTTGTTGGGTGGCGCTGGCCAGCTTGTCCTCGTTCAGCAAGTCGTCCAGGAGGTAGAAGGCCTTCTTGAGCAGTGGCAGATCGATAAAGTCCTCACCAAAGAGCTCGACCCATTTCTTCAGCACGCGCACGACGCGCATCTTGACCGAGAACGCTTGGTGGGGCGTGTAGTTGCCCGTGGGAGACAGTGTGGTCATGCCGACGTTGGTGCCGACGAGCAAGGTGGAGCTGGGCAGCGCGCACTCGAGAACGCGGGCCACCAGTTCGTCCATGAGCTGGCCAGGCGAGAGAAACTGGCGGAAGGTGAGCAAAAAGTCTTCCACATAGTACGTGTCAATGACCGATCCACTCCCGCTGGTCTTGGCGTCTGCAACGTCGGCGAGCGGCACGAGTTCTTGCACGAGTTCTTTGACTGTCTTTCCTCGCTTGTCCGGGGGTGCCTGGGCCGTGACTTGCGGCGATCCCGGAGCGACCGGAGAAGGCGAGGCTGGGCCTGCAGCAGCAAACGACGCACCTGAAGCGCGGGAGACGGACTGATAGTTGATGGAAGCGCCGGTGGCACGCGAGTACGTGCCAAAGTTGATTGCGCTGCCGCTGTTCGAGCTCGCGAGGGGGCTGCTGCTACTACTCGCGTTGATGTTGGACAGACTGGTGGACGAGCCCGACGATCCGAGGCCGTTCAATCCGTTCCCAGTGCTGCCGAACGGCGATGAAGGCGCGTTCAGGCCGGGAGAGGCGGGGGCGTCGACGTAGAAGGTGGATGACCTGTTGACGCGGTTTGAGCGCTCTGTTTGCGGCGAGACAGAGCCCATTGTGTGGCGCTGCTGCAGACCAACCATGCTCCCGCTACTACTCCTGCTGACAGTGCCACCACTGCCAATATTGCTGCTGCTGCCGCTGCCGCTCAGACTGCCCGAGCCTGCTGCTGCTGCGCTTGATCCGCCGCGCGGTTCCTTGATGTTGTGGATGCCCAGCTTGATGGACATTGCAACGCGCAACAGTGCGCTCTTGACCTGGTCGAGCTGGACAATGTCGCGCGCTTCGCCCGCGCTGCTGCGCCACTCGAGTCCGACGCCGGCCGGTCCCGTCTGCGTCACTGCGCGCGCTGCAGCCACCAGCAATTTCGTCTAATTGCAAGATCCAATCCGATCGTCCACATTTCACATTGCAGCATTTTTCATATGAGTGCACACAATGTGGACATGCATGGTGTTGCCTTCTTGATTTGGATGTTGCCGCATTGGTTTCGCGCTCTCTCTCTCTCTCTCACATTCACTCTCTCTCTCTCACTCTTTTTCGCTCGAGATTCACCCCCCTTGTCCTGTCACTGGTGATGATCGCGTTCTAGTGTTGAAGCCTTCTCGTGTTGTTGAGCTGCGGTCGATTGATTGATTTTCCCATTCAATCAAAAAAAAAAAAAAAAAAAAGATGCCAAAGATGGCAGAAGAAGGGCGAGGCCTTGCTTTTGGTACCCTGGCGAGTGAGGCGTTTCGTATGAAACCAGCGAGCGGGTTGATTTTCAAATCCTACGGAAACAAAAAACGCGGGTTTTTTTTTTTTTTTTTTTTTTTTTTTTTTTTTTTTTTTTTTTTTTTTGGGTTTTGCTTTCGGTTCAAAGCAAAGCCTTACATTGTCGAGCAGCTCCTGCTGGAAGGCCGTGTCCTCGGTGACGCCAAAGAGCGCGACGAGCTCCTGCACGATGCGGGCAATGCTGGCGACGCGTCCAACGAACGTGGTGACGACAATCTCGTCGGAGAGCGCGGTCGAGGCCGTGCTGAACTGGGCGACGAGATTGTCGATGGCGGCAATTCTCTGAGGCTTTGAAGAGGTGGGAGGGGGTGGGGGGTTTGGTGGCTGGTTGATGGTTGTTGTTGCTGCTGGCTGTTGTCAGAGTCAGTCACAACTAGAACGAGAGAGAGACAGACAGAGACAGAGACTGAAGGGAAAAGCCAAACAAACAAACAAACAAAAAAAAAAAAAAATAAAAAATAATAAAAATAATAAAACACAAAACAATCAAAGAGTGACTGCTGTCTTTGCCTGTCTGAATCATTGTGAAAAACTATAAAACCGTCCCGAGCGGAGCTCACTTCGAAACAAAATCAACCATGAAGGAACGCGTCTCGACAAGAGCAGACAAAGAAAATGAATCACGATGAAAAAGTTTTGTTTTTTATGAAACTCTCAAAGCATAACAACAAAAACTCAGAAAACGAACAAACAAATCACAACAAACAACAAAAAATTGAAAACAACAACGCATCACCTGCATTTTAAACCTGCGACTGGGACTTGACGCGCGCTAGAGCCTCCTGAAATAGACTGCTTTGCCGGAAGCGCGGGTAAACGTCCGTTTTCAACAGGGCGAAGATCGACTTGAACACGGGGTCGAGGACTGCAGGGTCGGTGGGCTCCCGGTCGAGCTCGGCATTAACTTGGGCAGATAGGGTGATGGGGAGATTGAGCTCGCGCTTGCTGGTGGGAAGGAGATACTCGCGCCGGATTGCCTGAATGTCCTCTGCGGTAATCTTTTCTCCAGCTTGCTGCCGAGCTCTGAGATCCGTCATGGTTCGGTAGAAGAGCAAGTTCTCCGAGCACCAGCAGCGCACGGTATAGTCTGCAAAAGCCGCCATCAGGATGTCGTTTCCAAGAATGTCGGACAAGGTGCTGCCGAACGGACGCTCGGGTCGCGTGGTGGTGCCAAGCTGGTTTAGCGCGAGGTTGCTTGACATCATGTGAGCATCGAGCTCAAGGATGGAGCGCGGATTTGCGTCGGCGTGCTGTTGCTCCTCCTCGGGGTGGCTTTCAGAATCGGAATCAATGTCCTCGTCGACTTGAATTGTCTCCTGCTCGACCGGATCCGTCTCCGAAGAGGCGCCAGCCTGTCGCGCAGCAGCGGCAGAAGCAGCGGCTCGGCGTTGTCGCTTGCTTTCGCGGAAACGGGGCAAATCCGCCGACACCAACGACTCTTGGCTCGATGATCGCGCCATTTTCCGTTGCACAATCTCGTCGTAATAGGACACAACAATCGGGAAGCACACGTTGGCGATAAAGATGCAAAGGAAGACGATAATGAGCATGTTGCCATAATCGAACGACTTTGGATCCACCACACTGAGCGCAAAGTAGACGATAAACGTCGGGATGGAAATGTACGCCAGCAATCGCAGCTCGCTCTGTGTGTGTATGTGGGATGGAGCAAGGTGAGCAAAAATCGGAGAGCAAAGATCAATTCAGATGCAAAATGAGTCAAACCCAAGAGATGGAAACCAGAAGAACGAATGAAACACAACTCTGCGCCAAACGACTGACCTTGACATAATAGGCATCCTCGACGTCTCGCCAGAGTAACTTGACAAGGGCGATAACACAGAGCGCATAGCCAAACCCAATAATGTTCTGACCCAGCGAGTTTGGAACGGAATTGCAACGCGTGTCGGTCATGTTGACGTCAATGTATCCGGCGTTGGATTCGGTGATGATCACGTCCACAATGATGTGCAACAGGCAGACGCCCACCCAGAAGAGGATTTGCCAGCGAAGCTTCAGCACTGCGCGGTGATCATGAAACCAGTGCCGCAGGGTGGACTTTTCTTGGTGCCATCGCAGGCGGTACCAGAGCACAAACGAGCGGATAAAGTACGGCTGTGTGCAATGTCAAGTCAGCCCCCGGGACTGTTTCCTTTTGGAAGCAAAGCAACAGAGCAAAAAGAAGGAGCATACCAGAAACGAGAGCGGCGAGATAAATGCTGCCGAGATGAGGCGTGTTCGGCACGAAAAGAGGCTTCGGTCGTAGGATCGAACGAGCAGCAGAATCAGATCGATACTTAGTCCTCTGTATCACAATACAACAAGTCATCATCAAGTCAGAGCCAACGACAGGACGTGTGAAAGCAATGAAATTGGTTGGAATGAAGGCCAATTGTGAGAAATTTTCGCAGCGCGGCGCTCCTCTCCTTTTTGAGCTGGTCTCTCCACTCGCCAGGCGTTTCTTCTTGATCAACCAGTGTTATACAGCAGCACACGTCGAGTTTGACACTGACATGTCCGTCGAACCAAGCCTTGTTTTTCGCACCAAATGGTGTTTTTTTTTTTCTTTTCTTTTTTCAGACAATTTGCCGTAGTCAGGGTTGAGCAGCCACAACAGCCATGTGCTGCAACACACGTCCCGCTGCTCAAGAGCCCAGTCGACACACACATGACTTTGTGCCAGTAAAAGCACTCTGCAACAAGCACAATAAGGCAAACAAACCAACGGCTGTTTGTTCGGATCTGAATTTTAAGGTGCGCAAAAAAAAAAAAAAAAAAAAGAACAACAACAAAGCGAGAGAAATGGAAATGAACGCAGTGGTTGGTTGGTTGGGAAATGAAGAGCAAACACAATGCTGAATGAATAAGAAGGTAGAGAAATAACTGAAGGGAGCAAGACGAGGATCAGAGAGTGAGAGGGAGATGATCAGAGAGAGTGAGAGGGAGAGAGCGATTGGGGTCAGCGGTAGTGAGATGGAAAAGGCGAAAAAAAAAAAAAGCAAAAAAAAAAAAAAAAAAAAAGCGAAGACTCGATAGCGGGCAACCCCTGAGCGAGAGGAAGCGAGAGGGAGGGAGAGGGACACAAAGAGAGGGAGATGATGGAGAGAGACAACAGGACGAAGCGACAAGAGCCCGCCCGTCAACCCCTTCATCCGAGCGAAAACGCCACCCAAAGCGAGATGCGAAAACAAGAAGGGCGACCCATAGGCGCGCCGTTGCCTCGCACTCGCTGTTCCCCGCGCTGCCCCGCCTAGCGACGCATTGGCCACCCCACCATTCGACTCGCACACAAGCAGAGAGACACACAGCCACGATAACAGCAACACGCATCAAGAAAAACAAAAAGCACATCCAGAGCTCGCATCGTTGTTTACATGGCTGTGAAGATGGACCAGAAGACGCCTCGCGACCGCAAGGGCTCGCGTGTCGACCGGTACAGGAAGAGCGGGAAGAGCACCAGGAACAGCCCCGCATAGATGACTGCAAACAGCAGAAACTCGAGCTGGACGGTCGTCGGGGTCAAAACCATGGTGTTGTCGTGTGTGTGAAGTGAACAGAACAGTGAAGGAAAAAAAAAAAAAAACCACCGAAAACCTCGATGAAAAAGCGAACAAAAAAAAAAAAAAAAAAAAAAAAAAGTAGATCTAATGTGAGAAAAGTTCAGTTGCTATGCGAAGGCTGAGGTTTGGAGAAAAAGACAAAGAAAGAGTGAAAAAGAAAGTGTTCGGAGAAAAAATAGAAAAAGACAAACGGAAGAGTGCGGATTTTGCTGAAACGGCAGGAACATGATCACGACAAAAATCCGAAGCACTCTAAAGTTCTCCCCCCTCCTAGATCTACTACCACACCCAAAAGCTAACCAAGCATTGTAGTTTCAAGCTGATGCAGACCGGAAGGCGAATTATGAGCCCCGTCATTTAGATCTCCCACAGTTCGTTCGTTCGTTTGATTCGGTTTGTTTTGTTGACAACGCTGCAACCATTCAAACCGACACACAACAACAACGACAAACAACAACGACAAACAACAACAACGACAAACAAAAGCAATAGACGGCATCGCCAATTTAAACATACTCGGACTCGTCTATTTGCGAGGAAGTGGGCTGCTGCTGTTGAACCGTGTCGGAGGACTCTGGCTGTGGCCGCAACGAGGACGTCGACCGCGCTGGCGATTGCGAGGGCAACCGTGAGGACATTTGCATGGTCAAGCCAGGAGACGAGGCCCTGGAAGGGTCGTCGACATTGCCTGAATCTGCGTGACCAGCATCATCGTCGATGCTGCTGCTGCGACTGTCGTGGTCGGGCTGATCCCCTTCGATGGTCGAGGAGGTTGAAGGCCGCGCCGGAGGTGGCGCCTGTTCCTCTTCCGCATCATCGTGGCGACAGCACAGCACGTGCATAATCTTTTCGCCCACGGACTTTTCGCGTTGCATCTTTTTCAGAGGCTTCTCGACGCGCTCCATCTTCTTCATCGGACGCTCGCGCGCGCGCTGGGCTTGCCGCAACATGCGGCGTTGTTTACGCTGCTTGGCTTTGGCATGCTCGCGCTCGGGGTCTTCTGCAAAATCGTCCACGTCCAGGTCGCTTGTGCTCGAATTGGAGCTGCTCCAGTCGTCATCGTCGTCGGTCGAGTTGTCGGCAGCCTTGTCGTCCGCATCTGAATCGTCCGAGAAGTCCGATTCAGCACCGGCAGTCGCGGACGAGCTCGCTCGCTGGCGGAGTACGCCTTCCTCGAGCGCCACACCGGATGCGTCGTCCATGCTCACCTGACGAGGAGGCACTGCGCCACCTGCCAAGGACGATTTGCGACCCGTCGACGTCGAGGTGCTCAGGGCTTTGAGGCGCTCTGCCTCGGCGAGGGCCGATAGGGCATCGTCTGTGTTGGCCTTTGGCGAACGCGCAGCCGCCTCCATCTGGAGAGCAAGCAATCCGATTGTCGAATGGCCGCGCTTGACGGCAAAAACCGGGTCGGTTTGCACCCGCTGCTCGTAAGGTTTGCCCACATCTGTTCGGAGCTCTGGTTGCAGGTACGCATACGTCAAGTCCTGTGGCGAGAGGCGAATGCACATGTCATGCTTGCAGTTGGGAATGCTGTGCTCTGTGCAAGGGGCTTCGCGAAGGGACGGGCGACGAGCAGGCGGATCAAGAGGGGCAATACCGGCCGCCGACGAGACCGAGTCGTTCGAGGCGAGCGACGCTCTGGCAGAGGATGCTTCTGAGGTGGTGGGAGAGGTTTCGTCGGGGAGGGCGTCTGCCGAGGCCGGAACGGCTGCATCCGACGAACTTGTCGTTGCTGAAAACGTCACGCTGTGCGATGGCGAGCTGGGCTTGGTCCTAGATTTGAAAAGGCTCTTCAACATGCTGCCTTCGCGGGCGGGCTTGGGAGGCACCTGCTGCGAAAGGGCCTGTGACGAATTTTCGGTCGTCGCCGTTTGCTCCTCCGTCGCTTCCGAGTCCAGACCGGACAGCTGCTCGGAACTCGCATTCGTCGACACGATGGGGCTCATACGCTTCGTGCCCTGGCGCGACAACAGACCTCTGCCGGGGATGGTGTTGGAGATTTTGCTGCCGGCCTTTTTCATAAAGCCAAACGTCATGGCCGCCGTCTGAACAACCATGTCGGTGTCCTCCAGCGTGTCAATCGTCTCCTTTGCAGCAAGACGAAGAGGGATGTTTCGGGCCGGGTAGTGATACGTGTCGTTGACCCACACGTAAAAGATGAAGGAAAGAATGATCAAAGGGATCATGGCCACGGCGGGACCAGGAGACTCTTTGAGACTGAACAGACCCACCATGGTCAGCTGGTAGACGGTCAAGCACGTCGCCATGCGATTGAAAACCACGGGGAAGAAGCTGCCACCCGTTTCAAACCGCCTCGAGTTGACGTACATGACCGAGTACTTGCTGACAAACAGGCCCAGCCAGAAGACGCAGATTCCAAACAGCACTACCAGAGGCGAGATGGTGCAGAAAACCAGCACGACCAGCACGTACAAGAGCATTCCAGGGTACAGCTCGTCGTAGTCCATAGCGTCCTCAATTTCCGGGTCCATGCGGAACAACTTGCGCTTGAGCAACCAGAGGATGAGCGGGACTGGGCGGAAAAGGGCGGTGGCATAACCAATCACGCCGTCAGCAAGCAGGTAGTTGATAAAGAAGAGGGACTGACGAGGAACGCTCGAAGCGAGCAAGGAGGCAATGGACAGCGGGTCGTCAATAATGTCATTGAGCTGCGTGAGGACGGCACCGGACAGGGTGAAGACCAGGAACACGTTGATGACCTGGAAGAAATAGTACCGCGTGATGGTGAGGCGCACGACCTGGCTCATCGATGTGACACCGCCGACCATGACAATGACTGTTTGTTCCAAAAAGCAAAGGCAAGCGAAAGATTGGGTCAGCGAGTCGAAAACGAACGAACGAACGAATGGACGAACGCACCGACACAAACATTGAAACAACAAATCCAAAACCGAACAACAAATCACTGCTCACAAAGCAGCGAAAAAAATCGTGTCCACGAGACGGCGCCATGCACGTACTTCGAATGATTGTTGGCACGAGACTCATGAAGATACTCAAAATGATGGCAGGAAGGAAACCCTGGATGGCGCTAGAGATCCACGATGGCAAGGTTTTGATGCCGTCAAGAAAGGGGAAGGTCTCCGACAGACTGTCCAGTGTTGTCAAGGACGAGACGAACGTGATGGGAATGGTCCAGAAGAACGTCAGGCCAAACATCATAGCGTACGAAAGCAACAGACGTGGGAATCGTTCGTTGTCGCGCAGGCGCATGCCGCGCCAGTACACGTCGCGCGGTTCGGGCGCAGGCTCGGTGATGAAGGCGTTGGGGTCACGGATGATGAGTCCTTGCGCGGCAACAGCGGCATGGAACTTTGACCGGAATGTCACAAAACCATTGACGCCACGCTTGTGCGTTTTGCCTTGCAGTGATTGGACGCGCTCGCTCCACTTGCGACAACGCGCCTCTAGCCTGTCAATGACGTCGTACTTGGCGCCACAGCAGAGGCTCTTGTGCTTTGTCGGGCGCCTATGCTCGGGCACGTCGTTTTCCATTTTAGCCCGCGCTTTTTCGAGCTGCTCGACATAGTCCTTGTGCTTTTCCATTGCTTGGGTGAGCTTGATCAGTTGCCTTCCCATGTAAGCGCTATGTTTCGGGTGGGGATCACAAAAAAGTCCACGGCAAAACAAGCACAACAAAGTACACGAACACCGTGAGCGCGCGGTTACTACCCTCGCCACCTCTCGCAATTCAATACTGTGCGGCTGCAACCAAAGAAGGTGCTGCAACGCACTTCATCACTTCGCCGGGGAAGATGTCTTCAAAGAATTCCTTGAGCTTGACGTCGTTTCGAAAGTCCTTTGGAATTTCGCGCACCATGATGCTGTAGTGATGAACATGGTGCTGCAAAAGGTAGCGCTGCCGCACCGTGATAAACTGCAGAATTCGAAAACACCAAAAGTTCATCAACACGAGTGGGGATGAGCGTCGGCAACAATAACACAAGCCATCGTTCTTCTCTTGCATACCGCCTTGTACTCGCGCAGCATGAGCCACAGCGTCAGGAAGGTGAAGAGGTACGTTCCGACGAGATGTGCAGCAAGGTAGCCGCTTCGGTCTGGGATGTTGGACATGGTGAATCGCTCGAATGTTGTCAGCTCGTTGCTTCCCGTCTTGTTGATTGGGAGCAAGATGCCGATCGAGTACGGCGTCATGAAAATGAATAGCTTGAGGACCATGCGCATGAATCGCACATACATGAGTGCATCCAAGCCTGCAGATGCAAAGATCTGGTCGTCGGTGATCTGCACGACCTTCCAAAACCATCGAAAGTGCCCAGGCGGCAACTTTGGCGGCGCCTCCGGTCTAAGCAAAAAAAAAAAGGAGTTGCAGAGTGCAAAACGAGGTGTTAGTTAATTTGTTACCGTCTGATCATGGTTTGGTTGAGCCGTGTGCATGTCATCTGAGGGTCACCACGCCCAGGATCTCTGAGCGAGATCGATTGTTCCCACCTGCGATCCACCCCCTCCCAGCCCCCTCACAATGCCACCATCAAATCCATAACTCAATCAGCATCATTTGAGAGAGATGACGAGTGATTTTCCGGGGCTTGGATTCTCTCGCAGATGTGAGAGCTACTGCGTCATAGAGCGTTGAACAGATGGACCGCCCTCTCGCACCAAGCCCTCGCCCACCCAGCCCTCTCGGCAGGGTCGACATGCCAGAGCAGTGCTTCCCGATCTCAACCCGCAATCTCGCTTGCTCGTTTTCTGGTGCACTGTTGACGGACGCGCTCGATGGCCAAATAGTTTCAGCAGACCCCGGGAAGCACTTGCCGCCCCCTCCCTCCCCCATGAGAGCGGCTTGGGCTTTTTGGGGCTTGGTCATGGCGTGTTCTCCCTTGTCGATGGAAGTGGTGTCGAGGAGCGGTGCAATGCTGAGGACTGTGGGGGTGCGATGGCGCTTCTTCCTACCCCCGCAGCCGACACACGCACGCTTTACCACGTCGCTCTCCCTATTCACTCACTCTCCCGATTCACTCACTCATTCTCACTCATTCTCACTCATTCTCATCCCTTGTGAGCTCGAAATCAGAGACTGATTGAAGCACCAGAAGGCCTCGCGTCGCGCTTGGACTTGTTCACACGTCCTGTCCACCGCCCTTTTGGCAGTGTCCGCGCCATTGGGCACTGGTGAGTCAACCACTCTCCCTATCACTCTCACTCTCTCACTCTCAACAACCCAACCACACGCCCATTGCAACATCTTGCTTCAATGGAAATCCCAATGGAAATCAACCGAGCGAGCTGATTCACCCCAATAACCCAATCCATCATCAATCCTTCAATCCCAAGCCAACACTCACTTGTCGGTTCGCGAGCGTGGCGCGTAAAAGTTGCTCCAAACGTTGCGCAGGATTGCAAAGGCAGTGACAAAGCCAACGAGATACGCTGTCGTGAGGACCAGCGACACGCCGAGGTCGTCGCTGGAGGACGACGTCGTGGTCGAGTTGGACGACATCACACCTCCGAGTTCAAGAAGAAGACAAAAGACAGAGAGAGAGAGAGAGAGAATGGGACTGAGCTGCTCAGATTTCGGTTGATGCTGAGAATTTGTGGAACAAGCACTATTGAGCGAATTATTGAACAATGACACGAGAGACCCTTCAGGAAAACGCGAGGTAGACGAGATGCGCGCGCGCGCGCGAGTTTGTCGTTGGATTTGCATTCAAATCCACTCCATTACTTCCCGCAGGTTTCAAATCCAGACAGTAGATTGAAATTGATGAACAGAGCACATCAATGCAGCATCGAACACTGGGACTGGTGACCTGCACCATGCCGTCGGTCATCAAAATCCTCCATCCAAAGCGAAAGTGGCTGAAATCCCATTGCTGCACTAACAAGTCGCTCGATTGATGACCCAGTTGCACGTCCAAACTCGATTCTCGTTCACTTTTTTCACTTTATTCACTTGACTTCACTCGTCTATTGTGACAAAACCAAGTCAGGTCAGCAGCAGAACGGCTTTTTGTACTTCGTTATTAGTAGTTTTGAGTTTGTTTACAGTTTGAAAATAGCACAAAATCTCCCGCGCTTTGTGATGCAACATCGAAACAAGGAAAGCCTCAACAACGACGA